TGTTGTACCTGAGACCTCTCTAAGGTGATTGACTGAACTATACTATTGTATAGTGTACGCCAGAGTGTACAGGCCTCTGGCCTCCTCACCACTAATTATTCAATTCACTCTTCTTTTTCTCCCTTTCCTCACAAGTGTCTACTCTACACGTCTGTTCCCATCCGCTCACCGTAACAGGTTATGAGCTCAAGCCAAGCCTCAAGCGACGACTTCCCGCGTCATATCAGCGCAGAGAACTTTGATGTCTGGAAGGCCCGCGTGTGCGCAGCCCTCGACGGCAAGCATCTCCTCGGCTATGTGACGAAGGCCGACTACGACGGTGTATCCGAGGAAGAGAGCGATGATAGTGGGAGCGACATGTCTGACATGGATGACTCGCCGAAGTCCAAGCCGGCTGAAGAGAATGATTCTGATGCCGTCGACTATGACGAAAGCGACGATAATCTGAAGCCCCCGTCCGACTCTGATGACGATTCCGGAGACAGCGACTCGACGACGAAGGAGAAGAAACCCTCCAATTGTCCCCTTAACCGCCGCGATGCGAAGCGTGCTGAAAAGCGCGGGGCTCGACGCAAGCCTAAGCCGCTAACCCCTAGCGAGCAACGCCGCCAAGAGGCGAAGACGAAAGCGTTCCTGATGAAAACAATGGACAACACGCACGTGCGTCTAGTAAAGGATCTGAAGACTTCTTACCAGATTTTCCAAGCAACCTGTGCTAAGTATGAAGGTGCCGCCTTTCATGCTGACCCGTACTTTATCCAGCATTTCCTCATTGAACTGAAGTACGAGGAGGGAGGCGATCTTGATGATTTCTTTCTAAAACTGGAAAACGCGATGCATGCTACATCAGAAGCCACCGAATCGGTGATGACGGAAGGACAGAAGTCAATCTACCTGTTCCACGCGTTACCCAAATCATGGAAGGATGATCTCCGTGTTTAGAAGGGTCAGCGGAAGTATATCCCGTACGGAGAACTTAAGGCCAACATCGAACGGAAGGTTCAAGAGATTCTTGCGGAAGAGCGCTATACTCTAGCCAAGGGCACACCTGAGAGTCAAACAACCAAAGGCGAGCGAGCCCTTGTTGCTACACCCAGCTTGGCCCAGTCAAGTGGATATCGAATGTGCATGTACTGTGAGCGGCCACGCCACGACATTCGCCACTGCCGCTCTCTCCAAAAGGATCTCCGTGAAGGCCGTGTGAAAGCTGGTACGGTGCTTCCCGCAAACTTTGCGTTTAAGGGAGGCAACTCGAGCCGTAACCATCCGTACCGCCACAGCAACAAAAACTCCAGTCGTGGACGCAACAATCGTGGTGGACGTGGCAATCGTGATCGACGTGACAACCGATCTGAAAAGAGCCTAGATAAGAACGATTCAGGCAACGAGCGCAAGGAGTTCAACCAAGAGCGCCACGATGTCGGTCTTATTGCTGTTGTAGCGACTGTCAACGCCGCAATCAGCTTGACTGCCCAAGCCACCGTGAGCCCCGAGCCCACCTGGACTATCGACTCTGGATGCACGCGTCATGTTACGCACGAATCCCAGTGGTTCTCGACCATAACTGCGAGCAGCGGCTCTATTACTGTTGGTGGGAAGAACCAAATCCCCATCGAAGGAATTGGACAAGTCGAGCTGGAAGTCATTGACTCCAACGGCACCAAGAGGATGCTCACCCTCCATGATGTGCTGTATGCTCCTGAGCTAAAATTCAGCCTTCTCTCGGTACCGGCAGCCGTGAAGCATGACTTTCGCTTCAGAGCTTTGATCGCAAGCAATGCGCCGTGCAAACCGATGCGAAGTTCAAGATCAAGGCAATGATGGCAAACCATGCCGATCTATACCAATTCCAAGCCAACCCTGTGATGAAACACGAGGCTCTTATTGCCACCTCAGGTAAGCAACGTTCCAATCTGCTTTTACACAAAAGGCTCGGCCATCCTAACGCTCGCATTTTGCATGATTTATCTAGGAGCCAAGCCATTAGTGGTCTAGACAATGATTCATCTGTCGACCCGCAAGCACACTATGCACTGCATGCACAGTAGCGAAGTCTCACCGCTCTCCGTTTAACTCTAATAGAATTGTTGAACGTGCCAAACACCCTTTGGAAAAGTGCATACAGATATTTGTGGTCCCATGCCTGTTCCCAGTCTTACTGGACGCCGCTATTTTCTCATCTTTATTGATGATTTCTCTCGGTACATGCTCACGTATCCGATAACGAACCGAAGCGAAGTATATGAGTGCTATGAGGACTTCAGGAAGAAAGCCCTGAACATCTTTAGGAGCGACGTCAATGTCCTTGAATATCCGCATCCTACTGAGAACTGTGACATTCAGGTTTTGCAAGCAGACGATGCAAAGGAGTATGAAAAACTCGGGCGCTAGATTTTCCAGAAATACGGAACACATGCGCAATTTACGAATGCATACACTCCTCAACAGAACGGTGTTTCTGAACGACGCAATCGAACCATTATGGAGCGTGTTCGAGCCCTACTGCTCGATGGCAATCTTCCCAAGCAATTGTGGGCGGAGTGTGTCTGTCATGTGACCACTCTGATTAACATGACACCAAGCTCGACGACTAACGGCCGTGCACCATATGAACTTTGGTACAATCGCAAACCATCCATGGACTACATCAAAGTGTTCGGATGCAGTGCCTATGCGCATATCACAGAGCAATACCGTGATAAACTTGATGCGCGAGCACGTTTGTGCATGTACGTTGGCCTTCCCGAGCACAAGAAAGGCTGCCGCCTAATGGACGTCAATACCCATGCAATTGTCTACAGCCGTGATGTAACCTTTCAAAGAGGACGAATTCCCTCGTTTGGCAAACCTGACAAACCCCGAACAATCATCACAGATGCAACAATCGACTGTGCAAACGCAACATCTTGCACCTGTCCCTGCAACGACAACATCTGCAGCGCTGCCCAGACTGCCCCCACTCAGGGAGGCCCTAAAACGCTCGCATTACACTTTCTGTGGGGAGACGAAAACTGATCCTCCTTCCTCTCCTAAGCTTAAAAGACTCCATCGCGACTCAGTCGGCAGGGATGTAGCCCTCGATTCCGAGGAAGATTTACAGGAGAAAGAGCAGCGCAGGACATTACTGTACACATTACTAGCTATTCGGTATGTGACAGAGCCCACTACGTATCGAGGAGCGATGAAATCCCCTCACGCTAATCAGTGGCACAAAGCAGCCCAAATCGGAATATAAGTCCCACATGGAAAACAACACTTGGGTATTGGTATCTCCTCCAAAAGGAAGGAAGATTTTAACCAGCCGATAGGTATTTGTTGTCAAGTACACCGGCACAGGCGACATTGACCGTTTCAAAGCGCGTCTAGTGATAAAAGGGTTCCTTCAGGAACATGGCATTGATTACAACGAGATTTTCTTACCTGTTATCAGGATGGACGTACTCAGACTCCTTCTCACGATCGCAGCTCTGCTCGATCTAGAAATCCACCAAATGGATGTCAAGACGGCATTTCTTAACGAAATTCTGGAGGAGGAGATCTACATGGCTCAACCGGAAGATTTTAAAATTCCGGGTAAGGAACACCTTGTGTGCAAACTCTTGAAGAGCCTGTACGGGTTGAAACAAGCTCCCCGTGTCTGGTATCAAACGTTGTCTGCCTTCCTTCAGAGTCTTGGGTTCCAAAAACTCATTAAGGATCGGTGTGTGTTCATCCGCACTAGTGACGGTAACACATGCTATATCGCAGTGTACGTCGACGACCTTTTAATCATTGCGCCTACTCCAGCCCTCGTAAATGAGCTGAAATCAGCCCTGAACAAGAGATTCTTCATGACAGATTTAGGGGAGGTGAAGTACCTACTCGGCTGGTCTATTCAACGAGACCGAAAGAGTCGAACGATATTAATCCACCAACACAAGTACGCTACGAAGGTCCTTGACCGCTTCAGCGACTACATTCCGTACCCTATTGCAACGCCAGCAGACCGGAATGTTAAACTCTCTGTAAGCAGCCAGCCCAGCAGTGAGACAGAGAAAGATGCGATAAAAGATATTCCGTATCGCGAAGCCGTTGGCAGTATCATGTATCTCATGGTAGGCACTCGACCCGACATGGCATTCTACATGCGCGAGGTCAGCCAATTCCTAGCTAATCCGGGAATGGAGCACTGGAAAGCAGTTGTTAGAGGTCTCAAATATCTCTCGGGAACGAAGGACTATGGTCTTCTTCTTGGTGGATCACTTGACATCACACGCGACAACCTTGCTGACAGTCTAACAGCGTACAGTGAATCTGACTATGCCAACTGCCCCGACACGAGACGCTCCGTCGGCGGATATGTGACTATGCTCGCAAGCAGTCCAATTTCATGGCTTTCGCGCAAGCACCACACTGTGGTTCTCTCAACAACAGAGGCAGAGTATATCGCCCTGTGCCATTGCATGCAAGAGATGATATTCCTCAAACTGCTCCTCCAAGAGTTAGGCTTTGCCACAACACAGGCCAGCCTCATTCATGAGGACAACCAGAGCTGCATTAAAATCTGCTACAACCCGGAACTTCACGGACGATCAAAGCACATACACGTACGCTACTGTTTCGTACAAGAGAAAGTTGAGCGACACGAATTCTCCGTCGCCTATTGCAATACCAAAGAGATGGTGGCTGACATCTTCACAAAAGCTTTAGATAAGCATCAGTTTAAAGAACTAAGGACCAAGCTCAGGATGAAATCCCTGAATGCTTTACGGATTTCCGCATAGTGTGCGAGAATAACACTAATGCATGAAGCATGCCTAATCCAATTGCGTTCTTTTATTTTTTCCCACTGGGTTTTATATTTTGTTCGCACAAAGGTTTTCTCCTCACTGAGGTTCCCTGGTCTAGCACCGAATTATAATAGGCATATGTAACAGCAATCCATGCAAGACAACAATATGACAGGACAAACGGTATTAACTGGGCAAACCTGCCGAAATCCCAACCGCTAAGGCTATAAGCTACTCCTTCTTGAAAGCGATAAACGGACGAATAAAGGCAAAGTAGTGGATCCAGTTCATCTGCTCATCATCCACTGCAAGCTGTTTCCCCTTGTCGTATACGACACGATGATCCCCGTTGACGGTTAGCACGAAGCAGTGTCCAACGAACTGGTGGTTGTACGCAGCGACGAGATAGATGCCGTCCAAAAGGTCATGCTTGCCCAACAGGCTCTGGCCTACGTATCCACATGGTGCAAAGTTGTCACGCTCAATAGCTCTGAAGATGAAGTCTCGACCATCGTCGCGGAGCTTGCGAAGGAAGACGAGAAACACCTTCCATGTAGTGCCCCTATCGATGTCCACATTGTACTTGGCTAGCGTTTCAGCTGCGAATACGTCGATATCTGCGTCGGTCACAATGTCTGGTCGTCCTGCCAGTGAAGCAGCAACCTTGAGAGCCTCAAACATGCAGCGCCCTGTTGCGCTGGCACCAATCAGCTTCTTATCTTCATCACTGCCCTCGCAGAAAGACTCCAGATCTTTGAGATTGCTCCTTTTCCAGCGGTCAATGAGGTGAAGATGTTTGGTAAAGCCATCCTCGCGGAGTTGTTTCCTAGGCTCCCATGAGCGAAGGTAGCCCTTGCGGCTCTTGGCTTTCTTGTTGATCCAAAAGACACGGTACTCAAACCCGAGCGGTCCCTTCCGGGTTAGCTGATCCAAGACTTGCCTCCGTGGTTTTGCTACGGCTGGAAGTCAGGACGACGGTTGGGCGATATGGCTAGAACGAACCAAACGGCAGGTAAAAGTACCGGTGGTAAAACCCCAACAAAACAGCTCGCTAGCAAAGCTAAGCGTAAGGCTGTAGATTCTGTGACTAGTGATGGTAAAAACGTCACCACTGTCAAGAAATGGGATGTTGCAATGATCGTGGATCGCCGTAAATTGTGTTCTGGATACTGTCAAATACCAAACAGACGATTCAGTTTCCCAATTTAACCTAAATTGATCGGTCTAAACATACGAACATCTGTTCATTGTTATGGATAGAAAGATGCAGGGAGGCTGTCAAGGATGCACGATCCTGGTACACTGTACCTGTTGTACCTGAGACCTCTCTAAGGTGATTGACTGAACTATACTATTGTATAGTGTACGCCAGAGTGTACAGGCCTCTGGCCTCCTCACCACTAATTATTCAATTCACTCTTCTTTCTCTCCCTTTCCTCACAAGTGTCTACTCTACACGTCTGTTCCCATCCGCTCACCGTAACAAACTCGGAAAAGCGGACAGAGCGGTGCATCTTTCCCGCAACGCAGCAAGTCCTGGCCCAATGTTGGTTTTTCGGGTTTTTATCGGCAGATCTGTCCTCGCTGCTCATTCGATAGCCTGTGGGTGGGGTCTTAGTGGGCGAAGGCGTACTTGTACGCGGTATTGCAGTGTTGGGCGGGTAATTGATAAATCTGGTGTCGTGTGTACCATCTAGTGTCCTAAAAGTGATTCCTCTAAATAATAAAAATGCGGCTATAGTTTTGACAAACGACTGTTTCTGTTGTGTCTACAGTTTTTTTTAAGCAACACAGTTCAGTTGAACTGGATAGCCGTACATGCTACAACACGCTGCTGTAAAAGCTTCAGATGTGCAGGGCTTTTTTCAGGAGATGACTCAAGACTACCCCGAACTGAAAGGCCCACAACGTTGTTCGTCGAATTCTTCCCTCACATTCAAACTGACTTTAAGCTCACCAAGCAATAGCCGAGCCTCAGCCAAGACAAGTCACATTCTCCTTCATCACGATGCGGCTTACCGAGACCCTGTTGGCGATTGCCATCGTTCTAGTCGCCAGCAGCAATGTTGTCGCGGCTGCTTCCAAGAAGACTCCTGCTAAAAACGGTCTCTATGCCGAGCTGTACAACGTCGAAGACGGCGTCATCACAAACAAGATGCGCGTACCTCTTGGCAACGCCAAGCAATACCAGCAGAGTGACTTCAAGTCCTTGAAGACAACACTCGAGACGAACAAGGAAGAACGAGCTGCTGTTCATCTTCCAAGAGGCTTCAATTCGTTGATCTCAGGCTTGGAGCGTTTTGTGGGCCTCATCGGAAAACCCTTTAAATGGAGCAGGGGCACGCGTCGACTGCGAGTTGAAGATGCGTAAGACATAACCAATAGTCTGCGCTCATTCTTTTCAATCAACGCGGGAGGTATCACAGGAAAACCTCAAGCCTTGGAAAAACATTATACGCTTTAATAACTGTAAGGTTTGATGCAGAGGTATCACATCCTGTCTACATTTAGAAAGAAAATTGTCTGACATCTTTACTAGTATACTACTGTAGTAGTAGCTACGACTTCAGTAGGAGCACATATTAGTAATATCGATTGAGTGTGGAGCCATACTACTGTTACTTTTGTCTGTAGTAGTAATACCAGGTCTGTAGTACTACATGTAGTAGTGCATTTAGTGAAAGATCGAGTGACAACATTACTGCAACCAAAACCGCTACAGGTATAGTGTCAGCTCACTTAAAGAGTTAAAGTTATCTTTTGTGTCAACTAGGACTCCTTGTTGACCTCATTTCGTTGAGATGAGCAGAAAAAAATGCATATCGCAGAAAAATTTGATGTGAAAAATGTAGCCTCAAAAAACCTTCAGCCTAGTACCCGGCCAACCAGTCCATTTGATACAACACAGGTCTTCCCTCAAGGTAGCGGTTGAGATTCTTTACGAAAACACCAGCCACATCCTCTGGGAAAACAGTGCCAGCAATGTGTGGCGTCAAGATCACGTTCGGGTGCGACCATAGTGGACTCTCCTCTGGCAAGGGCTCCTTCTCGAACACGTCCAAGACGGCTTTCGAAAGTAGACCTTTCTCCAAAGCGTTAATGATCGTGTCTTCCGAGACGATATCGCCGCGGCCAACATTGATGAAAACTGGCTGCTTCTTTCGGCACACTTCCAGTGCATTCTCGGTCAGCAGGTAGCGAGTGGCGTCTGTACTGGGCAGTACGTTCACCACGTAGTCGCTTTGCTCCAGCACCTCACTCAGATCTGCTGACACGCAATCAGCACTTGAGTCGAGTGTCTTCCTGTCCTCACTACTTACGCAACGTTTGAATCCGACCACCTGGAACCCGGACGCCTTGAACGTGCGCCCGATTTCCTGGCCGACGTCACCGAGACCGAGAATACCGACGGTCAACTGTCGAAAGGAGCGATATTTGAGCTCCCAACGACCGAAGACGCGTTTTTCCTGGTACGCCTTGGCCTCGAAGAGCTTGCGTTCGATGGCAATCACGTAGCCAAAGACGAACTGCGCCAGCGCCGTCGGCATGATGCCACCTGCACGTGAAACCGTGAAGCCCGGGTCGGGCGGAGCTTCAGGAAACTGGTGATACGAATCCACTCCAGCGTAGGTACCCTGTACCCATCGCACCTTCTTGAGTAGATGCTGCAGGTCGAACGGTAGATTGGACTTGGGAGCGAGCAGGAGAGGCGCGGCCAAGTGGGCATCAATAAGGAGCACTTCGGCTTGCTCTAGGATCAATTGCTGCTTATGGTCAAGGTTCCACAGAGGCGCGGTGGCGACAGCCTGTACAGTGACTCCTTTAGGCTGGTGGTTGTTGCTGGCACTGGGAGGACAGACCACGGGCAGCGGTAGCTCCACGATCTCGAGCTGGTTGGACTTGTACATCTCAGCAGCCGGGGACGAGGCTGTTGACGACGCTAATTGTTGACGAACAGCTTCGCCAATACCAGGGATGATGGAGACGACGGGGATCTGGAGCTTGCTAGTAGTCATCTTGACGAGACCGCGAATTCGGAAATGAAACAATGGAGACTTGCATCATTCGACTTCAATTCTGAAGTTGTAGTCGTACAACATCAGTTTCAAAATGATATGGCAAGTCAAATCGCGAGTTTTACGAGAATGCTTTCGTATAGGTTATAGCTTCTAAAGTTTATTTTTTGTTTCAGTTAGGACCTGCACAGCTTAATTCAATTATTTCGAATAGCATTTCAGCAGTATATAAAGTTTGACGCTGATAAAATCAAATGTGTACACGGAAGGGACAGGCTGCGACCAATCCAACGATTCGACGCAAAGTATTCCGCTGGACCGGTATTACCGGTATGACCAAAAGAGACTCCTGACTACAATTTAGAGCGCTACAACTTCGGCACAGCGAGAGCTATCTAAGGACCTGGTACAGGTGGAGAGCGCGCTCCGAGATGGGCGTTGTTTTCGCGTTCTGACAAACCTCTCACGAATTGATACTGTGTATTATTTTTAAAAATTAGAATACTGCTTTCTGGGGCGGTGTGCGACACAAAGAAGTTGTTCTTAAGATATGGATGAATATCATCACTTATCCGACCTTACTTGAGTTTTGTATCCGCCTAAAGTAGCCTATTACAGCATCTACATTAATGTGGACCAATCACAATAGCATAATTACCTAATTTTAGCCAATATATTTGTTAGGGATAGGTGGGTCAACAAACCGACGTATTAGAACACGAGAATATGTGTATTTCTATTCAAAAATTAAGTGACCACTTGCATATTTGCAAAACATCCTGGGACTCGAAAAGCTCAAGCCCGAAAACACAAAACGCGTAAAAGTATGCGCCATTGCGGCGCTCAAGGCTTTTGTTAAGAGTGAGTCTGTAGATTTTGAAAATGTAAGGAGCTGTATTAAGAAAGACGATGGTGGGAAGTATCTTAGATATGTTTGGTATGTATCTACTTTCATGAAGGCAAGAAGGGCAAACAACTTGCGCGTAATACAGCCATGCAGTACTATAGGCAGACTAAAATGTGGGTTTTCGAGCTCTTCCCTACACAGCGACACATTGTCAAAGCAAAGTTGCTTAGTATGGGGAAGACGCTAGATATTTTTTTGTCTGAAAAGAGATGGCAAGGTCGTAAATGAGGCGCCATCTTGCTCTAAGACCGATTTAGGTAAGCTGATGCTTTATTCGTATGCGAATGCGTCTACTTCAAGCGATTATCAAGACACAGCGGTACTGTGTTTGCTGTACCTGTTCGGACGCGCGTCCGACTTGTCGCCCGTGCAGAAGCAGAACATCACCATCGACGCCGCCGGCATCCTCTTCGTGCGCTTCATCAGGCTCAAAACGTCCGAGGAGCAAGATCTTTTGCTCTTTCCTGATCTTGACTTCGTTACGCGCCCAGTGTACGCCATTGCGCTGGAGATCGTGACGCAGGGGTCTCCCTGCGTCGATCTGCTTGACAAATTGCCAGCGCTGCCTGTCCAAGCTGCCGTCTCCCTGTCCCCGGCCACGCCGCTTCTGGAGGTTCTTGACCACCCTGATGAGTATGCCGCACTTGGTGCAGCTACATGCGCCGCTTCGTCAAGTGCTGCTGCTGAGAAGACACCGACCATCTACTCGCACGTCAATCGCGTGCTTGACCGGACCGCTGCAATTGCTGGCTTTGAAGTGGCTCTCTCTTCCTAGTCGTTTCGCCGGGGCAGAGCACAGCACTTCAATTGGTGTGACGGCTTCACGCATCGCTGGATCTTTGACCGTGGCGCCTGGAACATGAGCCCAACGAACAAGGGTTTCAATTACGTCTTCAACACAAACCGCGACGATCACAAGGTTAGCGAGGCTCTCAGTGGGTACAGCACCAATGCTAAGGTACCTTTGACGGACTTAAAGTCCTTCGATGCGCAGACGCGGGAGCAAATCGAAGCTGTTCAGGCGTACCTGTTCGCTACATGCTTCAAGCTAGAATAAGCCAAGTACAACGTGAGTTAGCGTGTTCTTGATGTGTAAACGGCTTACCTTCTTCTCCACTATCCGCAGTTGAAGGAAGTCCATCCCGAGGGGCCAGCGGTGGGGAGCTTGGAGGCCCGTGTGCTGCTGGCAGGGTCGGCTCTGGTGGACCTGCTAGCTTAGTTGACTCATCTCGCAGACGCTGCCTGCAATACGAAGCGGCCCGCTACTACACATGACATGGAAACCGCATCACCCAAGCAACTAAGTCAAGACAACACGCTCATTGGACACCAACGTAGTGTGATTGACCAGTTAGTCCAGCTAGTGAAGCGCCAAAATGAGCGCATGGGTATTCTTAAGCTAAAATGGAAAGTATGAAACACGGCGGGAAGCGTCAGAACAGTCAAGACCATGGACAAGAACAAGATCGAAGCAATCCACTAAAGCGTCGACGAACCTCCGTCACTCACCTGCACAAGACGTGGTACGAGTGGTAAGCTCAGGAGCCTCGTTGGCTTGCTGCTTACCCCAAACAGCAGCGGTCCAGCTCTAAACAGCTAGTCGAGTTCATGAAGCTCTTCTTGCCCGACGGGTTCGTCCTTGATCCAAGCGCATCCGATTACCGCGACAAGACACTGCGTCCAGGTAAGAAGGCAGAGCTAGCGTTGCTAAGCTTTCTCGGCACTCGCAAGACTAAAGCGCGTGGCTCCACAGCTGCCCGGAAGCACCTGCACAACCTTCACACTGCTGGGGCACTCAACTACATGATCGCGCGGTACCGCAAGCTGCTTCACTCTGGCGCTGTCCAAGGCCCTGATCGCCAAGATCTCCTTGAGCCTGTGCATACGGTCCTTCAGGGCATGAGTGCTCAAAACACAAACATGTTGAATGCATATAACGCTAGTCAATGAATGAAGTTGCGCTCAAAGTGGTTAGCAATAAAACAACAAGAGTAGTAAACATACACACCAGAGTAAATAATCATAACGGCTGGATTCGAATCAACATCCTCAGAGCATTGTCCTGCGGTCTCACCATTGAGCTACGGGGTCGCTCAAAAGGGGGGGCAGCGGCTGCTTACCGGATACTTACGGTACGACCTGGACGGCCTGTGCGGTCAAAGAGGCCGTGATCGTGCTGTCGGCAACACCGGTTTGTTGTCTGCGGATGGAAACTGACTGGTTGTTTGTGTGTACAAAGCCAAATGGTGCGTTGTTGTTGGACGGTAATTGCCCAATCATGCTCGTTTATGGCTGGCTGGCTGCCCCTATCCTCGAGTATCCGGACAGCGTCTGATGATCCGGATCCACTACCACTTTCGCCTTCATTTTCATTTTTACTGGATCAAGAGCCATGTGCTCTCGAGCAGAATATGCAGGATTTGGGTTCTTCTTGCGTTTTTCGCAGTCTACAGGCCGTTTCAGGCGATTCTGAGCCGCCTATAAACTTGACACAACACGCTCTCTTTTGAATTTTCAAATCGCGCTTTGGCATCCTTGCACATCCAAACACATTGACTACCGTTAAGTACCGTAACTGTCAAATAAAGTCTGCTGACTTTTTTGTTTGATGTGCCAAATTATTGGCACAGGTCCTATAAGGTCGGAGGTCGGATATTTTATGGTATAGTATAATGTTCACTACATTCCAACCGTTACCTGTCTATGCAGCCACATACTAACACCATTTTCCGTATTTCAACCAATCCTCGTTAACAAAACGCTTATTTTACACCAATGGAAGAAGCATCTGGATAGGAGCAGGTTTCCAACCATTCTGACCATATTTAGCTGGAATCTTTGAACAATATTGTCTATCGGATCTGACTTTCATATAAAGTCATATTCTAAGAATATTCTGAAGTTTCTGACGGTAGCCAGCAGTAGGGGTTTCTGTACAGAATAAAATTGCAGCGTATCAGTCATGTCGATGGCATCCTTGGCCCCTGGTAACAGGAAGAAGGCGCGAACGACAGCGTTGAACTCCTTCATCACGTTTCTGGGTGCCGAAGGCATGACAATTTCAGCCGCGCACAAGCTCATCGATGTTGATAAGACGGGTAAAGTGCTTCGTATTATGCTAGACAAGTATGCATATTCACTAGCAAGGTCTCAGAACAAAATTTTAGCTACCAATACATGTCTTGCATATTATGGAAACGTAAAGAATTGGTTGACAGATAAATACCCGCTACAGAGCGAGTTCGTAAAGCCCCAGCTACAAAAGATTTTATCAGGACTCGGAAGGTACTGCACAAATCGAGAAGAAAGTGGTAGCGAACGAGTTGCTCCCCCGTGCTCAAAACAAGATTTAGAAGCAATTGTGCGAATACTATACGCAACGGCATCAAATGAGAGCGAATATCTTGATTCCGCTCTCGTAGTTATGATGTGGTACTTGTACGGTCGTAGTTCGGATGCAGAACAAGTCGAGAAACAGCAGCTGTCCATCCTCCCAGGTACGCATTAATTGGTCTGACAAACAATCTCACGCTCTAACTAAATTTTAATAATGTAGGCGGTGGTTATTCCTTCGCTTTAAGCGCGTTAAAACAGCAGTACTCCAGGGCATACCCTTGTTCAACGATCCCAACAATTTTCTAACATGCCCTCTCAACGCTATAGCTGTAGCGCTGGTGATGCAGAACTTTCCATGCAAACGAATTTTTCCTCAGTTTCTTAAAAAGAAGCGAAGCTCCACGAGCGTTCAAGATCTGGAGAAATTGTCCCTCGTTGAGCTTCTGGAGACAGAGGACGACCACACTTCCATGCCAGAATCTTCGAACTCAGCAGCCGCGTCACTGCCTGGAGCCCAAGCCTTCGTTAACAGGCTGCTGGTTAGGGCTAGAGACAATGCCAAGCTTCATAATGTCCGGCTCACCCCTGGCCTCACCTCTCACTCGTTTCGCCGCGGTGGGGCTATGCACGCAAATGACGGGACCGTTGCCGAAAACTAAATCATCGAACGTGGAGGCTGGCAGCTCGACCGTGTGAACAAAGTGTTTGGCTATATGCTTGGGACGACACAAGCGGATCAGCAGGTATCTCGAGTCTTGAGCGAGTGGAAACCTAAGGATGGGGCTCGTTTGCCTTCACTTGCAGCACTTGACACACCGGTCCTTTGTCGGGCACTCAAACCCCAGGCGCTGATATTCTCGAATACTCTGGGGTTTGCTGACGAAGCCCTCAACTTTGACGTAGACGTAGCCGAAGTCCTGACTGCCACACTTATCGCGCACTATCCTAATATGCTGCGCCTCTGTGAACGCAGCCCATACGTCACGAAGATGCGAGAGGCAATGACTGCTCGCTCCGTCACTGAATCCGAGCTGCTAGCGTGGTGTATCGCCGTCCGCCGTGCCTTCATACCACCTCTTGAGCCAAAACCGGCACCACCTGATAGAGAAGATCGTCTTGATTCACTGTTGGAACTGGTTCAACACCAAACCAGGCCGATCGACATGCTCATTCTGCAAAACAAGCATCTGGAACAACGCTTGGTAGCAGTGGAAGGCCAGCTCCGCTCGACAGCCAGCACGACAACGCAAGCAGCAACCACGATCGACCCATCTTCCGCAACAACACCCCCACAACCACCACAGCCTGGAGTCAAAGCAGCTCGATCGAAAAAGAAGGGAGCACAGTCACTGGTAGCCACGTGGCTCGCTTGGTTTACGGCGGAGCCTCGTATATATGCCGCGCGATCTGTAAAAAAAACAACGCTGTACGAGTTTAGACACACCGCAGGGTACTTGATGTTTTTCTTACCGACTGGATTCGCACTAGATGCAGCGTCTCCAGCGTTCAAGAGCAAGGTGCTGGCCCTGGGTGAGAAGGCGCAAAAAAAATGCGCTAGTATTCTTGAAAGAAGATGGGTCCTCAGCAGCTGCATCCCGTACGGCGCTGAAAGCTTTTCGTAAGCTCCATAAGGCCGGGAAGCTCGACACGAATCTAGCCCAGTTCCATGACCGTGCTGAGCGCATTGACGTGGTTGACCCTACTCCAAATGCTGCCTTACCAGAATTTTTTCGCTTGAAGCGCCTTGGCTGTTAGTCTGTAGAATAAAAACAAAGAATATCACCCACAACCACGGACTACACAGCACCGGTAGTAAACATCCGATAGACTTGAATTCATTTCGCGCACTAAAACATTCACAATATATTACAGCATAGCTACAAGAACAAGTTAGATGACACATACCTCTAGTAATAATATAGAGCACACTTACCATATCTATGAGAAGTATAGAGCCCGAGGGAAACCGCACGTACCACCGCTCTGTGAATATACACCTCCAGCAGCATACCGCCCGCCCTACCGGGTCATTTTACATCACAGCAACGGACTTGGGAAGCGGCAAGTGTGGGAGCGGCAGGCGGTGTGTCTTGGTCAGCCCTGCGGTGCGCTCGGGGGGTCGAAGGAGGGCTTGTCGCCGCAGTACAGCCGGCGTTCCGCGCGCCATCTTCTGTGCCGTCGTGGTGGCGATTGTGTTTGGAGAATGCCTGTGTGGCCTGAGAGAGCAGGAATTTTTATTTTTAGTCACGGCTAAGTTCGATTCTATACCGGTTTATACCGGTACCGGTTGGAATCCCGGTCGGACGGTTGGAATTTTGACGGTATGGACAACGAGACAGCGGAGTAGTTACGATTTTCGCTTCTGCTACGATTGCGGCGGCATTAGACCTACGTAGCCTTCGTAATCCTCCAACATGTGCGTCGACCTTTTGGACAACTACCTTCGAGCAAGCGATGCATGCGAAAAAGTCAAGCTGGTTCACAAAGAAGCTGGGATACATCAATAATTCCTTTTTATTTGCTTATGAAGCCATTTATAGAGTTACGGTCTCCCGCCCTGCCCAAACGCCAAGTAAAGTGCGTCACCCAAACGATACTATACATAGCACACGGAGTCACAATGAATTCGGCTGCCACTGTGCTAGGCATCATCATGACGCTTGCTGTTAATGTCATTAGCGACACAGTGAATGTGCTTAGCGCACCTCAAAATAGTAGTGGTAATGCTGTTGACCGACGAGTTCGCTGACGTGGATTGAGGCTTCGGTGCAGTTGCGCGTTTTCCTGACGTCATCGATACAATTGACGGAGCCCTTATCACGATTGCCGGCTACCATAATTTCGAGGGGTGGGACGGCTGTAAGATTTCGGGCTGTGAACGTACAAGCCATTGTCGATCATTGAGGTTGTCTTCGATCATCTCCATTCGCGCTAATATAATTAATGACCAGGCTTTGTAGAATAGTTCAGACATCAAGAAGAGGGGAGGTACATTATATTTGTTTTTTGCGTATTTATTTACTATTTTTCATCTATTTTTAAGACTATGCAAGTACAAAACATATCGTTGGTGATACCGGCTACCAGATCTGGAGACACGTTCTTACTCCGTTTCGTAAGAGCAGCACTGCGTGTGACTCTCGAAAAGGGTGCTACAAAGTTTTTCTTCCAATATAATTTTCTAAATTAGAGGTTTTTGCCAACAAATGGCTGACATAATTCTACTATTATATTTGGTTAAGGATATTGACTTTAATAATTGAATGACCTAAATGCATGCAGACGAATAGTCTGCCAAATGTAACCATTGGTGAATATCGCCAACGCGGAAAACCTTCTTCGCAACCCAGCAGCTACATGTAGCCAATTACATGTAACTCCGCTACAACAAGGCATAGCAAAACGAGACAACCTTGCCGACACCCTAGCTGAAATACAGTAGCTGCAAATTGTATTTTTGAATCTGCCACGTGTACCACATTTTGTTTTGGTTTTTCGACTACTGTATCTCTACAAGTCATCGCAATATTACAGTTTTAGCCCTTAAGGACGGTTTATTTCAGCATGCTGCTGCATGACCAGCGGCCTCGTTTACTGCTCTCGATTGACACGTCTGGCAAATCTTCATCATCGTTGTCTTCCGTATCATCGATGGTTGTATTCATCAACATCCTACATTAGATGCAAATGCATCGTTCAAAATAGTCCAGAGTAAAACATCCATTTCTCGAACTTCGTTCGCATGACTACGAGTCTTGCTTGCCTCTCTCTCTCCTAATTTGTGTACATGTACACCTGCTTACGATACCGCTCCTATTCAATTAAGTAGGCATCTATAACCCACGGAAAAACATTAGGGATTTTTTTACCTGAGCTTGATTTATCACGACCCCCACTGATTGCGATAATACGCTTGCGAGCGATTGCCAAGCAAGTGACGTCAGTTAATTTCCCACCGTCTCGAGACGACATTTCACTTCGTCATCAGCAAATTAGATCCGTGGCAGCTCGCGTACATTTCTTTCGTTCAGCGGAGATGGACTCTTACCTTAGTCTTACGTTTGTTTGTTTTCTTACTGCGGTTAAACTTTGCTCTAGGGTTTATTTCGAAGATAGGGCTAATGCATGACTCGTTGCTAGCCGGGCTGCTGCTGCTCGACTCGTTGTTTCTCCGAGCGATGCCGTCCTGAGCTCCACTATCCGGCGTGCTAATCTCTTGGCGCGGATACTTGATAATTCTGGAGGTGCGTCCCCACTCCCCTACGATAGCGTTGACCACGTCATCAGCGCCAATTGTGACGGCTGACCACTCTGTGGACAAAGCATTGTGCAAAGTGAGCGAGTTCTGTAGTGGAGCGAATCTGAAAACGAAGCCGAAAGCTACTTGCGCTTGCTCGCCAACAATCCATTGTATAGGTGGTCCACACGTTTTTATCGTTCGTAGCTGGACTAGCGTAATAATGCGTGCTAGCGTCACTTAATCATCGTTAAGTGTTAGCCTAGCCCCTGTGATGGCATCAGCAGCCGGAACGCATTCTTTATCTGGACCAGGGCATAAAAGCCGATGTATTTTCGAGACCCACCAGCTGAAACTGGTCAATCAGCAGACACATAACATTAACCTCAAGATGATGGATCAACAATACCAACTTTAGTAGCTGCAGAATGGCTAAGGCTTAAAGTTTTACTATTCGTTAAGGCGGAGGTTTTCAGGTGTAGTTATGTAAAATAAATGCTAGCATCGGAGTCATGTTGGGGTCGTTTCCCGATACTGACTGGTATATACTTGGCGTAGGGGGAAGAGAGCGAGACAGATTAGCTTATACAAGTCAAAGTTTAGTATTCTGCTACAGCCATAGTCGTGGGTGTATCTTTACAATGAAGCTTTCAATTTGTCTATGCACGATCAAAAAAAAAACCAAACTCTAATAAAATTGGGAAGTGAGCCAGAGACGTGAGATGGAGGACCGTATGAGCTGGGGCCCCAGGCGCCAAGCTAGCTCCTAGACGCCAAATATTAATAAGGGCTTAATTTGAAATCTACCAATACCTTCGAAGATGTTTTCTTTAAAGTGTAGTTTCTGCCAATTGGCGACATTCCATATTTTCTCCGTGTAATCTACAATTCTTTTGGATTTTGGAAACGTACGGCCATGGAAGAAGAAAAAAGAGTGATCAGTGTTTCAGCTGCTGCCGTGTAACTGTAAGGGTTTCGGAAAAGGTAGATGGTGAGTCGCACCCATATGTAAGAGAACATTGCGCCCGGAGAAACCTCTGTATCATGTGCATTTACTACTTGAAGTAGGGACAATTCGAGACGCTATTGTAATGCGTGCTCCATCGATGTATTCGCATTCATTTGAAGTGGACCTATGTTTTAGTCCCTAATTCGAAGTCGCCGGATCATTCTACTAAAACTTGTCTCATTAGAGAACATTGCTGAGCTATCGACTGACGCTAGCCAATTAAGGGATTGGGGTAAAATGCGTGGCCCGAGAGCTAGGGGTCATGTGGCGCGAAGTCACGTAGAACGTAAAAGCACGTTATAGACTTGGCTTCGCTGAACTATTATCGGCTACATGCACGACATCGCCCACTGGCGAGAATTAGGAGCTGTTCATACCGTTAATGATGTGCCGTAGTGTGTGACGAAGCCAGGAATGCTTATGCTTATCCTTATCGCAAAATTGTGGATGGTGATAGCGTAGCATAGGATATATAACGGCATCACGGATAACATAGCGTGACACACCCAACTAATCCGCTAGACGTTGTTGTGCCATCCGTCGCCGCAACAGGATCACCGCTATTGCACCATCAATAAAACTATACCTATCAGTTTATATGTCTGTCTGTCCGTCCGTCTGTCAAACGGTCCGTCGTTTCACCGTCCTCTTGATTTTAGCTACTTTTTCGTCATGACTACACGCGGCCGTATTACAGTAATGTGCCTCAATAGCGAACACCGCACATTTACTAAAAGATTAAGGTATACTGGATACAACGGGCTCATACTCGTCACTCGAAATGCAGATGTACTGATTCGAAGTTCACATCGGTCTTGGAGATCAACGTAGAGTGCAACCAGCAGTTCTCAATCGTTTTGGGGGACAGATCGTGCCACGCCTCAGTACACCACTCAATCGCTTTAAGAACACCAATATTGTAAGGATTTTCTACGCCTTCGTCCGCTGCATCTAAAGCATACCCTATCTTCTTCCGTAGCACATCACGCTTGACGCAATAAATGATTCCCTGATCAAGCAGCTGCAGCTTCGACGTTGTATTCGCAGGTAGTTTTTCTACGCGAACGTTGGTGAGGGTAACGCCTTAAGCGTTATGAGAGGAGGCATTGACTACGAGGAAAAGTACATGACGGGCTTGAGCTCTCATCGCCGCGTCGACGTCTCGGAGCCAGCCTTGGAAGGTTTCAGATGAAATCCAGGCTTAGTTTGTAGATGTTTATAGAGTGTGAGAGGGCTTCTTATTCAGCCACTGGGGCTTGTACGGCTTGCCAATAAAGACCAATGGCATCTTGTCTTGCTTTAGGGGCGGTGCTTCGCCGGTACAGAAAGAACTGCTGGGAACATTATTGTAGAAAACAAAACTTGTTTCGTCTAGATTATAAACGTCCTCATTGTTGTATGAGCGTATAATACGGCGAACGCGATTGCTTCTTCAATTGACTGTAAATCCACAGCATCACTGTCTCCGTACGAACGGCGCAAACGAATCCCATAGGGTTGCTGAAACCGGCGCAGCCACGACCTTCCTAATCTTGGCCAGTCCGTTTGAGCCACGCATAGACGCTGTAGCACCCACTTCGCCTTAGCAATGATCATATCATCGGATAGAGCTTGTTCCATGTCCTCACACCCCGTCACATAGTCCACGATGCATTGGTCGAGTAGTAGTTGACGGTGTGGGCGGAGTTTGCGGCGGACAAGCCAGTCGTCAGTAAGACGAGGAAGCGAGCCTTCTGAGCGCAACACCCTGCCAATCTGCTGCTTCGAATGTCTCTTGAATAGGGCGAACTATGTCTGCACCCAAGCTGCCAACTCGTTGTAGGAAGAACCCGGAAAAGCACGGTGACGGTCGCAGATCATCAGCTCTTTGTGCTTCGACAGGCGAGGGCGTCTTTGAAAAGGTGTGAGGGTTGAGATCTCCATGCGCTTTTTTATGAGGAGAATACTTTTAGTAATGAGGCACGAACACTTAGCGATAGAGCTTCCAAACTCGTGTTTGTGTTGCAATCCTCTCTGATATGATTCGTTCGTTTTCACCGCTGTACTCGGTTGCGTATTGCTTATTGGCGGAATGCGTACATGGAGAACCATCATTGCTGGAATTGTAGACAAATTCTCATGATTGGCTGAGTTTTAATCACTTATATCAGTGATTTCGACGCTAATGGGTACAGATTCGAGTTGATTGCTTTCCTGAGCATATTAAATGTGCGGTGTTCGCTATTGAGGCACATTACTGTAATGCATTTGTCTCCCATCGTACCACCTGCGTCTATCTTTCTGACTCGACCTAACTATGCGAAAATTGCAAAACAAACGCAAAGACCCACACAAATAGGTTGCGCCCTTATTGGGCGATATTAGTTGACCTGCGACACTGACTGGATCTGACCCACAATAATACCGTCATTCGCTTTGGCGATTGAACGTGAGGTAAATATTTCTGCCGAGCACGAAACACACCGATTGGACGAAGCCGACCTGCGCATCTGCCTAACTTTAAATAATGGACAGTTTACCACACAAAAGCTGTCGTATGTACCGCAAATCGAGCACCGTAACCACCTCATTTGGTATAAGCTCTGTGATGTTATTTCCCACACAGTTTGTAAAGCAGATACGATATTCCTATTATTATAATAATTATTATTATTGTACCGGCCAAATGGGATCGGTCACCAAACTTTGATTTTGGTATCCTGTCCTCCCCATGACCCCGATTACAATGAAACAAGTGTGATTTTGTCCAGTATTACTAGACAAATCGATTGGTTTTCGTTTCATTAAGATATGCACAGTATTCGTTTCGCAATCGATGTCGGTATGCTGAAAACAAATCATATCGTCAGGAAACTTTCACTTTGACGGCTGATCTGACAGAACGAGGCCGACTAAGGAGACGTAGGCTATGCGATATTGTTAGCGACTTGCTAAGCTACACGTTCAGCTTGAATTTACTTCTGTCCGCATACTGGGGCAAGCACCGCGGCAATCTCTACTTGGCGCTTGACACCCTCAACGTCGCTCCAAAGGCGCAAAATGCGAGGAATCCGTAATTCTAGCAATACATTGACCAATCACTTCGTAATTTATCAGCTGTTTTAATGACTGATGGTCGCACGACAATCCGATGTCATGGACTTTTGCCCAGTCGTGAATTTTGGAAGTCCATATTTCATCAAGTATTAAGGCCCAATCAGCACATCTCGCTGCAAATTTTTACGTAAAGAAAACCTTACCGGAAAATTCGGTCTGTATGAAAAGTATCCATGTGAATATTTCGGAGACCGATCCCATTTGGCCGGTTGGTGGATTTGCGTCTCCGTGGCGCACCCTTGCTTCACATCAACTTCCGGCTGCGGCCTTTTTGGTTACTGGCAGTCGGTCTTGCCGTCACTGTATTTTTCATAGGAATACTGCAAAGCGAAGTGAGCATTAGGGGGTCAGTAGGTGTTAAAAGCTTAGAAATGGTACGAAACATTTCACCGCTTACTGTAGACATAGATAAGATGGTCGGACATCTCCCAAATATCGAAGTGCTAGAGTTACACCCGGAATACCGGGTAGTTCAGAATAGATCGTTGAAAAAGCGTCACCGTCGAAGCGATGTTTGTGTCACAGTCCACCGTAGCATTGATCTCCAGCAGTGACTGCTGCAGTCCGTAAAATCGCTGAGCTTGCGTCGGCCGTTCCACACGCTGAGGAGATTTGAAGTAGTTACATGTATTATTAATAAGCTGACGAACCTTCTTGACCAACGCTGCGCCTTCGGGAAACTGCCCGCCAAGCGTGTACTCGACGTGCTTCTTTGTAAGATTTGAGGTGGGGTTAGCAACATAGATCGACTCCGTTTTCACGCATTCCGAGGCCGTTACCGAGGCCTATATTCAGCACGTGCATCGCGCAATCCACTGAGATATGCGGCTTGAACACTTTGCGCCGTATCTGACATGAGAAAATGTGGCATTCCGTAGCCGGATGATTACTGGCTCCTTGTCTGTACACAAATACAATCAAATACAGCTGAGAGCTACGGGACGCGATCATCTCCTTCACCACCTTGAGTTCGTGAGAGTTGTTTTAATTTGTCACCAGCATCGCGAATACCCGGGCCTCCCAGATACTATCAATGAAAGAGATCGAAGTCCCAATAGCCCCTTCTTGCCGGTACCGGTCGTCCACAAATCGTGCATCAACTTTAGAAACGGCATTTCAAATGCCAGGCGGAACTCAATATTCAGCAGGCGCGCTACTATTTCGCAAAAGCGGATGAAAGAGGTACTGACCATGTCGTCGAAGGTACCATACGGAAGGATGGTGATACCACGATTATCGGTGGGCTACTGGCAGTGGCTACTTCAATTAAACGACGAAAGTCGCCGCTCACCACAGTGTTTTATGATAACCCTAAACCATACAGAGTAAGTAATAATACAAGCTGAGATTTACAACAACATTTAGAGCATCACGAACACTTACCATCACTTATCAGCCAACCCGCAATACAAGCGCTGAGCACCGTAGCCACTGGCCCCCACGGATTCTGTAGAGCTCCTCTCTTCGTTTACACTTAATTCGAGCCCCTGAAGCTGATCGATGGGGTTTTTCACCTAACTCTTGGCTAAAGCGTCTTCTATCTGACGACGATATCGCTTCACAAGCCTGGTTACCTCCGCCTTACCAATCGTATGCGATCAGCGCATAGCAACCAGGTGTTGCTTCAGAATGGACGTGTGCCTCCTCCCATGCTTCATCAAGGGTGTTGCGCTGACTTGTCAGGCGCATCGCACAAAGCACACAAATGTGCGTGAAGACCTTCGAATGGTCATCATTGCCAATCGAGGACGGTGTCGCGAGAACATGGGATTGCTACAAATTTGAGTCTCCCCAGGACCTCCAACCCGGTGCTATAGACCTGAATGCTCTATGGAGTGGCCAGCACATATAATTTACTAACTGGCGCAACATTGTGAAGGCAGGATTTGTGTATCCCCAAGACCGTGTCACACAACGTCCCAGTGGAAAAAGAAGGGGTGTCACCCCTAAAGGCGTTGCCAATGACCCGCAAGCTCGATCGCTCATTGGTTCCATCCCTCTTTTGGGACGATATACGAATGACTCTTATCCCTGGCTGTCGGATACAAGTCGAGTTTACAGTGTTTTTTTTAATACCGTAAAACTCGGCAATAAACAAACTACCAAAAAGTAATTCGGAGAAATTTACTTGATGTTGGTGCAACCAGGCTGCAGGTTTTCCTATCCAATCATATTCACGGAACGTTGACAGAATGATAACCTGCAGATGGGTCGAAAACAAGCGCTGCATGATTCAGACTCTTAGTTTGCAGTATCAGTGTAGGCTTGCAGGTAAGAATTAAGGGAATCCTATTGGCTGGTGAATCATGCAAAACATTCGAGCCGTGAGCCACTATTATCGTATTTAAAAGCGGTATCGCAAAAAATTCCGATCAAATTTGTCCTAGAGTAAACTCTTGTTGGCTGAAAAAGAGTGTATCGTTGGCAAAAACAAAACATATTCGACCACCTTGCCGTGTCCAAAGAATTTTCTGCGTCAATTAAATGCAGTTTGAGACGATCCGAGCTGCCGAAGTCATGTCGTGCTGGGCGCGATAATAGAGAACTATAGCTGCTGGAGCTATTTTGGAGTTATGAAGCTATTTTCGTACTTAAAGCGTCCGAAACTGTACATCATAACCCTTTGCTCCAAAACCGCAGCTCCATGGAGCATCTCAGAGAGCGGTTTGCTCCAAGGAGCAAAACACCAGGACCCTCTATGATCTTATGCACTAAAGCGCGTGGAAGATGGTATGGTTTCCTTTGGATTCTGCACTCCGCACTCCACTGCGCATTCCGCAATCGGCAGCACCATGGAGCACACAGTCTCTCTAAAGTTCGAGCGCCATTCCGACAGCCCACGAGGGCTACAAAACGTTCTTCTGCAGAAGGAGTTCAAGACGCAGAACCAGCAGCAAAGAAGCAGGCAACTACGAGGGAGCAGGCAGATACAAATGTTGCAGAGAGCTCTTTAACGACAGCATATCTGCTGGACAAACTACCTGCTGCCACAGCAAAGAGTTCAGCGAGCCTGTCAGCGGCTACACAGTGCACACAAAATCCACAAGTGGCTATAAACGTGTCTGAAGGTAACGCCGACGGCCACGTCGCTGTGGCCATTCAAGTCGACTGCCCCTCAGACACTTCAGATGATAAGAAGACGAAGAAATCGACAAGCAAGCGAGCTGATAAAGATAAGGGTAAGCGTCGTGTGTCGTACACCGTGAAACAGAACTGCCTTGTGCTACACGAAATTTTGGAAGACTCTGGCATCTTCAACCGAAATGAAGAGTCGAAAACGCAACGATGGGTAAAGGCTACGAGCCGAGTGAGCGAGGTTCTAAGGAAGGACATTCACCGGAGGCGCTACGCAAGCATCTTGATGTTCTTGTTAAAACCCACCGCAAAACGATGGCGAAGGAGCTCGCACTCTCAGGTAACTGGTTATTTGTTTTGCTGTTTTGCCAAATAGTAATTTTTTAAAAAATATGCTGTACTCTGCTAGCTCGTTAGCTTAACAAATCAAGTGATGAAGTCGAACTGAGTCCCTTCTATCTCAATACATTGAACTTAAAGAGGATGAACTTGCTTCGAATGCGGAGCGAATTAAAAGCCGGAGCAAAAAGACGAGCAGGATTGCATCGGTGGGGAAGCTATTCGGACCGCGGCTGTAGCGTGCGAAAAGCTGAAGAAGACCAAGTCCAGTAGAAAGCGAGCAGATATACTGGAATTCGCCAAGGGCTTAGCTATGGAGTCTGATGCTCGCCAAGAACGCGAACGCCGCAAACGTAAAGAGCGCATGCAAACTCGAGCTATCCAGCTGCAAGAACAACAAATAAAGTCCCAGCAACAAGTAGCTGAGGTCGCGATGGCTATGCAAGCTTTGGCGGTGGTACTCGTAAAAGCCGTTAGCACCGGTGCCAATTAGGACTGCTGCAGCACCAACGGCATCAATAACGACTTAAAGGTTTTTTTCTATGCGTTTAGCGATCATCACTAAGCGAAGACCAGTAAAATGAAAGTTTACTTTAGCTTGCGCTTAACTCATAGTTTAAAAAAAAATGACCCTCTTGCTTGCCAAATTCAGTACCAAACTCAATTTTGCTGTCAACATTGCTTTCGATGTCGCTCTCGGTGTCGCTTTCGTCGCCGCTTGTGTCACTGCCAGAATCGGTGATAAAAAATCAGACTCGTCCTCAAAGAAATTGATATCTTCATCTGATGGGTAGTCGTCTTCATTTACTGCAACTTCATCCAGATCAGCAAGGTAGTTGTGTAGAGTTAGTAGGTTACAGCGGAAATATTTGCTGGACTGGTTTCTTTGTCGCACTCAGGAAAGATAGTTGATCAGAAAAGCTACCACGACGTACTGAAGACTCGAGCACCTTCATATTGTTTGGCAGTGTAAAATATTTCTAATAACGTACGTTCCACCCGAAACCCTACTCGACTGCTATACGTGCCTTACTCAGGTCGAAGTTAAACTGTTTTTGAGCGTTAGTCAGAACTGCACCGGCGTATGGTACAATTAGCCATGACCTCAAAGGATAACTTTGGTCTCCGTAGATCAGGAACTCTGGATGTTTCCGCATCTCCGCTTCGATTTCACTAGCACGAAGCATATAGCCGTCATGGCGCCGTCCTTCCACCGGACCGTAGAGCAAAATTATTAATCCATTCGCCATGACAACGCTTTAAAACTTGATAGCGTGCAGCTTCTTGTGTTCATTATTCGCTTGTCGTTGATGTCGTGCGGAGCGACAAATACGACATACAGCTCCATCGATAAAACCGAAGCAGTACGCATGACGCCCCACTTTTGCAAATATTGCCTCTGCTGAACGCTGCTTGTAGCGGTTAACCATTCGGTGGTCGAACTCCATCTTCGTTATTATCTTGTTGTAAACGATACGGGCGACGATGCTCGCAACAGAGGAAATGGCTCAGGGCTTCGATCAAACTCCGCCACGAGGTCGCCATGGCGACTTGGCAACACTAGACGCCTGAGCAAGATACAGAGCGCTTCTTGACGGGGGACGGGGCCTGACTGGGCGGGGTAGATCATGTCTGGTAGCCTCAAAGCGATGTCTAACTCCTCGATATCATCCGGTAGGAACCGAAACCGGCGCTTGCATAGTGCTGGACTGATTTCGGTCGAGCAAAATGTTATAGAGACGACAGGAACGCGGTCGTTGGTGGCTCGAATGCACATGAATTGATCCAGATGATGAAGCGCTTCACCGAAGTCCAACCCAAGTGCAAGCATGGCCGCTACGAGTACTTTCAGCTCCTCACCCTTGACGTCCAACCGCATTGCAAAACGGAGTGGCACCTCTGAGATTTGAGTAAGGAGTACCGTGATATCTCAATTTTACAATTTTTTTGGAGTTAGAGCTGTCACTTGGAGCATCTCTAAATAGCTCCAGACCAAAATAGAGAGCTTTCGAAGCGCACTTGATTTGATTTTCAGCTTCAGTACAACACCTTTTATGCAAGCTGAAACTAGAATCCTTGCCAACCAAAGGTGCGTTTCAAACTGTCTCAGTTTCAGCTTGACGAGTTTCAGACTAACGGCAATGACAGTGGAAGAAGCGATGCCAGACCCGGAGACTTATGCGCTCACACCGCTTGCCTTGCCCCCGGATACGTCGCCCAGTGTACGTAAAACTTTACAGTGACTGATGATCTTATTTTGCTCCGCTGTGCAAACCTAGTGAAGCCATAGGAGGCTGTCGTGGGCACAGCAAATGGAATCATGAAGGCCTTTGAGATTATAGCAGAAAAATGCCGCGCTGTTGACGGATTTTTGAAGGACGACCCTGCCCTAAATGACTCTACCTTTAAAATTACTGTCGTGTCCCAACACTTCCAGCAATCCGCTCATACTCGGCATAGTTGAATCGTGGTGCCTTCCTTCCACAGGGCCAAAAACACTAGAAAGTAGGCCGTCCGGCGTTGTTACAGCCTGCCAGTTGAGGCAATGACGACGAGGGTGGCCGTTGTAGACAGAATGCTGCAGGTTCTCGAAAGAGGAGGCTGGGTTGCTGCGTGCACTAGGTCGCGCAATGTATTGCTTGGTACCATCAATTAACCCCCTGCATGAACGAAGTGGGGCCCCCTTCGTTGCGATTACTTCGCAATGGTCGTCAAGACGATTGGCTACGATACTGTGAGCGAAATATAGTCGATCTGCATGTTCACGGTAAAGAATAGCGACAGTCTTCTTGCAGATACGGCTGTAGGCAGCAGTTGACCGCCCAAACTCATTGGCTACATTGAAAAGCTTGGACGGCTCGGAAAGCCTGCGGCAGACCATTGCGAGAGCCTCAACGCTGGGGAGAGTCACCGGCCGATGTAAGTAGTAGTAGCTGGGGTAGCCGTAGCTTGATAGACAAACACTGAAGTTCGCCAATAGTGAAGTTGTAGCGAATACGGGCTGTAGCGTCATCCATGTCTAGGTCGAAGTGGTTGTCGAAATTGATACGAGGACCACGCTCGAGAAGACGGAAGCAATGGTTCTCTATGAGAGCGGACATTATGGCCAGGAATCGCCTCCTCTTTCCTCTAGCTGCTGCCCAGGCGCTGCATATGATAATTGAAGCTTGGTCGGCCGTCAGTTTGGGTGCCACGAACACCATCTTGGTCGGCACTGTGTCTCTGGCGCTCCACTCAAACTGAAAAGGGAGTTAAGCTAGAAGCCCCTTTTGCTCTACCCTAACCAGCGATAGAGTTTTACGGTACTATCATTAGCTGAAACTGAAACTCAATCACTGATTTAGTGGTCTTCGAAATATCTCTATGTTTCTGGAGTTGGAGTAAGGAATATCTTACCGGATTGGCCACAAGTAGCTTTCCGTGTGGATATTTTGAGATGCTCCAATACCTAACAGTGGAGTTAGGTCGCTTAAGTCTAGTTTTGGAGCAGCGCTTCGTCACCCTCGATTAGCTCCAAAACCGTCCTTACTTCCATGTATAAGCGGAGAATTCCTAACGTAGACTTAGAAGTAAGCAGTATAGGATACGGATATGTTGTTCTTTCAGATAAAAAAAATGCTGTCACGAGCTCGCTCTTTACTTATATACGTAATCTTAGCTGTTGTCATCTATTGTCTCCAGCAACCCGTCGCTCATAATTTTGTTGTGGCGAGCCTCTAAGTCGCCCTCCAGCTGCAGAAGCCTCTCGTACGAGGCAGACCGAACTAGCTCCGTGACACCACTACTCTCTGAGTCAAGTTGAATTCGCGCGATCTTCGAGGTAGGAGAGTTTAGTCCCTGCCAAACCACAATCATCAGCTTCAAATGTAATAATCTCCCGGACGTGCACTGTTTTTCAACCTTTTCCAATGGTTCCTCCACGTTCTCTGAGGCCGTATAAATTGCCGTTACTCGAAGTTCCGAGTCCCCTCGACTCACCAACAGTTCCTGCTTCCTCTGCAACATCCAAGAGCAGCACGGTTAGCACTCTTCTGTATACTGTATACACTGCAGTGCGGCAGTCTCACGTCTTCCAACACGCGAATGAGAAAATCGACTGTCGCGGCCGTCATCGTCTCCACTTCCCCAAAATCTCCAAGGTGGATCCCTGTTTGAAGATGCGGTCCCCGTGTACTATTCGTGTCGGTATATGTTGCACTGTCCTCCGTCTGTGTGGCCTGATCCGTCCACGACTGCACCACCGGCCTAGCAACTCTCGCTTCTGGCGTCCGCAGCGGTGTCGACGCGTCCCTTCGACTGAGTGGAAACGAGGGGCTAGCTCTCAATGTAGACTGTAGGTTGCTAGGGCGCGAGCGTACACGCGCGGCACTGGGTGCCGTCCAAGTTGCCGTCTCGGACGCAGATCCGCGGCTTTGATTCGACTGTGACGGCGCTGAGCGCAACAGTGACCACGCCGCCTCCATCCTAGCAGCAATAAGAAATGTTACTTGATTAGCGACCAACAAACATGGGCGCTGGAGACGCAGCACGCACCGGCGCTCTCGCTTCCGGGCTGGTGCTAGCGAACTATCCCGGTACATGAACGTGTAATTAATTGTACCTGGGTAGTAAATTTAAAGTACATTTCTAAAAAGTGGATACCCGGTACGCAGATACATTATGTACCAGTGTAATGGTACCCGCTGCCCTCTCCACTCAAAAGTGCGTCAGTCTAATCTACGACGAGCGGACACTCGCTGCCTCTCGGGAACTAGTATTGTAGTTTGCACACGTCGCAAGAGAGTCTTGCTTCCGGCATCGCGTCCAGCGTCGTCTCACGCATCTACAGCAGTTAATTTCACTCTCCCACTCCCTCTGTGGGCTTCATTGACCTCTCGCGACCGGATGCTACGTGCCCGCCGTCTAGTGACGCTCTGGCAGCGTGCACAACCCGTCACAGACGCGAGTCTGCAGCGTCTGAGCATGAGTCTTGCCCGAATAGACGCTGCACCTGTCTCAGTTCTACATCGTCGCTGGATGTCCTCCGAGGGCATGAACAACGTGCCGTTTGAGACGGACGAGAACATGACCAAGCTACTAGCCGAGCTGGACACATTCCGTGAGACCGGCAAGTGGCGCCAGGCGCTCAAATTGCTGGACCGTGTGGACAAGGACGCCGCTCTGCCTGCACTGGACCCTGTCATGTATGAACGCGCCATCGCCGCCTGCGCGCGCATGGGAAAAGTGGAGGTGCTGCCAGGTCTGCTGAACAACATGCTGGTAGACGACCTGACGCCCACCAGCGCCACCATGGACTTTATTATCCAAGCTTATCTGGCCAAGGAGCACTGGGGACTCATCGTGCAGCTGGCGAGTGAGGCTACCGCCATGGGCGTACAGCTATCGCCCGCCGCCTTCCATGCCATCATGGAAGCTTGCGGACAGGTGAGAGATGCCGACAGCACCTTCAGTATCATGGAGCAGCTCAGTGAGGCTGGCATGCCGCTCACCTCCGACCACTACGCTGCGGCCATTCGTGCTGCGGGTATGGGAAAGCGCCCTGACACGGCCATGGCGCTGTTCGTGCAGATGGAGGAGCAAGACGGACTGAAGGACAACGGAGCAGCCTTCAGCCAGCTGATCCGTGCTCAGGTTCTGAATGGAGAGCTGGAACAGGCGCTACAGAGCTTTGCCACCGTCTCGCAGCGCGGATTGATCTTGGATGAACCCATTTACACGTGCACGATCGACTCCCTTGTGGCGAACAAGAAGCACTGGCAAGCCACACGGCTGTTCGAGCAGATGCTTGAAGGCGGCGAGAAACACCCGAGTGTCTTCTGTCTGGGCCGCGCTATGCTCGCCTACACAGGCGCGAACCGCAGTCAGCACGCCTGGGCCTGTTGGAAGAAGATTGTGGACATCAACGAGCCGAACCCCGTCGCGATGAAATACAACAAGATGCTCCAGGGACTGACGCATGTTAGGGACACACAGCTTGCAGTTAAAGTGTTTGACCACATCCAGACGCTCTTTGAGCCCGGTCAGATCCACCAAGGAGCCTACACGACTGCAATTCGCGCTCATGGACGACTGGGGAACACGCAGAGGGCGGTGGATCTGTTCGACGAGTACGTTGAGAGCTGCAAGGACACTCGTCGCGTTTCTCGCTTTGTTGGCATCTACTTGGCGCTATTCAATGCGCTATCGAGAGACACTGTGCGTGATCCGGCGTTGAACACACGCGACGCTAAACGTGCCTGGAAAATTATGTCTGCGAATGTGCCGGTCGTGTTGCCGCCTGCGTACGCGAGTCTCGCGGGTGTGTTTGCTAGTACCGGCGAGATGGAGACGCTGGAGGAGCTGATCGGCCATGCCGAGCGGAGCTGGGGCGCCTCGGCGGATATGACGCAGCAGCAAGAAGTGGACGAAGACGGTGACGAACTGGAAGCCGTTGCGGTCTTTGAGGGCGAAGATGCCGAGCTGGGAAGCGATAACGACGTGCTTCTGTTCAACGGCGTGATAAGCGGCTTGTGCAAGGCACGTGACGACCAGACAGCCAACATTGAGGCGTATTTGGACATGATGTTGTCGCGCGGGCTTCCGATCACAGACTCCATCGTGCGCGCTACTACTGACGCCTGCGTTCGCTTCGAGAACTGGGAACTCATGCGTAATTTGATGAAAGTTGTGGATATCGACGCCTTGAAGAACCCCGAAGTCTGCACGGGAGACACCGTGTCCAAGCTCCTGGACGCTGGCAAGTGGAGTCTGGGTCGCGAGTGGCTCATGTTTTGCCATCGTCGCGGACTGCATCCTCCAGTTCGTCGTAAGATGGAGTTGTTACGAGAGATGTGTGAAAACAAGAGCAAGGAGTGGCGAATCGCGTACTCGCTGGCCAATGAGACCATGTCGTTCCGCCGCCTGGTCCAGAACAATGTCAACAGCGTCGCCGATGCAGCGGAAGTGTGCAGGAACGCCGACCGTATGGACCTGGTTATCAAACTCTTCGACGCTGCCGCGGGTCATTCCTCACTACGATTCTTCCGCAACCATCAGCGCCAAGTACAAGCAGGACGAGACGCGTCGCAGCCGTTGAAACTGAACGTGGAGCCCGTGGTGGTTCCTCTCAGTTTGTACAAGAACGCAATCCTGGCCCTACTTCGACAGCCAAAGGCCGGAGCTGTGGAAGTGGATGACAGCTGGCGGATGGTCAAGGCCGAGCGTATCTGCCGTCAAATGCTGGAGGTGCATGGGAAGCATCTGGACGGCGACGCTCTGTCCATGGCCATCTCAATCAAGGCCACTGCGGGAGACCACGACGATGTCGGCGCGCTGTACGAGTCGATGCGCGCTCTCGGTCTTGAGCCCAACTCGTACGCTCAAAACGCGGCCATAATCGCCTTCTCCCGCCAGCGTCGCACGGATCAAGTGCTGGCTATTCGCGATGAGCTCCTGGCCAGATGTGATGAGAACGGGAAGATCCAGACTGTCGAGTCGAACGTGGCCAGGTCGTTGCTGCTGTCGCTTGCTCTCGCACATGAAGACAACGCACTTCGTGACGCTGTCCAGAACCTGCCTGGCTGCACCATGGAGATGGCGCTGGATGTGCTTATGAACACGAACCGGAGTACTGATGCAGTGGAGTTGTTCAACGAGAACGCGACTTCTGAGTCGTTCGAAGCGCTCTTCCACCAGCTCTGCCAGTCGGGCAACCCCGTTCTAGGCGCGACGCTGTTGCTCAAGCATTCTCGTCTCCACGGATTGAGCCAAGTGCATCCGAACCGCGTGATCCGCGTGACCAACGCGCTGATCGAGAAGGGAAACCTCGTGGAGACGGAGAAGTTGCTGCAAGTGTACGTGGATGGCACCGATGGTGTGTCCTTAAAGCAGATGCCGCCGTACTTCCAGCAGCACACGATGGAGATGTTGCTGTTCATTTATGGCGAGTTCGGACACTTCGATGCCATGCGGTCGCTTTTCGAGAAGGAATTGCTGGCTTTTCCTCTTGAAGTTGCTCACTATGAGGCGGCGATGGAATACTGCACCGAGTCTCGTGACGAACTTGCTGGTGCTGTGGCTAGTCTGAAGCTGTTCGAGCTGCTCCGCACCAAGGGATTCATCCGACCAAGTGGCTACACGTATCTGCTGACGTTGCAAAGCTGTCTGCGTCTGGAGCGTCTGGAGCCTGCGAATGCTTCAGCTGTCAAGTCTATGGGTCAGATCATTCTGGACGACGTACGGGAGCATGGATTCCTGGACGGGGTTGCTGACGAGTTAGCGAAGCAAGTGGCGTCGGCGATTAAGCGAGTGCAAGTCAAGAACCAGAAGGTCATTCGACGCATCAATAAGGACCGAGAATCAGCGTTCACCAGTGTCATGAGCGCAGACGAACTTGCTCGCATCGCTCTCTTCTGCCATCGCCACGGCTTGCCCATGACGACGAAGCTGGTTAACGACCTGCTAAAGCTGCATCAGGATCTGCCGACCATGGTCTCGAACGAGTTGGCGTTTATAAAGCGTTCGCTCGAAGAGGGACTGGGCGTTGTTGCTGCACCAGGCTCCAGCATCCCGTCGAAGCGTGTGGTCAAGACCAAGAAGACTGCAGCTCCTAAGGCGAAGCGTGCACCTGCGTCGTTTGCGCCGAATACTGGTCTGAGACGTCCACGCAGTAAAAGCTACGAGGCTGCTGTGCGCGCTGCTAGCGATGCCCGGTGGGGTGTCGTCCTCGAGCCTATTGCGACGGACAAGGATTAAGAGCAACCAGACCGACACTGCAGATATGTATTTACACACCTTAGACAGCTAGAAGAAGACCAGCAATAAACCGTGTGGACATCCCCCCCCCATCACTTGATTGCTGTTTAAAACGCCACCACAGTGTCCATTGGTTGACAACCAATAACCTTATGCGCGTAGCCGAGAGATTAAAGCCTCTACAGTAGTCGATCTCTTGGCGTGTGGCGGCAGTGTCGCAGGTGCAAGGGCCTCTCTGTGACGTTGATCAGTCCAAAAAGTCCGCCTTGAAGCAGTTGGGGGCAGCCATGAGGAGCGATCTCTCCCCATCTCCACAAACGGACCAACTCATGGCTTGTTTAAGACTGAAAGGTCAAGGCGATGGGCTTCGCGTCAGTGGAGTTGTGCTTTATATGGTTATCATACGTAGTTTTGCTAGGACGAAAAAACAAAGATGTTTCACTAACCAAAACTTAAAGTAACTTGAGACCAATAATGGTGATACATAAGACCTCTACAGTAGACGACATGTTGGTGGTAACTTAAGTATTATAGCTTAAGACCATTAGCGGTGATAAAGAAGACCTCTACAGACGACATGTTGGTGGTGGACCAGTACATGTAGTGGCATGCCATGAAAAAAAAGTGAAGTATTACAAAATGTGCCCAAATTCAAAAACAGTATCCTACCACCGCACATTTGGTCGGTCGATCAGTTTTTCACCCGGTCGTGTCGTAATTCTGCTGAGAACCTCGACAGCCTTAAAAGTTAATATCCTGCTCTCCAATCCACTTCGTACAGCATCGGCTCGTTACGCAAATATCGATTGAAGTTGTCCACGAAAATGCTGGCGGTATCTTCTGCGAACGGATACCCAGCAACATGGGGAGTGAGCAGGACGGAGGGGTGCGACCACAACGCACTGTGGCGTGGAAGTGGTTCCTCCTCGAATACATCCAGCACCGCTCGCGACCAAACGCCATTGTCCAGAGCGTCAATAATCGTCTTCTCCGCTATCACATCGCCACGTCCGATATTAATAAAAACAGGTTTACGTTCTCGACAGAGCTCCAAGTTGCTCTCGTTCAGCAAGTACCGTGTCGAGCTCGTACTGGGCAACACATTTACCAAATAGTCACTTTGGGACAGTACTTCGTCCAGATCCGAGGTTACACGATCGGCACACTGGGCCAATTCCCGTTCCTGTTCAGGACTTACACGACGCTTAAGGCCGAGCACTTGGTAGCCCGCTCCACGCAACATTTTCCCAACGCCCTGTCCGATGTCTCCAAGACCCAGAACACCGATCGTGACGGTTGGAGAGGGCCGAAACTGGGCCATTTGGGGTCTTGCATACTCCCGATTACCCTGGAACTTGACAGCTTCCAGCACCATGCGCTCAAACAACGTCACGTATCCAAAGACGTATTGTCCCATGACTTGAGGAAGGAATCGACCCGCTCGAGTCAATGTGAACGAAGGAATTTTCTCGACCGGTACCTTCTTTTGGCTGTCAAGAAGTCGATTCACATACTGCTCAACACCTGCGTAAGTTCCCTGTACCCACTCGACGTTTCTCAAAATGTTTTGCTTGTCTTGAGGTGCGGAGCAATGAGTAGTGGTCCACCCGAGTTCTGGTCCATGACGATAACCTTTGCTTGTTTAAGAATACGCTCCTGGTCAGGAGTGAGATCCCATTGTGGAGCACCTGAGTCATCCTGTTTGTGTCCATGGAGAAGGTCTTGCATATTGTCTACAAGCGTCGGGAGAGGCATGTCCACGAATTCCAGTTTTCCCGAACGAAAGAGATCTCCAGCTGGGGTCGTCGAAGCAGCGAACTCCTTACGCACAGCCTTGCCGACCCCATTCAGGAAGGTCACAATGGGGACACGAATCTGTGGTGTGGATGCCATGCTACAAAGCAAACTGATGACGAATGCAGAAGGAAACTTTAGAACTGGAGGCAGGCGTATGGTGGTTGACAGCCCCAACTTCTAATCTCAACGATTAGATGGGGATGAGCTGTACGATTACTCCTACATGTACTGACAGTACTACTGTATCTGCCGGAGACATTGATGGATACAGTTCTTGCCCTCGGTTTGAACTTCAGACTAAATTACCGTGTCAACTTGACACTGTCAAGTGGCCACATTTTGACAGGTGAGGTTCCGATCAGTAACTAACGTAAAGGTCTATAGTATTCTTCTTCACTAGGTCCCCTACTAACCTTTTTTTTCTCAACTTAAAGAGCTCTAGCAGGCTGACTCAAACGATTAATACCCCGCCGTCCAGTCTACTTTGTACAGGACTGAATCACCACGCAAGTAGCGATTCAAGTTGTCCACAAACAAACTCGCCACGTCGTCAACGAAAACATACCCCGAGATGTGAGGGGTTAGTAGAACAGAAGGGTGTGACCACAACGCGCTCTCACGTGGAAGTGGCTCCTTCTCGAACACATCTAACACTGCTCGCGACCACACACCGCTGTCCAGAGCGCGAATGATCGTCTTCTCAGCGATAACATCGCCCCGTCCGATGTTAATGAAAACAGGTTTACGCTCTCGACAGAGCTCCAACTTCTTCTCAGTCAGCAAGAACCGTGTCGAGCTCGTACTCGGCAGTACATTCACTAAATAGTCGCTCGTGAACAACACTTCGTCCAGATTTGGTGTGATTCGATCCGCACAATCGGCCAGTTCCTGATCCAATTCCGAACCAATTCGACGCTTAAAGCCCAGCACCTTGTACCCCGCAGCTCTCAGCATCCTGCCCACGCCCTGACCAATGTCTCCGAGCCCCAGAATTCCGATCGTCACATTCTGCGCCGGTCGGAACTGAATCAACTGCTCTCTCGCATAGTCGCGATTGATCTGAAAGTCCCGAGCTTCTAGCAGCATTCGCTCCAGCATCGTCACATAACCGAAGACGTACTGGGCCATGATCCGAGGGAGAAACCCTCCAGCCCTCGTCAATGTAAACTTTGGCAATTGGTCACTGTGCAAAGCGTTCGCACCATGCGGTAGTCGGTTCAAATATTGCTCCACTCCTGCATATGTGCCCTGTACCCATTCAATATTGCGAAGAAGATGGTGTTTGTCCTTGGGTAGGTTTTCGTGGGGTGCCAAGAAGAGCGGACCCCCTGAATGTTGATCCATGACCACAATCCTAGCCTGTTCTACAGCCCGCTGCTGATCGATTGTGAGGTCCCACTTGGGAGCGTTCGAGTCATCCATGTTGTGGCCATTGAGCGGGTTTTGCGCGTTCCCAACAAGTGTAGGAACAGGAATATCCACCAATTCGAGCTTCCCTGAGCGGAAGAGATCTCCCGCGGGGGTCGTTGATGCTGCAAACTGCTTGCGCATGGCAGATCCCATCCCATTGAGGAAAGACACGACAGGGACACGGAGCTTCGAGACGGCGGGCATGAGAGCACAAGGCTGGGATCGACACGTGGTGGGGTATCTCGGAGCTGTTCTGGTGATTCACAGCCGCTCATCGAATCATAGTGATTGGTTGGGATACAATGTATAAGTGAATTGTATTTAAATGAATGCATCGAATAATTGAAGTAATCATCCCAAGACAGTTTGATATTGTTTGAAAACCCTACACCTAACTTGTCAGACTTTTAATTGTAGGTGAAGAGCTCACTTTTGATCTGGAACCCTTCCGCACACTTGACCCTTTCCTCTTTCGCGCGATGACTGCGTTAACCACCTCTATCGACGCGGATTCCATCTCCTCTACGTCTCCACTGCGTGTCCCCATCATGACGTTCATCGCCGGCATTGGCGTCAATGTCCGCAAGGCTTTCGCAGCTTCCGATTCCCCTGCTGGTGAGCTCTACCGTTCTGGAAAACTGGAGCTGATCGACATCCCATTGCCACAGCTGGTAGGCAACAAGCAGGACCCCCTGCATGGCCCGAGTATGGAAGACCCGGGTCGACCCATCTGGAACCTCACGCCAGAGCAGCAGAGTATCGTCGACCAGGCAGAGATCGTCATGATCGACTCGCATGGTGGCGGGCCCGTCTTCATGGCCCCAAAGGAGAACCTCCCAGACGACAAGCAGCACATTCTGACTAACGTTAAGTGGATACAAGCTACGTACGCAGGAGTGGACATGTACTTAGACCTGCTGCCCAAAGGACCCCACGCTGTTGTACCCAACTTCATCCTCACTCGTGCTGGTGGCATGATGCCACGGATCATGGCACAATACGTACTTGGCTACGTTACAATGATCGAGAGGAAGCTACTTGAAGCGAAGGAATACCAGAGCAAGCGTGACTATGCTCGTGTGGACATGATTAGCTTCCGTCCTGCCCAGTCGGTCACTGTAGGGATCTTAGGACTCGGAGACATCGGCCAGTACACGGGTAAGATGCTGCGTAGTTGCGGCTACAAGGTGCTGGGCTTCAAGCGCCGTGTGAGTGCACAGGACGTGGCTGATCTGGCCGAATGTGCAGACCACATCACTACGAGTTTGGACGAAGTTCTGGCCAAGAGCGACTACCTCATTAACCTTCTTCCAAGCACAAGTGCGACGCGATACGTGCTGAACGAGAAGAACCTCGAGTTGTGTCGTGAGCTCAGCCCCGTGCTCATCAACATTGGCCGTGGAGACGTCATCTCCGAGAAGACGCTGATTGATGCACTGAACAAAGGTACGCTGTCGAAAGCTGTACTGGATGTGTTCGAAAAGGAGCCACTTCCAAAGGAAAGCGAACTGTGGGAACACCCTTCAGTGCTTTTAACCCCACACGTCTCAGGGAAAGTGTTCCCGGAGGACGTGGCCGCCATGTTCCTGGATAATTTCAATCGGTACATCAAAGACGAGCCGGTGCGTTACAAGGTGGATTGGGCCAAGGGGTATTAACTGTCAGGGTTGAGCATAACTACATGATGCTACTATGAACACCCTCTCGAGTTGAGCATGACGGCTTGTATTAACATGTAGACATTTTTCACTTTGGGTATTCTAAAACGTTTTTTTTTTAACTCTTCTAAATACTTTAATACTGGTAATGCTGACAATAAAACGTGTTTCTGATAGTCTGAATGTACTTTCGATTTCCAATTCACGAAACAAAGTCGTGCTTCATCCGAAGAAGCTCTGAATTTTATCATGGTTTTGTTCGTTTTCGATGCTAACAACGTTAACGATTCGGTAGATAAAGCAAAGTGTGAAGGTTGGGATTTCCTGTTGTGATGCATCTCCTGCGCCTGCCTCGCAGCCACAGCATCTGCTTTGCTGAATCAGCCCTTTTGTTTTACTACAGTAGAGAGCTGTATTTTCTGGAGTTGGAGCAAGGAATATACATAAATCTCCGTGTGGATATTTTAAGATGCTCCAATGCTTAACTCCAGTGGAGCTAATCGGGCTTCGTAACCCTCGATTAGCTCCATGAATAGTTCCTGAAACTACAATTCAGTACTCATTTATAAAACCTGTTACAATACAGTGCGCGCCGTAAATAACGGACGCGCCCGAATAAAAGCTCCCTCCCGAATAATGCCCTCAATTGACCTATCGACCGGCTTTAAAAAATTGAATCCACTCCCGAATAGAACGACGCAGATCGCTGTCCAGTCATATTTGTCAGTCTCACCGCTGCACGCTAGTGGCATCTTCATTGTAGAAAATGAGCGGGCAGTGGCAGGCAGTGAGCATTGGCCGAAAGCAAGAGGTGATTCAGTGGATCGAGACGGCGGGAGAAGGCGTCCCCACTTGAGCTGTTGCACACTTTCGATCCCAGGGGTGGAGTGTCGATGGTGGTGCAGTGCGCCGCTGGTGGCGACTGCGCGATAAAATTCGCGCTGCTGCACCACACCAAGCTCGTGTAGCTGGCGGAGGCCGCAAGCGCTTGTCGGAGACACTGGAAGAGCTGCTCTATGAGGAATTTGTGACCAAGCGCACCAAGAAGGAGAAGGTAACTCGCAGCTGGCTGGCCGATATGGCACTCGTTCTCTACGCGGATGAAGCTGAAGGGCGAGAAGCATCGCCGCCATTTACGGCATCCGATCACTGGGTCTCGAACTTTGTGCGTCGCTTCGAGATATCGCTGCGCCACCGGACAAACCTGACGGTCCTTGGCGACGAGACCCTTGTGGACCGAGCCGTCCGCTACATGGTGTTTCTACAAGCTCAGCTACCTTCCATCGACTTAGAAAGGACTGTTCTCATGGATAAGACGGCCGTGTATTTCGAAGACGCTCGACAGACCTCGCTGGACTTTGTCGGTGCTCGACACGTCGTGATTCGCTCTACTGGGTTCTCTTCTATGCGAATTACTGTTGTGCTCGCTGTCGGCGCAACTGGAAGAAAGCTTCCTCCGCTTTTAGTGTGGAAAGGTAAACCTAAACCCACTTTCGAGAATAAACCAGGACCTCTTTACGTGGCTCAGCAGCCTCGTGCCTTGGCGGATAGTGAGTTGCTCAAGAAGTGGATAGATATTGCTTTTCCTCTCGTGGCGCAAGGCGAAGGGAAATGTCTAGTTTGGGACAGTATGAGAGCGCACATTTCGAAGGCGATCAAGGCGAAATGCGCTTCCAGGAAACTCTCTATGTGTGGTGTACCCGGTGGGCTAACGCCCTACTTACAGGCCGGGGACATCGGCATCTACAAGAGCTTCAAGGATTTGCTCTATGTGGAGATCAACGCCTGGAAGGAGTCCGACCAAGTGGAGTACACCCGCTTTGGTAACCCCCGAATGCCAAGCGTCGACACTGTGTGTGAATGGGTTCGCCGTGCTTGGCGTGATACCAAAGAATCGACTGTGATGCACAGCATTGAAGCGGCAGGCTTTGCGCGTGACCCTAGCGACTGGCTTATCGCCAAGCACGACGTTTACGGCGCCAGATTCCGCGAAAAGTGGGCGGAGGAATCAAAGGACGACGAGAATGCAGACCTGCTGAATCTTTCGGCTCTGGATGACGCGCTGGACGACATCAACCTGGTAGACGAATAGCTTTCCTCTAATAGAGTCCGTACCCCGAATACAAGCCGTTACAACTTTTGAGTCTGCACTATAAAATAAAGGCCGGACTATAATAGGGCGCGTCCGTTAATATCTACGGCGCAGGGAATTAGGGGTGCGCTCATATTATGTGCGCACCCCTAATTCCTGGTAATTTTTATTTCTAAAAAGGCGTTTTAGCTCTGAGACTGGATGGATGAGCTATTGATTTAATTTTTTGCGGACGACTTGCGCGGCACAAGCTGCGCCCATTGCCGTAAACCCTGGCCTCGCGACGCACGGTCTCAATGCAACAGCGTAAAAGCCAAAAAAAATCGGAGGGGAAAATTGCGAATCTAAAAAATAAAGAAACGACACTACATGCTTGTAAATAAAACGCATCATAATTTTTCAAATTTTCGCATGTTTGGACATAATCATTTTTACCACGTAAAAAGTGCTATTAATAACATTTTATAGAAATAGCAATAAAAAGTTTTACAGCTGTTGCTCCGAGGACAGATCTCGCTAAACACTTTACTCTAGTATGCTTGGTTTGAAATATGAACGAGCAGTTATTTTATAGCGGGCAATTAAATTTTGAAAATTCTGTGCTCCGACCTAAGCACCATAACTTAGAGTGAACGGTGTATAGATGTCCATAGCCATCCTGGTATCGTCTCGTATTTAGGTATTTCTCTTCATTAATTTATGAGCTCCGGATATAAATATCTGGGTTATTAGTTAACAAAAGTTGAAGCACCATCCGGATCCCTAGCTCTAAAGTGTAATACATTTCAGAAAAGTTTGCATGTAAACGGGCATTCTTCTTCCGTGTTAGCGCATTGCCGCTCTCCAAAGTTACCTATAGATCGTCCATGGGTGTACTTTGGCTTCTCGCTGCTGGATCCTCTACGACTTTCGCCGCCCACGACTTCGTATTTGCCAAAGTGACGTTTCAAAAATAAAAAAATCATTGTAGCCAATCAAATACGTGTAGTGCGTTTTGCCATTCATGTGCGGATTTACGTACTCGTCTGGAGAGTTTTCGTCACGCTGCGAGATCAGCGCAGCTACGCTCACCGAGGTCGCGCTGTTTGTAAAGGCGCCATCGCAGATTCCTTGGTGCTGCTTGCGTGTGTCCGCTGCAAACTTCTTGCGGAAAATCTCCTGTCGGGGGTCGTAGCGATCGAAGTCGATCTGCAACTGGTGCCCGATACGCGCATCGCATTGCGGACACAAGAACAAACGCATAGCCAGGATATTGTTAGCTAAACACGCTGGAAAATGCTCGATATTTCTCGATGCATTTTCACATTTATTGTTGAAGTGGTCTGGACAATCGTCCCGCGTCTCAGCCACTTTGACTTGATTTCAGTAGAGACTCCATTTAAGTCCGATCGAAAGTTCGAGTACAACGTCACCCGTGATTTCCATGCGGCTCTGTTTGATCCGATCTTGTCAGAACTGAATTTGCCTTAAACCACGCAAGTGAAGCGAACACACACAAGTGCAACTAATTACACACAAAGATGAATCCGGCAGAGTTCACGGACAAGACCAACGAGTATCTGCGCAATGCACAGGACATGGCGGAGGAGTTGGGCCACTCACAGCTCACACCGTTGCACGTGGCCTACGCGCTCTTCGACGACCATAACGGCACGGCCAAGCGCGTGGCCGAGCTAGTGCACGGTAACGTGGCTGGCTTTAAGCAGGACGTGATGCTTCAGCTCAAGAAGCTGCCCAAGCAGACCCCAGCGCCCGAGTCCGTCGGAGCCGACTCGGCGCTCATGAAGATGCTAAAGTATGCACACAAGATGCGCAAGGACATGAAGGACACGCACTTGGCGGCCGACCACTTGGTCGTGGCGCTCTACAACAACTCACAGGTCGCTCGTCTTCTCAAAAGCAACCAGATGGACGAGAAACCAAGTCAAGGACGCTGTGCAGAAGATCCGAGGTGGACGACCGGTCATCAGTGCTGCAGCAGAGGAAAACTATCGACGCACTCTATCAAGTACGGCCAGAAACTTGATCGAACTGGCTGAGGCTGGTAAGATCGACCCTGTGATCGGTCGAGACGAGGAGATTCGACGAGTGATCCGCATCCTGTCGCGACGAACGAAGAACAACCCCGTGCTGATCGGCGAACCGGGAGTGGGTAAGACCGCTATCGTGGAAGGACTGGCCCGTCGTATTGTGGTGGGCGATGTACCTGACTCGCTCAACTGCAAGTTGGTCAGCCTGGATATGGGCGCTCTAATTGCCGGTGCAAAGTACCGTGGCGAGTTTGAGGAGCGTCTGAAGGCGGTGCTGAAGGAGGTGAAGGACAGCGATGGCAAGATTATCCTGTTCATCGACGAGATGCACTTGATCCTCGGAGCTGGGCAGACTTCGGGTGCTATGGATGCTGCCAACCTCCTGAAACCCATGCTAGCACGAGGAGAGCTGCGTTGCATTGGTGCGACGACGCTGGACGAGTATCGCGAGCACGTGGAGAAGGACAAGGCGTTCGAGCGTCGTTTCCAGCAGGTTATGGTGAAGGAGCCGTCAGTGCCGGACACAGTGAGCATTCTGCGAGGCTTGAAGGAACGATACGAGTCGCACCACGGCGTGCAGATCATGGATGCGGCTCTGGTTGCTGCTGCCAAGCTCGCTGACCGCTACATCAAGGAGCGATTCATGCCCGACAAGGCCATCGATATCGTCGACGAAGCGTGCGCGAATGTTCGTGTCCAGTTGGACAGCCAGCCTGAGGTGATTGATGAACTGGAGCGTCGACAGCTGCAACTTCAGGTCGAAGCCACGGCGCTTGCGAAGGAGAAGGATGCCATGAGCAAGCAGCGTCTGAAAAAGGTGCAAGAAGAGCTAAACGAGATCCAAGACGAGCTTAGTCCGCTGATCCTGCATCACGAGGCCGAGAAAGCCCGTGTGAATGAGATCCGTCAACTTCGCGAGAAGCTGCAGCACCTGCAGTTGAAGGCTGAACAGGCTGAGCGTAACCAGGATCTGCAGACTGCTTCTGACCTGCAGTATTACGCCATCCCTGATGTCAAGCGTCGTATTGCTGCCGCAGAGGAAGTGAAGAAGCGCGAGGATGAAGACGAGATGCAGCACAAGATGGTCGAGGAAGTCGTTCGTGAAGACCAGATCTGCGAGGTGGTGGCTCGTTGGACTGGAATCCCAGTCTCCCGTCTGACGTCGAGTATGGGCGACCGCCTCATGCATCTGGACGAGCGTCTCCACAAGCGTGTGGTCGGCCAAGACGAAGCAGTGAAGGCAGTGTGCGACGCAGTACTCCGTTCGCGTGCAGGTCTCGCTCGCTCTGGACAGCCGACGGGCAGCTTCTTGTTCCTAGGCCCAACAGGTGTTGGTAAGACGGAGTTGGCGAAGGCTCTCGCGTATGAGCTGTTCGACGACGACAAGCACATGGTGCGCATCGATATGAGCGAGTACATGGAAGAACACACCGTCTCCAGACTCATTGGCGCACCTCCAGGATTCGTCGGATACCAGGAAAGTGGCCAGCTGACAGAAGCTGTGCGTCGCAATCCGTACAATGTGGTGCTGTTGGATGAGATCGAGAAGGCTCACCCGAAGGTGCTGAACATTCTGCTACAAGTGCTGGACGATGGGCGCCTTACGGACTCGCACGGACGCACAGTTGACTTTGCCAACACGGTGATTATCATGACATCAAACATCGGCGCAGAGCACCTTCTCTTTGAGAACAGTTTGTCACCTCGTGCCAGCAAGAAGATCAAGACGGAGAACGACTTCGTGGATACCGAGAGCGAGGCCAAGCGCGTGTTCGCCAACCAGCGGGAGTTGGTGCTGCAGCAGTTGCGCCGCACTGTTCGTCCCGAGCTACTGAACCGTCTGGACGACATTGTCGTGTTCGAGCCGCTGGGTCGCAACGAGTTGCGCCAGATCGTGATGCTGCAGTTCGAGTCGGTTATCAACCGTCTCAAGGAATCGCAGATCTCGGTGAACGTGTCGACGCCGGCACTCGATGTAATCCTGGACGAGTCATACGAACCGCAGTACGGTGCGCGACCCATCAAGCGATACATCGAGAAGCATATCGTCACCGACTTGAGCAAACTCATCATCTCTGGTCAAATGCACGCCAAGAGCCACGTGGAAATCGCCGTGAACAGTGGAAACCTCTCATTTGACGTCTCGCAGCCCATGGACGCCGACGTTGAGATGGCTCCCTAAGCAGAGATAGTTGATCCACTATTTAGATATTTGCAGACGTTGAAGTTATGTTTTTATACACATTGTTTTAGTAATACTGTAGTTAAATATTTGCATGCATATTTTTAAAAGTTACATTGAAATGAATGTTTTTTAAATGTTTATACCGTAATGGGTAGGATACTTTTAATTTTCATTTTTGTCTCTTTCAAAAAGCACATAAGATATGCTTTTTTCCAAAAAAGGTGTTTTCTTCTTAAGACAAGACAATTTTGTGTAGCCACACACATTCCCGTAAACGTTGAACTGCCTCATGTCAACGTAAGCTTCCGATCTCCAGGACGCGAGCTAGTAAGTTAGCCCCCATTCCTGTAATCGATCGCTTCCGCGTACGCCATCTCCAGCCTCAGTCCACCATGATTCAATCCCGCAAGATCGTGTGTCAGAAGCTGTCCACTAATTTCCGCGAGTGCACGGCCATCGTACCCTTCACGGTGCCGACGCTCAAACACGGCGAAGTGCTCGTCCAGACCAAGTACTGCGGCATCAACGCCTCCGACATCAACTACACCAATGGCGCCTATCTACCAGGCGTGCAACCGCCTTTCGACTGTGGCTTCGAGGCCTGTGAGAGTGGTGCAGCGTCTTTCAAAGATACCAACATGCACTAACGTTGTGTGTTTGTGCCAGTGGGCGTTGTGCTGGAAGTGGGCCCGGGTGTGACCAAGTTCAAAAAAGGCGACGCTGTAGCCTCCACATGTAAGAACCTCACCAGCACGTTGTGGGTTGGTACATAAACTAACAATGACTTGATCTATCTCGGACCGTTGACAGCTTACGGCGCGTTCACCGAGCACCTGGTGGCCAAGGAACGCTTCCTGATCAAGGTCCCTGCCGCTGTTCCGGAGGTTCTACCGATCATCGTATGCGGTCTGACGGCGTCCATGGCGCTCGAGTACGTGGGCGAGATGAAGCATGGTGAGACGGTGCTCATCACGGCCGCTGCCGGTGCCACGGGCCAGTTCGCCGTGCAGCTGGCCAAGCTCGCCGGCAACCACGTCATCGGCACGTGCAGCTCGCCCGACAAGGTGGAGTATCTGCGCTCCATCGGCTGCGATCGCCCCATTAACTACCGCGAGGAAAAGGTGTACGATGTTCTTAAGAAGGAGTACCCGCGCGGTGTGGACCTCGTGTTCGAGAGCGTGGGCGGCGAGATGTTCGAGGCGTGCGTTAACAATATTGCACGCAGGGGCCGCATCATCGTTATCGGCGCCATCGCTGGCTACCAAGACTCGAGCACCTGGAAGCACAAGCCCAACAAGGCCACGACACCGCTGCCGTCCAAGCTGCTGGCCAAGTCGGCATCAGTGCGCGGCTTCTTCTACAACGATTACTTCCGTGAGTCGCAGGCGCACACTAAGAAGCTAACGACACTGGTGCAACGCGGCGTGCTGAACGCTGGCGTGGACCCGTCCAACTTCTACGGACTCGAGGACATCCCGAACGCCATCGACTACATGTACGAACGCAAGAACATCGGCAAGATCGTTGTAGACCTCACCAAGGGCTCTCCCAAGCTCTAAATGTTCAGCTGGTCGACACGAGTGTAGCCATGCCGCGACTACCGTAAAATGCCGACCCTACATTTTCCAAGTCATTTTGTTTATCCAATCTTCATGTACAGTAGCTGTAAACTTACAGTGCGTGCGTTATCCCTCGTCAACGTGGAAAGGCTGAGCACACTCATCATGTCACTCTTCATTTGGCCATAATGGCAGCAAAGCTCCGGATTCCAGTGATCACGTTCAAGGAGGGACTGGTCGATGCGGTGAAGCAGCGGATCCTGGCGACGGACTCACCGGCGCGCGCGCTGTTCCAGGCTGGCGGACTGGAGTTCGTAACACTGCCCCTGCCAATGTTTCCCCCGTCTCACGGAGTGCAGGCAGCAGCTCCCGGTGACAAAGTTGACGCAGAGAAGGTTGAGCTCGTGGAGAGCAAGTGGGAGCTCACTGAAGATCAACTGGAAGTCCTATTACAGGCGACGATTGTCTTGGGGGACGCGCACAATTGCGCGCCGCTGTTATTGACCCCGGAGACTGGACTGCCCAAGAATATGCAGCACCTCCTTAAGAATGTGCAGTGGGTGCAGGGAACGTATGCTGGGGTGGAGCAGTACCTCAAACGTTGGGAACCAGGCACTCCGCCACCGTCATTCCAGCTGACACGCGCCGGTGGCATCAATGGATTGGCGCAATACGTCTTTGGGTACGTTCACATTTGTCCCTGTTAGTGTTGTATTCTTCTGACTCGTCTGCCTTGCAGTTGGGTCGTGACTTTTGAGCGTAAGTTCCACGAGGCCTACGCGATGCAGAAGCAGAAGGTGTTCGCACAGCAGGCGCTGAGATACCGACCATTCCAGTCGGTGACCGTGGGCATCTTGGGCCTGGGGGCAATCGGTCAAGCTATCGGCAGACTGGCCAAGCTGGCAGGTTTCAACGTGATCGGGTTCAAGCGGAGGCTGCGTGGCGACCAAGATGAGGTCGTCAAGAGCTGTGCTCATCGTGTATCAACCGACCTCAGCGAGGTTCTGCGAACATCCGACTACATCGTCAGCATCCTGACAACCCTTGGCTCGCAGAGGGGCTCTCAGCAAGGTGTTAGCTGTAGGTCGTGGCTTGCAGAGGACCTGAGCCTTATTTGGCAAAAGAAGAAGTAAGTTATATTAAGTATGTATGCTGTGTGGCTGCCCACAACAACACTTCAAGCTGAGAAAGGAAAACTAGAAATTTGAGTCTCACGTCGTATGCGTCAACTGGTCATACCACAACTGGAGCGAACCTCTTGTTATTCACCCCCATGCCAGTTGCCGCTCAACACGGAAAGAGACGTCGAATGTTGACGCGCTCCTGCGTCACTCCATAATCCAGCGTCACGGTGTCATTACCGTGCACTTCCACGATGGAGTATGGTCCTTTGGCCACCTCACGGTGTTTGTTGCCGCGATCTTTTGCAGCTACTCGAATCATTACTTGATCTCCTGGGTGATAGAAATGCTCCAGCCGCTTGGTGTTCTCGCGCCCGTTGTCTCTCAATATGGCTTCAAATCGGCGCTTAGTGAGATAACTCCAATTCGTCTCATGAAGCTGTCGTGTAATCAAGTCCTGCCCAAAGACCAGATGTGCAGGTGTTGTATCCAGAATCGTGTGAAAACTTGCACGTACTGCGAATGCAGCGTATTGAATAACTTGACACCAGTCTGCCTCCGGATAACAGCGAATACAGTTGTTTAGTACCAAATGTACTCGTTCACAAATTGCATTGGCTTGAGGATTCTTCGAGGATATTGGTTTCGGCTTGACTGCATAGCTCGCAAGCATCTCACGGAACTCTGTTGTGTTGAACTCATTACCTCGATCGAATACAACTTCCTTTGGTCTTGGATAACGACATAACCACGTCACGTCGAAGTTCTCTGCAGTGGTTTTTCCTTTGTTGTTCTCTTGGATCGATACTTCTAACCATCTCGTGGCTTCATCAATCACGGTTAAGGCGTAGTATCGGTCACTACCATACGGTCCCATGGTGTCCACATGCACTACATCAAATGGATCGACGTTATGCATTTGACGCGGTGGTAGTTTGCCATACGCTTGTGGCCCACCGTGTAGCTTGGCACGCTTACATGTTAAGCACTTCTTCACGAAATCTACGATTGTACGCTCCATACCGGACCAATAGTAAAACGACTTCATCGTGTGATATTGGCGTTTCGCACCTGGATGAACCAACTGAGTGTGATACCATTCCACCAATTCTTGACGTAATTCCTTTGGAATCACAACACGATGCTGGCAACTAAGAAGACGTGCACCCATTATGTTCTCGATCTGATAATCGGGATTGTTGGTGCCGTTCATACATATTTGCACTATGTTTTGTGTGGTCGAGTCTGCATCCTGGTGTTGCTTGATGTAATTTCCGTCAAGCACACACTCAACCGGATCGATTAACAGGGCTTCTAGCTCAGCATTTCCTGTCTTCTTACTCGTGTCGTACGTCATTCGAGAAAACGCATCTGCAGCGATATTGTCTCTCCCTGGAATGTGCTTGCACGTGATATGGTATTCCGACAAAAGTAATTTCCAGCGCTTGACCCGTAAGGAATTTTCCGTTGGATAAATGAGGTTCTTATGGTCTGTATGGACCACAATTGGAAATCCAAGTAGCATTGATCTGTACTCTTTCAAGATCTCAACCACAGACAACAACTCCAATTCCGTCGTTGTATAATTCTGTTGTGCTGTAGTGAGGCTTCTAGAGTACGACGCTATCAGCTTCCCTTGTTGCTCGATCAATCCACCCAACTGCTTTCCACTCGCATCTGCATAAATCTCGAACGGTTGCGAGAAATCTGGAAAGGTCAGAAGTACGGCCCTTGCTAAAGCTTTCTTGATCCCTTCAAAAGCGTCGTCTTCGCTCGATGTCCATTGAAATACAACCTTCGGTGACGTTAATCTCGTCAGCGGCTTCAACATCGCTGTCTTACTCGGTATCATTTCCCGGTAATAGTTTATCATACCGATAAACCGACGTAGCTCTTTCTTATTCTTTGGCCGTTGGATTTGGAGAATGGCTTGGATCTTTTTCTCTTGGGGCTTGATCCCGTCTGCATTAATGGTAAAGCCCAAGTACTCCACACTAGAGCAGAAGATACGGCATTTCTTACCATTCAGTGTCACGTTGAACTCCTGCAAACGTGAAAGCACCACTCGTAGATGTTCCAAATGGTCTTCTGCCGTTCTGGAGAAAATGAGAATATCATCTAGATAGACGATAACGAAGTCCAAATCGCCTAAAATTCTTGACATACACGCTTGGTATTCGTCTGGCGCCGTTGAGATTCCCATCGGCAGTCTCTTATACTGAAATTTACCAAACGGAGTACAGAATGCAGTAAACGGCCTGCTCTCCTCAGCCAGTTGTCTAGCGTAATATCCCATGTTAGCATCCAGTGTTGAGAAGAACTTTGCACCACCAAGTCGAACGAAAACATCCCTAATTAGGGGTACGTAATATGGGTTACGCTTCAGGAACTTATTCAAAGCTCTGAAGTCAGTTAGCAATCTCAGACGTCCATCTGGTTTCTTCAAGAAAAACGCTGGGGAAGACCACTCGCTACCAAAGATCTGTTCCAACACGTCGACTTGCATGAGTCGATGAATCTCTTTTCGTGCTGCATTCTCTTCAGACCTTGGAATCGAATATGGGCGAGCTTGGACAGGCGTGTACTGTTCTGCCATAGGCAGAATATAATCTGGAAATGTCATCCGTCCTAAGTGTCCATTATACAGCTGCTCAAACTGCGTTAACAGCACCAGAATCTGCTCGTATGTGGATTGGTCAATATCTGCCGTTCCCACCAGATCCTTCGGTTCCACTGACGTGTCGTTGATTTCTTTCACCTCCTCCTGCACGTCTTCGCCTCCTCTTTCATCGCTCACCCTGGACTTGTCTCCAGTGTTCACTGCCACAGTGTTGCCTTTCCACTCCACCATTCCGTCCCGGAAGTTGACAATTACTCCGAGTGCACTCAACAGATCCCGTCCAATCACCATCTCGTCTCTGGTGTTGTTAATGACTGAAAATGTGTGCGTAATGCGAGATCCATAATTCAAATCCATAAACCGGAATTGAACTGGCGTAGACCCTGAAGCTTTGACATACCCATCGACTTGCTCATAAGTCCGATCCAAGGGAGTCATTTCGAACCCAAGTTCTTGATTAGCTGCTAATAGATCGGCATTGATGAAACTTGTTCCGCAACCTGTGTCAACTAACGCCACGCGCTCCTGCAATGTCTTACACAGTCGGAAACGGAGACGCATTGGCGGCTTCCTGCCTGGCTCTTTGTCATTCAGTATTCTGCTGATGACCTTACACTCACTTTCATCGCTGAACGAGTAATCCGAGGCCATTTCTTCGACGTTTGTCATCTTCGCCTCCTCCGTTTTCTTTGCTGCTGACCACTGACTAGTACCACCTCTCGACGCATTCTTCTGCTGCGTAAAACACTCGCTGTCACTATGCGAACTTGTCTTGTGTAAGCTACACCACTTATCACTGTTGGTCTTATCACGTGACTGGAACTGCTTGGACGAGTTAAACTCCTTCTTGTTCTTCTTCCCGAAGTGTTTCCCATTATTGGCCTTCCCACCATTCGGCTTACCGCCATTCTGCTTACTGCCATTCTGCTTGGCATGCTGTTTCCACCCTCCAGCATGGCGCTCTTTACCTTGACGTCGCTCGGACTGCTCGAGTCTCTCGAAGTACTGTACGGCTTTTGGCATGGTGGTGAGGTGAACTCCGCTGAACTCATAGGCGGTCTTCCACTCGTTTGGCATGGCCCGCTTAAATGTACGGATCATTGACTGCTCGTCTATTTCCAGAGCATTAGTTGGTAGGTTCTTAAGCATGCGAATAATCTGACGCATTCGCTGATGGCATTCAGCGACCGTTTCATTGCGACGCTTCGCAAATAGAAATAGCTCTTCTTCGAGCCGCTCGTGGTACATATTAGGTACAAACATGTGACCCCACGACTCGTATGCCTTCTGAAAGGCATCCTTGTCCGTCATGTCCACATCTTCCGCTGTGTCAATCCACGCATCCAAGGCTTCATCGTCAAGCACTAAATGCAAGTGCTGTGACTTCTCTTCAGACGTCCACTTCTTCATGATACTCAGATGTTCGAACTGCTGTATCCACCGCAGCCACTCTTGAGCCGAGCCTCCACTAAAACGCGGAATACTGATCTTGATAAACTCACGTTCGCGACCCGTAGTCTTCTTTCGTGTCGTAACCTGGAACGTTACTGTTCTGGACACATCCGCACCTTCTTCACTCATTGTTACTTTCTTGCCTTCCTTGCCTCCACAAGGTTTGAGATATCTCAAAGTGACAACCCTTGGCTCGCAGAGGGGCTCTCAGCAAGGTGTTAGCTGTAGGTCGTGGCTTGCAGAGGACCTGAGCCTTATTTGGCAAAAGAAGAAGTAAGTTATATTAAGTATGTATGCTGTGTGGCTGCCCACAACAACACTTCAAGCTGAGAAAGGAAAACTAGAAATTTGAGTCTCACGTCGTATGCGTCAACTGGTCATACCACAACTGGAGCGAACCTCTTGTTAATCCTGCCCAGCACGCCCGCGACAAAATATCTACTGACAGAAGCGAATCTCAACGTGTGCTCGGAAAGGAACCCCGTCTTTATCAATGTCGGTCGCGGCGATGTCATTTCAGAAGAGACCATTGTGCAAGCGCTTGACAACAATTGGTTCTCCAAAGTGGTCGTGGACGTGTTCGAGAAGGAGCCGCTGCCCGAAGACAGCCAACTGTGGGGTCACCCCAGAGTCTTCGTAACTCCGCACGTCGCCGCCTACTGCTTCAACGAAGACGTAGCCGACACCTTCGTGCCAAATCTTGATGCGTACATTGCCGATAAGCCATTGCAGTACCTTGTGGACTGGATCAGCGGTTACTGAGCGAATTATCTTTTTATCTTTTTTAACAGCATTCCTCCGATGTGTGGTCACCCTCATTACGATTGTTTACTTGTAAGTTACTTAATCACGCGTATTTTACTTTAGTTTCTGATAACGTCACCAGTCTGCTCTTAAATATTTGATATTTAACTCCAGTGGAGTCTGTGTAGGCACTGCTTTGCACAATCACGCTGTTCGTGATTCATTGCAGTTGGCGAGCCAATCTGCTGTGCTACGCAGATCGAAGTAAATCAAGGCACTACGACAGAGTATATAACGTTACTTGGTAGGGGAAATGATTAGGCAAGACTACCGGTAAAACTAAAAAGCGGGTATGCCGCTTTGCTAGCAAGTTCCTTTGAAACTAATTTTGTAGAAGTGTGTAGCTGAAGTGCATTTCATGTAGCCATGCAAGATATGAATAGCTCCTACCTGTACTAGCTGCTACATGTACATGTATATACCGGGTTTTTGTGAAGGACAAATTATCGGCTAGACTTTTGTCCGACGCTTTCTGCGATTTGCTCCCATCCTGATATATTTAACGGAAATGCTACAGTCCATGCGTCAAATCCGCTTATTTTCCATGTAATACTCCATGTAATGTCCATGATGTAAAATATTTTCATTCGGTAATTTATAAAAACAACCCAGTCGTTGAGTGCAATTATTGTCCAACTCTCATCCGTGTATTGTCCACGATGTGATCTATGTAGTTAATACCGGTACAATACTGTATACCGGTAGCTGTACCAATCACACCAGCCTTTCATTTGCTTTTCAAACCCAAACTCGCCCCCCTTCGAGCATTGCCGCCGCCGCCGCTCCGTTACCTGCACGCCGCAGCCTACGTCACGAGATCAACCGTTGCTGCAATCGCCGGCCATGTCGCTCCGTCTACCCGCTTCCGCGACGTCTGAGGTGCGTTATCTTGCTGTTTGTGGTCTCTGTGAACGTGTTTCTAACCGTGCGTTATCTATTTGTAAATACAGGGTGGATCGTCCGACTCCTCTTCAGATATCGACACCACGGCTTCCGCAGCCTCCGGCGCGGCTGCAAACTCGGACGACGCCTCGCCTGACACGGACGATTTCAAGCGTCCATGTATTGTCCAGGTCGTAGACTCTCCCTCCCTTGTGGAGGGCCCCGCAGACGTGACGTATCCGAGCTGGTCGGCGTGGAATGAGTATTTGAAGGCTTACTCGGTAAAGTCCCGCCAGGTCATCCGCATCCAGTCAACGCTTAGTTGCGTATTGAGAAACAAGCGGCTGGGTCAAACAGCGGCAGCAAAGCAGGGAATGGATGTTCCGTACGTACCAGAGACGTGGGGTGCTTACCAACGCACATACATCTGCACACATGGCTGGCCAGCAAAAGACAGGAGCAGCGGATTGCGAACCAAGCACTTCGTCCGAGGATGCGGTTGTCCATTTCGATTTGTGGTGCAGCTCGTGCAAGTTGACGGCTTATGCTGCCTTCGCGTGAAGAACGGTGTGTACCAGCACAACCATGCGGTGGGGACAGCGCAGTTCAAGACGTACGCGGAGAACCGTAGGTTGGACGACACGGACACGAAGGATGCTGTGGACAGCATGGTGATGTACGGTAGAAAGCGCGCACGCATCTATGAGTATCTTCTGGGGAGAGGCGAGAACCTCGTCAAGAAGGATGTGGACAACATTGTGCAACGTGTTAAAGCAGAGATAAGAGGAGGGTTGAATGACGACGACGCTTGCGCCGCAACTCTCGCGGAATTCGCAGCTATTGACGGTAACGTAGTCACGGTGGACGAAACTGATGCGGGACACTCTGGTGTGATCAGTATGACTTCCAGACATATGCGCGACATGGTTACTAGGTTTCCAGAGCTTTTGCTTGTGGACTGTACCCACAAAACGAATCGGTAAGTCCTCCCATGTATTGTGCAATTATTTGTCCATGTATTGTCCATGCTTATTTTAATGTCATGCCCATGTATTGTGCGATTCTTGTCCATGTAATGTGCATTAGATACAACTACCAGCTTTGTACCTTCATGATGATAGACGACAATGGGCGTGGGCAGCCTGTACAACAGTCTTTGCTCGAACGAAACGCCGATTGGCAGATGTCCCGAGCGCTGGATCATCTATTTCGGATTGACGATAAGATTGGCGACAAGGTTCAAGTTATAATGGTCGACAAAGATCTGAATGAGATCCGCGTGTTGCGTCGGTACTTCCCTAAGTCGCGCGTGTTGATTTGCGTCTTTCACGTCATCAAATATCTCCGCACAGCGTCCAGGAAGCCAGAATATGGTAAACTTTCGTCGGACGATCACGACGCCATCGACGCATTAGTCCACAACATGGTATATGCCTTAAGTTCAGAGATCTACGAGACCAATTGGACCTCCATGAAGGCACTTTGCACTAGGACTGGATATATGGCATTTTACAACTACATGGATGAAAACTGGAACACTTGTACGGAGATGTGGGTCATGTACCAACGCTCACGGTTGGCACATTTGCGCGTCCACACGAACAGCCATTTAGAGAATTGGTTTGGGCATTTTAAGGACGGGGTAAACTCCAACATGACCATGACGGACACCGTGAAGGCCCTTGTGGGTGCTGATGCCAGGACTTCCAGTGAATACGTGTTCGACAAGACTAGGATCGGGTTACGTGTCAACCGCAACTACGACGAGGAGATGTGCCAAGTTTTGCGCTTTACGACGCATTTCGTAGCAACACACGTGGAGAAGGAGTACGTAATGGCATGTTCGAAGGTCGACAAGTTCAATTTCGACTTAAAGTCAAATCCAGGCTTCGTGGAGGTGACGGGTAAACACAAGACGCATGCTGTGGATTTGAAAACGTGGAGCTGCACTTGCTCGTTTGCTTCTGCAATGCGTCTGCCTTGTCAACACGCGATCGCGTTTCGGAAGTGGAGTAACGCCCCAGGAAGCGTAATACCGCTGAGTTGCATCGATGACAGGTGGGTTAACTCACAATTTATCCACGTATAAGCCGTGAGTTGTCCATGTAATATCCAATATTGATGTTGTACTGAGGGTCTGACATGTCATTCATTTAGATGGTTACATCCTGCTGAACAACCGATGACTCCGCGGCCTTTTGTGCTTAATGAGTTAAACCAGGGGAGGTGAAACACGATGTGCTTGACGCTAATGTTAAGTACAAGGAGTTCTGCCACTCCAAACCAAGTACAACAACGCGGGTAGCAAGAAACCCAAGTACACTAGAGAGAGTGCGCCTGTGCTGAATGAAAACGCGTTCTACCTACTTCCACCCAAACTGTTGGACAAGTGCGTTGCCGTGCTGCCTGTGAGCAACACCAATGAAACAGCCATCGATGTACTAACCCAGAGTCAAACTACACAAAAGACGAAGAAACATCTACAATACCTGGACAAATCATGGACAGCAACGGACAAAACCCGGAGATCGAGTGTGTCTACATCGCGGGTATCGGAACATTTTCACGCGAACAGATTGAGGCCATGGCATACTTAGCAAACGTGAAGCGTTCGTGTGATGATGGAATGGCGTTTACCAAATGGTTAACACAGGATGCAGCCAGCGCCATACCAGCAGCACAACAATCGACACTTCAGAGCATGGCAGAGGCCATTGCTCGCGCCTATCCCCAAGATACCATCCCAAGTGACGGCAACGATTACCACTACGCGATGCTGTACCGTCTCAAGCCGCCCCAATGGGCTAATGATGCGCTGATTTTGGCTTTTTGCGCGAGATTGTACAGGACGGGCACCGGCGTTCGCATCGTCGGTGTCGAGGCAGCCTCGGCGTCAAAGAAGAAGAAATCTATGAGTGAAAAAATGAAGACAAAGGTTCAGGAACTACTCACTGAAGCGGATGTACTGCTCATTCCTGTAAATTTTGGGAACATGCATTGGTGTGCAATGATCGTGGATGGCAAGCAGAACAATGTCCTGTACTACGACTCAATGAACCTGAAGACGTACAAGGACGTACTGGACCGCATGTCGTGGGATCTGGCTACTACGCTCAGCGACGACTTCAAAGTTGTGTCCGTCAATGGACCGATCCAGACAGACGGATACAACTGCGGATTCTACGTAATGTTGATGTTTTGGCGATATGTAGACAAGAGTGTGTCGCTGGACGTAACTCCGATTGGTCTAACGCTGTAACGCTTCCGCATCCTTCACTTCGTGCTTCACGGTAGCAAGCCATAATGCAACTAATACAATCTCATTTCTATTGAAACTGGAATCGACCCGCCTAATGTTCATGCGTATGGTTGACCTCCTGACTTCTGTATACCGGTATGTACGAGAGATGTCAGAGGACTTTCGTTTGCGAAGGTCTAACAACTTCCATTCACTATGGATTTTAAAAACAGTGGTAAGTAATTTATTTCGACACATGGACATTACATGGAGTATTACATGGAAAATAAACTGAATCGGCCTATATTTAAATGGGAGCAGAATTAGCTTTTTCAGAAAATGACAGAAAGCCAGAAAATGGCTCCATTGCAACAAATTTTGGGGAATGCCCAATTCGATCAATCAAGCGTATATTTGGCTCAAAAATACTTTTCATGTACTACTAAATATTAATACACCCTTGAAATCAGGGCCAACAGTACCGGTTTTTGATAAGGTAGTTCTACCGTCGAAAGGGCTCTCATACTTGGTACGGACGGGATCTCTCCAAACTGTTCACTCAGCATTTATGGCGGAGGCTCTAAACTTTGTGGCAATGGAGCACTACCGCTTCAAAAGCGACGGACTGACGACACGCACGTCGGTGGACCAGGAGGATTGCGAGTCCAGCTGTAGCCTCTTCTTCTTCCCGCTGCCGGAGCTGCCCCTGGACCAGCAGCTACAGCTACAACAGCTCAGCCTCGTCAACACGGATCTGGAGGTACGCGGTAACAGCTTCTTCTTCTTTTTTACCATAATTCAGCTTATTTTGACAGTTTATCCTTAACACAGCCGCTTCTAATGCGTGAGAAACACGTCAAGTACCTAAAACGTGGTTTGACGCGGTTGCCAGCGGGGTTTGTGTCGCTCGACGCCAGGTACTGTACCTGCTAAACCTATCGGGCTGACCGCACGATGGGTTTAAATCTGATAAAATGATGATTTATACTGCTGCAGTCGCCCGTGGATTATCTATTGGGTTCTCCATGCGTTAGACCTGTTGGGCGCTCTACCGGAGGAGGAGACGGATCGAGTCATTGGTGAGAGCGAGGCTTCGTCATATCAGCCGTCGTAACGTCAACATTGATCTTGGTTTATTCTTCATGTTAGGCACATTGAAGCACTGCTGGAACGACGACCTCGACGGTGGCTTTGGTGGAGGCCAAAAGCAATTGGGCCACACAGCCACCACCTACGCGTCATGCCTGACACTCGCTCTGCTGGGAACACCAGAGGCCTTGGATACCGTGGACCGACACAAACTGTACCGGTTTTTCATGTCCAGGAAGCACGCGGCCACAGGAGCGTTCACTGCTCACGACGGAGGGTGCGTATTGCTGCACGAAATGTTGCGGTTAGTTACCTTCATCTTTGTGACGTTGATCTTTGGCTATTGACAGTGAGGTGGACGTCCGCGTGACGTACTGTGTCATCTCCATTGCCAGTTTGTACGGGATCCTGACGGATGAGCTGAAGACTGGCGTCGTGGACTACATTCTGTCGTGTCAGACGTACGAGGGAGGCTTTGGTGGCGAGCCAGGAAACGAGGCTCATGGAGGCTACGCGTTCTGCTCCGTCGCGGCGCTCTACATCCTCGATGCTGTGGATCAGATCCGAGATCTCCCTGGGCTGCTGCACTGGCTGGCGAACCGACAGATGCCGTTTGAAGGAGGTTACCAAGGACGGACTAACAAACTGGTGGACGGTTGCTACAGCTTCTGGCAGGGCGCTGTGCCCGCGCTACTCGCTGAGGTTGTAAGGGAGCGATACGGTGACGATGTGCCGTACCAATGTCATCGGGAACAGCTGCAGAAGTACATTCTGCTCTGTGGACAAGAGATCACCGGAGGACTGCGTGACAAGCCAGGAAAGCCGCGTGATCACTACCACTCGTGCTATTGTCTGAGCGGGCTGTCCGTGGCTCAGCATGGAGAAGGCAGAGGTAAACCAGTCGTGTACGGAGACGCATCTAACCTGGTGACTCGCACACATCCCGCGTACAACATCAGCTATGACAAGGCGATGAAGGCGATCGAGTATTTCAACAAGAAAGGTCCATTCCAGCCTCAGTAGAACGAACAGGTGACGTGCTTACCCAGACAAAATGGAGGCTTGCTTATCTGGTCTATGACTGTGCTGTGTCGCTATGTGGTTGATAACTATAAAGGGGGGAGTTTATCGGGTTTATCGACATCGTGATCCTTGTGACTCAGATTATGCACGGATGGAGACCCACCCAGTTTGGGCAATGGAGGCTGGAAAGTCGAGGCGGATGAGTGGGAACCGTGATGGCCAGGATGATGTGCGGCCAACGAGCTTTTCCGCTTCTCTCGGTCTCGCACGGACTGACCTGTCGGAGCTTCAGCCATCAAGATCGCTTTGGAGACTGAAGACCCGCTCCCTGCGTTCCGTTGCTGCTTGAGTTTGGCTTTATCTTTCCGCCGCTGACGTCGTTGGAAGGGCGTTTCCTCGTCGTCAGAGCTCACGTTGTGCGTGCTGGAGTTGGGGTGAGCGCCGTGAATGATGCCACTTCCCTTCACTGAAAATGGCTGCTTGGCTTGGGGGAAACTTTGCTTGGACTTGCTACCGGCCCGCTTGACTTTTGGAGATGGCTTCTTCTCAGCTGCTGTGTGTCCATTCTCCTGCGACTGTGAAGCACCTAAATAATGGTCCAGCGACATGCCACTGACGTCGGATATTGGAGCGGGTTTCTTAGCGAGCTGAGGCGCCAACACTCGCAGAGATCCTGCTCTGGATAATTTCTCTTGTGCGCCGTCGTCCTCTTTGACGTGGAGATAGTCACTGAGAGACATACCAGCCACGTCCGATGGAGGGTTTGGCTTTGGACTGGATGGCTCGGACTCGTAGTCGTCCTCGTAGTTCTCTTGCTCGCTCTGTCGTTCGGACCCCTCTGCTTCTTTGTCAGCCTTTTCAGCTGCCATGACATTGTTCTGCGCTGGGATATTGAGCAAATGCTGTGATACCTGGCCACTGACTTTGTGTGTGGCAAAGTAATCTTCCAAGGTGGAACCTGCCAATTCGTCACCGTCGTCTTCATTGTCTTTGCTGCCTGGAGACTGCTGCTGCTGCTGCTTCCCCTTGCCCATTGTGCTGCTGCCTTCTAGTAGACATAGACAGACTTGTAACATTTGGACGTAACGACTGCCTAGTCGTTTCAACCACTTCAACTTGACTGACGTTAGGTTTTAGAGCGCTGTTCCGTTGACTACGAGTTCTGAAAGCTTTTAGTTTTTCGATCGATGTTTGGAACTGATCGTCCGACGCCTTTGCTAGATGTTAAAGTCTGCTTTTATCAGCTTAAATAAAATGCTGCCGCGGCCACTGATCTCATCTTGAGTCAGCAGCATTTGAACCGAGTGCTTCTGACAAACAAGTATCCCGCTGTCTTGACAACATGTCGTTCTGTGCTCGTAGGCCTCAGAAACGGATCTACAGTATACCGAGCCTGCCGAACGACACGCCGACAGTAGCAGGAACTCCTGAAGCACCCGAAGAAATGTACCATCGCATAGAGCAAACTGAGGCTGCTGAATAATAGTAAGAGCAAATGCTATTGTTCGGCAAGATCCGGCCACCGTGCAATGCACGACGCTTTCTCGTATTAAACTAGAACGTCTACGGAAAACGCCGTTTTGTATGATAATTGGAACATTAATTACAAGGAAAGAAGCACGTTCTATTAATAAAGTGCTTATTACTTAAAAGGTATTCATTGAAAACAGTTTGTTTTTACTAAAACAATGTGTATAAAAACATTACAACGTCTGCAAATATCTAAATAATGAGTCAACTTCCTCTGCTTACGGAGCCATCTCAACGTCGGCGTCCATGGGCTGCGAGACGTCAAATGAGAGCTTCCCACAGTTCGCGGCGATTTTCACGTGGCTCTTGGCGTGCAATTGGCCAGAGATGATGAGCTTGCTCAAGTCGGTGACGATATGCTTCTCGATGTATCGCTTGATGGGTCGCGCACCGTACTGCGGTTCGTATGACTCGTCCAGGATTACATCGAGTGCCGGCGTCGTCACGTTCACCGAGATCTGCGATTCCTTGAGACGGTTGATAACCGACTCGAACTGCAGCATCACGATCTGGCGCAACTCGTTGCGACCCAGCGGCTCGAACACGACAATGTCGTCCAGACGGTTCAGTAGCTCGGGACGAACAGTGCGGCGCAACTGCTGCAGCACCAACTCCCGCTGGTTGGCGAACACGCGCTTGGCCTCGTTCTCGGTATTCACGAAGTCGTTCTCCGTCTTGATCTTCTTGCTGGCACGAGGTGACAAACTGTTCTCAAAGAGAAGGTGCTCTGCGCCGATGTTTGATGTCATGATAATCACCGTGTTGGCAAAGTCAACTGTGCGTCCGTGCGAGTCCGTAAGGCGCCCATCGTCCAGCACTTGTAGCAGAATGTTCAGCACCTTCGGGTGAGCCTTCTCGATCTCATCCAACAGCACCACATTGTACGGATTGCGACGCACAGCTTCCGTTAGCTGGCCACTTTCCTGGTATCCGACGAATCCTGGAGGTGCGCCAATGAGTCTGGAGACGGTGTGTTCTTCCATGTACTCGCTCATATCGATGCGCACCATGTGCTTGTCGTCGTCGAACAGCTCATACGCGAGAGCCTTCGCCAACTCCGTCTTACCAACACCTGTTGGGCCTAGGAACAAGAAGCTGCCCGTCGGCTGTCCAGAGCGAGCGAGACCTGCACGCGAACGGAGTACTGCGTCGCACACTGCCTTCACTGCTTCGTCTTGGCCGACCACACGCTTGTGGAGACGCTCGTCCAGATGCATGAGGCGGTCGCCCATACTCGACGTCAGACGGGAGACTGGGATTCCAGTCCAACGGGCCACCACCTCGCAGATCTGGTCTTCACGAACAACTTCCTCGACCATCTTGTGCTGCATCTCGTCTTCATCCTCGCGCTTCTTCACTTCCTCTGCGGCAGCAATACGACGCTTGACATCAGGGATGGCGTAATACTGCAGGTCAGAAGCAGTCTGCAGATCCTGGTTACGCTCAGCCTGTTCAGCCTTCAGCTGCAGGTGCTGCAGCTTCTCGCGAAGTTGACGGATCTCATTCACACGGGCTTTCTCGGCCTCGTGACGCAGGATCAGCGGACTGAGCTCGTCTTGGATCTCGTTTAGCTCTTCTTGCACCTTTTTCAGACGCTGCTTGCTCATGGCATCCTTCTCCTTCGCAAGCGCCGTGGCTTCGACCTGAAGTTGCAGCTGTCGACGCTCCAGTTCATCAATCACCTCAGGCTGGCTGTCCAACTGGACACGAACATTCGCGCACGCTTCGTCGACGATATCGATGGCCTTGTCGGGCATGAATCGCTCCTTGATGTAGCGGTCAGCGAGCTTGGCAGCAGCAACCAGAGCCGCGTCCATGATCTGCACGCCGTGGTGCGACTCGTATCGTTCCTTCAAGCCTCGCAGAATGCTCACTGTGTCCGGCACTGACGGCTCCTTCACCATAACCTGCTGGAAACGACGCTCGAACGCCTTGTCCTTCTCCACGTGCTCGCGATACTCGTCCAGCGTCGTCGCACCAATGCAACGCAGCTCTCCTCGTGCTAGCATGGGTTTCAGGAGGTTGGCAGCATCCATAGCACCCGAAGTCTGCCCAGCTCCGAGGATCAAGTGCATCTCGTCGATGAACAGGATAATCTTGCCATCGCTGTCCTTCACCTCCTTCAGCACCGCCTTCAGACGCTCCTCAAACTCGCCACGGTACTTTGCACCGGCAATCAGAGCGCCCATATCCAGGCTGACCAACTTGCAGTTGAGCGAGTCAGGTACATCGCCCACCACAATACGACGGGCCAGTCCTTCCACGATAGCCGTCTTACCCACTCCCGGTTCGCCGATCAGCACGGGGTTGTTCTTCGTTCGTCGCGACAGGATGCGGATCACTCGTCGAATCTCCTCGTCTCGACCGATCACAGGGTCGATCTTACCAGCCTCAGCCAGTTCGATCAAGTTCTGGCCGTACTTGTTGAGTGCGTCGTAGTTTTCCTCTGCTGCAGCACTGGTGACCGGTCGTCCACCTCGGATCTTCTGCACAGCGTCCTTGACTTGGTTCTCGTCCATCTGGTTGCTTTTGAGAAGACCGGCGACCTGTGAGTTGTTGTAGAGCGCCACGACCAAGTGGTCGGCCGCCAAGTGCGTGTCCTTCATGTCCTTGCGCATCTTGTGTGCATACTTTAGCATCTTCATGAGCGCCGAGTCGGCTCCGACGGACTCGGGCGCTGGGGTCTGCTTGGGCAGCTTCTTGAGCTGAAGCATCACGTCCTGCTTAAAGCCAGCCACGTTACCGTGCACTAGCTCGGCCACGCGCTTGGCCGTGCCGTTATGGTCGTCGAAGAGCGCGTAGGCCACGTGCAACGGTGTGAGCTGTGAGTGGCCCAACTCCTCCGCCATGTCCTGTGCATTGCGCAGATACTCGTTGGTCTTGTCCGTGAACTCTGCCGGATTCATCTTTGTGTGTAATTAGTTGCTTGGGTGTAAACTTGTGTGTGTTCGCTTCACTTGCGTGGTTTAAGGCAAATTCAATTCTGACAAGGTCGGATCAAACAGAGCCGCATGGAAATCACGGGTGACGTTGTACTCGAACTTTCGATCGGACTTAAATGGAGTCTCTACTGAAATCAAGTCAAAGTGGCTGAGACGTGGGACGATTGGCCAGACCACTTCAACAATAAATGTGAAAATGCATCGAGAAATATCGAGCATTTTCCAGCGTGTTTAGCTAACAATATCCTGCTATGCGTTTGTTCTTGTGTATGCGCAGCTCCACAGAGATGTTTGACGAGGCCCAGCGTATCGGGCACCAGTTGCAGATCGACTTCGATCGCTACGACCGCCGACAGGAGATTTTCCGCAAGAAGTTTGCAGCGGACACACGCAAGCAGCACCAAGGAATCTGCGATGGCGCCGTTACAAACAGCGCGACCTCGGTGAGCGTAGCTGCGCTGTTCTCGCAGCGTGACGAAAACTCTCTCGACAAAAACGATGAGGACGTCAATCAGCACAGCAAGAGAAATTCGAGTTCGCGCGGCTCGATCGGTGCAGGTAGCTCGAGAATAGTTACCACCGACAAAGAGAAACACCCTGAAGTATTTCGCGCACTTTCGAGCTTCTATAACCCTTCAGACGCGGCCACTTATGTGGTGTGCGAGCTGTGCTTCGGCTTCCGAAGCGCTACGACGGTCCAGCCGTTACCAACACCTTGGATAGAGTACTGCGATGAAACTACAGGGAAGCATTATTTCTACGACTCAAGCACTCGACACGTCCGATGGCATCCGCCACCAGCTACCGATGCGCTTAGTGTGCTTGTGTTTGAGCGCACCAACTCGATTTACACAGTTTGCCACTGTATCCCATCCAACGAGCGACGAAGGCGGCTTATGCAGAAGTTCCGGGAACACACAACGCAGATGGCAAGAGAAGAGGTCGAGAAGCGCGATCGCCATCTTCGCGGCGCCTTCATTTCCCTTGCCATGTCACTGGTCCCCTTCTCCGGCGAGCCAAAGCAGATATGATTTACTATTGTCTGGTAAAGAGTTTCTAATAGAAACGTACTAGGTACAATCAGACAAAGGATCGCTCGATTCCTCACCGATTACGTGCCAGTCTCCTTGTCTACGTGCGTCTAAAGTATTTGTGCATGTTGCCATCCAGGAAGTTGTGGAACTGCTTGCGCTCATCGCATGAGAACCACAGACTCAAAACATAACGCGTACCGGTCTCCACCTTGCGCACTACATGCAAGTTCTCTGCCCCAGCCGTGAACATCATGAGACGGCCACGTGCGGGCTCCACAACCGTTTCCGAGTTTTCGTCGATGAACGAGAAGAGTCCACCAGTGAACTCCTCGCCGTAGTCCGCGAGGTACAAAAGGCCCGAGTAGTCGTAGTGCTTCGTGTTCTCCTTGTCCACATGCGGGTGCCTACAAAGCAGCGATAAAATATTAGTGGAGGACACTTACTACATGTAGAGAAATCACAGCAAAAACGTACCAGTACTCGTCGTGGATCTCAGAGGGAGTCCAGGAGTCGTTGCCAATCAAGCGAGTCATGAATGTAGGCGCCGAGAAATACAGCTCTTCGAGACCGAACTCCTTCATCACAGCTAATCGGATCTTCTCGACAACGCTGATGGTAACAAAGCACCAGAAACAACACAATTGGTCAGGCACTCACTCCAAGCGCTCGTACGCATCGTCGTCGGTACTAACCCACGATACAGGCCGAATTGCTTCTTGGTGAAACGCTTGACGCCCGGTTTGTCCTCGTTGGGAATCCTCTGCTCAGGCTGGTAGATGTTCACCAACCCCTCGCTGTCGCGGACGAAGCCCGTGTTGATGTCCATGATCGTTGGACCGCCGAGCTTCGAGCGGTTCTGCATGCCGATCTCGGCGATCGTGCGCAGTTGCGTCACCTGCTTGGGCGTCACGAAGCTGTCGATTAGAGCGCGGCCGCACATGGTCTCGTTCTCCTGGTGGCAGCCCGGCACGAACAGGTCGGATTTCTGTGGAGCAGTAAACAATATTTTCAGCACAATTTCTGCTAGCAGCCCAGTCATAAAGTTGCACCGCACCCTCATCGGTGCACACGTGATGTTAAAGCGTCGGTGCTCCGTCACATCAGTGCGGGCGATGTAGTGGGCGGCGCGCACGATCTCAACGTCCAGTTGGCGAAGGAAGTACGTCACACCCACAGCCGCCACCACAGCGATGATCTTGAGCACCCATCCGAACGATCCCGTAGCTGGGGGAGCGGGCTCCTCCTGCTTCTTGGCGTCGGTCTTCGTGTCCACGACCTCTTTTGTCGTGGCTGTGGTGGCCGACTTGACCTTCTTGGCGTTCTTGCGGGCCATCGCGACGATGATGAACTGCGGACGCGCAAAACTTGACAAGTGGCTAAAAGGGGAATATTCGGTTGAATCAAGGGTGGGATTTGCAATTTGAAGGATTAGAGTTTGGCTCCATTTGTGCCAAAAAATGAGTACACGGACGACGGAGGTGAAGGCAGCGGAAGCGCGGCTCGCGCTGCACCGCGACGATGCGGTTCATGCTAAAGCTCAGTTGTCGGAGTCTCTGAATGCGCTAAAGGAAGCACAGAGTCAGTTGCTGGTGAAGAGGCTGGACGAGGCGATTAGGGAGCAGCGCAACGTGGAGCAGGAGGCGCTCGCGTACTCGAAGAACGTCAACAGGCTGTACCAACGCGCAGCCAAGTGGAAAGCTGATCAGAAGCGCTTTCGATCGAGTTTAGACGTGCGTCTACAATTGTAAATTGGTACTGACCGTTCTGCATTGGCTGATACGGGGCTGTTAATGTTCACAGGGACTGGATCGGTTTGCTGAGTGGGCAGCCGCTGCCGAGAACGATTTACACGCTATTGCTGGGAATTTGGAGTACGTGTGGTCGGTGCTGGAGAAGGAGCAAGAAGCCACAGCCAACGGCGGATACGCCCGGGCATACGAGTCCACGTAAAGTGCTTCGAGTTAGCTTGGCGCTGCTACATGGATACACTATCGGTATAAATGCTTTGAACCGTGCATTAATAAGGTGGAGATATTTAATGAAATTCGTAAAGTGGCCTAGAACGTGATGAGGCAAAGAATGACAAGGCTACCGACGATCAAAAGAAAGCGGGACAGGAACGCCTGCTGCACCTGCTGACGCGCTTCCTGCGCTGTCAGAGGTGTCCCATCTTGGTGGTGCGTTACTGGGGCCGGTGGTTGCTAAAAATTCAGACAAGCAATCGTCAGCAACCTCTGAAACCCTGACGAAATGCGATAGATAGCTAAAGGATGACACGTACGTAGGGCGTGCCGAAGAGCGCCGGAAAGAACCCGATGGTTGGCGACATTGAGAAAGCATTACCTTGTCCATTCCCACGGAAGATGCCGAACTGCGCAACACTTTGTCAATAACATTTGCACAGCTGTACATGGCATAGTTCACACGCACATTGTACGGGCGTCGTCGTCGTAGCTGCTCGGCATCTGGACGCTGTCCTCGAGGACGGTGGGGGATGCCGCTTTCACACACTTGTTGGTGGGTTCTACATCGACCTCCGATAATTAGCGTTATGCCACCTCACAGCGAAGCAAGCCAAAACACCAGAGCGCTCGAAACGCACCGTGGGTCGGCAGCGTCAGCCCCTCTGGCATACACCGGAATTACGTTCTGCTCGCTAACTCCCGCCTTGCAAACAGGGCATTCCGAGTGGTTTTGCATCCACTGCACATGGCAGAACAGGTTACTTGAGCTGTACTACGGTAGCAGGTGCAAAATCAGCTTGTTTTGCCGCCATACCTGGTACAGACATGGCCAACTTGGAGGCAGCACGCACAAAACAGATCGTCATGAACAGGAAGAGCCACACAGACAAGAAGCTTACCAATAGAGATGACCGCACAGTGTCACCACAGGACTGGACACCGTGTCTAGGCATATATTGCATTCGAAGAGAGGCTTCCCGCTGTCCGAGGGGTCACCCGCTGTTGCCGCCGCGTCCGCTGGTGCTGCTCTGGGCTCCATTTTCAAGAAGTCCGATTCTTTTTTTTTCGGAATTTTCATTTATATTTACAAAATCACCAGGTTACTTGAAGTACCGGTATTAATTTTGCGGAGCCGACGTTCCTCATTCAAACACCAGCAGCTTGTGCTTGTTCGGAGAAACTTTCAACGCCAAGAGCGTATGGCTTGAGCCTCAAGTTAAGGCGGCAGTATCCACCGATTTGGTCAACGTGGTCAACGTGGACGGTGCTGAATCAGCTGACAACGTGATCTGCACGCCCACTGGACTCCAGTCTGGAGACAGTTCCTGCGTTCAACTTCACCAATTGCTTCGCTAGAGACGGATTATACCGCAACAGCAAGCGCAGGCAATGACGTCGCGTTCGCAGCACCCTCAATCGCTAACGTTGTCGGGGGTCTCTCGTAGGCGTTGACGATGGATCAGTAGCACACTTAGTAGCCGAGCACCTCTTCATCCGCTTCAACCGGATACCGTTGGGGTCCGGGTCATCAATCACAGGCTGTGATTCCCAGCGCGCTGTTTCTCTTGACGCTCTTCGATCTGAGTCGCATACCGGGCCTTGCCTGTTGGGGTTGGTCGACATCGACCTGCTCTAGCATTTGAATCGTCCGGTTCAGTGACCCGGATTTGTCGGTGTGGCCAGCGCTTGATGCCTCAGCGGCGGCAGGTCTTCTTAAGGAACGAGGTGCAGATGCAGCTTCGCGCGCCACCTCCATGATCGGTCGGCCGAAGTTAGGGCGGAGCTGCTCCAGAGTGAGTTCACACGAAAGAACAGTGAGGCGTGCACCACGTTGCCAGCGTGACGTTGGTGGAGTTTCTTAGGAGCAACAATACGAGGTAAGGTTGCCTTACGTCCGAAGCCTGCTTACAATGGCCACCACCTTCATCAATGACTCGTGCAAGGCGTCCCCATTCTCAGGACTGGAGTCGTCGGCAGCGTCGGTCGCGGAGGTCTCTTCCGTCTGCATCATGAGTAACAGCGATGCTCGCTTCCACCTCTTTTGTCCGGGTCGTCATTCTAGGCTGAGGAAGGCTATGGTGCTGACCCGCAACTCAAACTTAGTTTAGAACACCTTTCGAAAGACGTATTGAGACGTTTTGATCCGGTCCAGTAATTCGTTTTACTATTTTATAGACATGGTGCAACTTGCTCTCATTTGACCAGCTCATTTTAAATAGGAAGTTACCCTCATTTAGCAACTATGCGTCGGCGGCCGCCGACGCAGCGTCGTCCTCCTCTTCAGCTTTCCGCATGAGCTTGGCGAGGCGACGCTGGGCTGCTAGTTGGTGCGAGTATTCCACCTTGAATCGGTTGGAACCCACGCCAAACACGTCGCCGTGCAAGAGGTAGCGTCGACGACTCTTCTTACCGCTGGCGCTGAGGCGCACCGCCGTGCCGTTGGTACTGTGGAGGTCCGTAATGTAGAAGCCGTTGCCGAAGTACGATATGACGCTATGCCTGCCCGAGATCGAGTCGTCTTCCGTGATGCACAAAGCGTTGCTCGAATGCCGACCCAGGGTCACGGATGTCTTGCCAATGGTCTGGCATATTTCAGTGAGGGGGCCAGCGGTGAAGCGGATGCGCAGGAACGGTATACCCGTCGTGATATTTTCATCGATCGCCGACACCTCAAACTCCGTGTCGCCCAACTTGACGCGGTCTTCCACGTGCAGACGCTTCGGTGCGTCGGGCTTTAGGAATATGAACGTTCCTGTCGTGCTGCCAAGGTCCTGCAGATAGTACTCCTTCTCCATTGGATCGTACTGGATCTGGAAATGGAACCGGCTCACGTACGGGTCGTCTGAGATGATCTGGTTGCTCTCGTGCCGTCCACCCCGGGCGCCTTCTCGCGGATGAAGCACGATCTTGCCGCCCAGATCACCTTTGCTATTGGCGCGAACAATCTTGCCTTCGCCTTTATCCTCAGTCATGCGACGAATGTGGCCACGCCCACTATCACTGCCAGTATCAGCACTGCTGCATTGTCGCTCCATGCTGGAAAGGAGTCGTGGCGACAACGATGACACGATCAGCAGGTCGTTTTCGTCGATCTCGAAATCGCTCTCGGTGCGGGTCCTGGGTCGGTGGTGGTGAAGGTGGTGGTGCGTGCCGTCATGCCATGTCGCTTTCGACCGGGTCTTGGTACGTTTGCGTCGCCAGTCGCGCACCCTGTTTATGAAGATACCGAGACGCTTGGTGACGCGGAGCAGCGGCGAGTGCAGGTGGTAGCAGCGTGAAGCCACGAGCGTACCGATCCAGACCACGAGTGACAGCAGCACCAACATCCAGCGCAGCCTGGAGGCCATATTTGATAGCAGGTGATGTAATCCATCGAGCTGCTCGCTGCCAATGGTAGCGACCGTCGCGAGGCTGTATAGAAGTTCGTCATTAACGTGCTGGGCGTCGAGACTTTTGAAGTAGAGCGTGAGTTGATTGTGCATGTAAGCTACAGATGCCACGATGACCGACGAGTAGGCCGTGGCGTGCAGCCAGCTCCAATGCATCATGAGGGGCGAGTGGCGGCGCGAGCCCCGGCTCCGGTACCGGAATGAAGTCGTCTTCTCCATCGCTAGTAGCTTCTGAGGACAGCTTCAATAAACGGTGGCGACGGAAGGCGTTAACGTCCTTCCTCCACGTCTGCAATTCAATACTGTCCGGCGTGGCCGCACCAGCAGCTCCTTGACACTGCCCTCACGATCGGAGCAGACGCGCTCAAGCTGGATGTTGCTCGAAACGATTTTCTGGCGATGTCACCACAACCCTGGTCTTACTCATTTATGTGTTGACACACTAAGCGCAACCTAATACGTGGCATTCGCAGCTACATCCAGAGAATGGTACTACCGCTTGCGCTGTCGCCGCTCCTGCTCTTCCTGTTGCCAGTGTTAATACCCCTGTCTTCCATCTTCATCTTTATCTTCAACAAGCGTCGCGGCTTCGTTCTGTCCCGAGATGCCGCGTTAAAGGCTGTTCCCAAAACCGCTACAATCGGTGTCTTTCACCCGTACGCCAATGGCGGTGGCGGTGGTGAACGCGTGCTCTATTGCGCACTGCTGGCGCTAGTTCAGCGGTACCGGAAGATGGGTATCGATATCTGTATTGTGCTGTACGCTGGCGATGATGGACTTTCGGCCGCGGAGCTGGTAGCCAGAGCCGCCGACGAGTTCAACCTGCCGGAACTCAAGACGCTGCACGTGGAGCGCCACGTGACGCTGGTACCGCTGCCCAGCCGTGAAATCCTCGAGCCAAGTCGCTACCCAAGCTTCACGCTAATGTGGCAGAGCGTGGCGCACATCCGCTTAGCGCTGGAGGCCGTGCAACAGAGCTCCAAGCAGGGACTGTACCCTAACGTCTGGGTGGACACTACCGGTTGTCCGTTCTCCTACATTGTGGCAAGTCTGCTTTACGCGTGTACCGTAGTGGCTTACGTGCACTACCCAATGATCTCAACCGATATGATCGCGAAGGTTCAGCAACGCGACGCAGGATTCAACAATGACGCAGCCATCGCTGCGAGCTCGTCAAGATCGAAGGCCAAGTACATTTACTACCGTCTCTTTGCCGGACTCTACAGTTTAATGGGCAAATACTGCACGGACGTGGCTATGGTCAACTCGACGTGGACGTACAGCCACATTAAGCAGCTTTGGGGGAAAACGCCTACGATCGTGTACCCTCCCTGTGGAGCCATGCGCGAGTACATGAACTTTGGTCTGGGAGATCGGAAGCCCATCGCGCTTTCAGTGTCTCAGTTTCGTCCGGAGAAGAACCACTCGTTGCAACTTCGGTCCTTTCAGGTGCTGCTAACGAAGTATGCGGAGCGAATGAAGACCAAGTTCAGTGACTTCCGTTTGGTGTTGCTGGGGAGCTGTCGTAATGCGGACGACGAGGCTCGTGTGGAGGCTCTGAAGAAACAGGCACAAGACTTGGGCATTGCAGAGCGTGTAGATTTCGTCGTGAATGCGACTTTCGCTGAGCTGAAGCGATACCTCGCCAAGAGCTCCATTGGTGTGCACACCATGTACAACGAGCATTTTGGAATCAGCAACGTGGAGATGATGGCTGCCGGTATGCTGGTCGTCGCGAACAACTCTGGCGGCCCCAAGGCTGATATCGTGAAGCCTGGGACAGGATGCCTGGCTCTAACGGCCGACGAGTACGCGGACAAGATGCTGTCGCTGTTGGAGAAAACTCCAGCCGAAGCGATTGAGATGCGATCCGCTGCACGCAAGTCTTCATTGCGATTTTCAGATGGAGAGTTTGGCGAGCAGTTTTTAGCAGCGATAGATGGGGCTCTGCAGTCTGTAGATGGTGACACAGATCGCATCAAGTCAGCATAGATCCAGACTGGATCTAATAGATCCAGTCTGGATCTATACTGGATTCCAGTGGATATGAACACAGTGTAGTGACTTGGTGGCTCGACAATCTTGCATTTTGACTGTTTCTGAAACTCGAGTTTTCGCCCAGTAGCATTTCGATGTCGTTGTGGACACATGAGCGGGGCGCAGAGCAGCCTGAACTGTGCTGTGCTTTGACCTATTCGTAGAGAATTGTGGTACTTCTTCATCCGGTCTGCTGTTGGTTTCGCGTCCCAAGTCAGCAACGGATGCTGGAAGGGTCGCACATTTGCAACGACCGTCGCTTTGCAGAGGAAATACTGCAGAAGGAGATCCAAGGTGCGACCCTCAAGCAGCACTTTCACTTTGGAAGGTAGCGAGAAGTAGAGGTAAAAACAAAGCTTGCAGCATCGACGTAAGTGGCCGAGCCCAAGCTTACGATGCCGGGATCAACTAGCCGAGACTCGCATCCTCGGTTGTCATCCGCCGACATCGTCGCGGTGTCGACCGAGATGCGTCTACGACAACAAGGGCGAAAGAACCGCGCAGCGAAAGGCAAGGACGACACGGATGACGCCAAGCGGGAGCTTGTCATGGAAGAGCACAAACAGAGTCCAGCCGAGATCTTCGCAGACCTGGGGTCCGACCCCGTGAACGTAAGTTCTGCCCCAACAAAAGTTGCCGTTTCCTTGCTAACTGCATTTTTGTCGTTTTGTTAGGGAATGACCCAACACGATGTTCAGGGTCGTCTGGAATCGGATGGTCTGAACCGGTTGACGCCCCCGAAGCAAACGCCAGAAATTATCAAGTACATCCGGGAATTGACGGGTCTATTCAGTCTGCTGCTGTGGGTCGGTGGTGCTCTGTGTCTCATCATCTATGGACTGCAGGGTGATCCCAACAATTTGTACCTTGGCATCGTGCTGTTTTTGGTCGTGGTCATTACTGGTACCTTTTCATATTTCCAGAACGCAAAGTCGTCAAACCTGATGGAATCATTTAAGCAAATGATGCCTACAGTCACTACGGTGATCCGAGAGGGCAAGTCTCAGAAGATCGAGGCTTCGCAGCTGGTCCGAGGAGATATCATCGTCCTGAAGGGCGGAGACAAGGTGCCTGCTGACATTCGCGTGCTGGAATGCTCTGATGATCTGACAGTGGACAACTCGTGCTTGACTGGCGAGCCGGAACCGCTGAAGCGTGTGCCTGACTGCACCGACGAAAGCCCTCTGGAAACCAAGAACTTGTGCTTTTTTGGCACTTTTATCCCTCAAGGCTCCGGCAAGGGAGTCGTGGTTCGAGTGGGAGACAAGACGGTCATGGGCCGTATCGCTAAGTTAGCAACTACGACCGGACAGAGCATGACGCCCATTGCACGTGAGATCAATCACTTCGTCCACATCATTGCGGTGGTCGCCGTGGTCATTGGTGTCATCTTCTTCATCATTGGCATCTTCCTCAAGACTGATATCGTCACGAACGTGGTGTTCATGATCGGTATTATCGTGGCGAATGTCCCCGAAGGACTGCTGGCAACTGTGACGGTGTGTTTAAGTCTTGCTGCCAACCGGATGGCGCACAAGTCGGTCCTTGTGAAGAACCTGGAAGGTGTCGAGACCCTGGGGTCCACGAGCTGCATCTGCTCGGACAAGACAGGCACGCTGACGCAGAACGTCATGACGGTAGCCCATGTCGTCTACGACAACAAAATCTTTGACGCCGAATGCTCCATCACTCCAGTGGGGAACTACGATCTTAACGCTCCTTCGTTCAAAGCGCTGCAGCGGTGCGCGACGCTGTGTAACAACGCTGTGTTCGACGAAGATTCGAAGTATGAGAGAGCGGTTGGCCCCGATGGTTTGGCTGCGCGTGGTAAACGAAAGCCATTCAAGGAGACCGTGTCGATGGGCAACGGACTGACCATGGAGAAGGTGGCGTGGGACACCATTGGAGATGCGTCCGAGTCTGCAATGATCAAGTTCTGCCACGACAAGAAAGACATCATCGAATTCCGCGAGGAAAACGCCAAGATCAAGGAAGTTCCGTTCAACTCGAAGAACAAGTACCAGCTATCTCTGCACAAACAAGACAACGACGACAGTAAACCAATTTTAATGGTGATGAAGGGCGCACCTGAACGAATTACTGCTCGCTGTGGATCGGTGTTTATTAACGGCGAGGAAGTCCCGATGACTCCCGAACGTCTCGCTGAAGTGGAGGCTGCGCAGCTTGCTCTGTCCAAGAAGGGCATGCGTGTGCTCGGATTCGCGCAGAAGATCCTGGACCCTGCCATTTACCCGGCAGGCTACGAGTTCAGCACCGACAACCCGAACTTCCCTCTAGGCGAGAAGAATGTTGACTACGAGGCGACGCCGAAGCCCGACCCGAAAGTGGAGGAACCCTTGTGCTTCATTGGTTTGATGGCGTTGATTGACCCGCCACGTCCTGAGGTTCCGATTGCCGTGGCGAAATGCAAGACGGCTGGAATCCGCGTGATCATGGTCACTGGTGACCACCCGATCACTGCGAAGGCCATTGCACACAAGGTCGGAATTCTGTGGGGTCCCACTTGCGAAGACATCGAAGAAGAGAACACTGAACGTGGTCTAACTGAAGGTGACAATGGATGGATTGACCCGAACACTGCTCCAGCCATTGTCGTTCCCGGGTGGACAATAAGTTTGGACACCCCGCAAGAGGAGTGGGATCGCATCCTCGATCACAGGCAGATCGTGTTTGCGCGGACGTCTCCTCAGCAGAAGTTGATCATCGTAGAGAACTGCCAACGTCGAAAGGAGATTGTCGCGGTGACTGGCGATGGTGTCAATGATTCACCAGCTCTAAAGAAGGCTGACATTGGTATTGCTATGGGTATCATGGGCTCTGCTGTGTCAAAGGAGGCGGCCGATATGATTCTGCTGGATGATAACTTTGCCTCGATCGTGTGCGGAGTTGAAGAAGGGCGAATCATCTTTGACAACCTCAAGAAGTCGATCGCGTACGCTCTGGCTGCAAATATCCCAGAGCTGGTGCCGTTCCTGTTGTACGCTACAGTTCGCCTACCGCTGCCCCTTACTACTGTGCTGATGCTTCTCATTTGTCTGGGTACCGATATGATTCCTTCGATCGCCATGGCGTATGAAGGTGCCGAGAACGATATCATGCTGCGTGCTCCTCGAAACGCTGAATTGGAGCACTTGGTGACCAAGAAGCTGGTTTTCTTTGCATACGCGTTGGTCGGCATCATCGAGGCTGGTGCTGGCATGTTCACCTTCCTGGCTGTGATGAACGACTACGGGTACGCACCGAAGGTTCTGCCTAACCTCGGCTTTTACGATCGCTTTGGAAAGCAAGTCCTGTGGTGCCAGACGGAAGGTGGTCGCTACTGCACAGCCGGTGGCAAGTACAAGAAAGACGGTAAGCTAATTCCTCTAGGCGCTATCACAAGCAACGAGAAAGGTGTTCCTGACTGCCAAGACGAGTACGACGATACCATCCCAACCGGAGGTGACATTTTTGACGCGCACATCTTCTTCGATGCGACCGGAGGTGGCAAGGTCATTGATTGTCAATTTCCACTGCAGAATCTCGACACCGAGTCGTCCAAGCCGGAAGGATACGAGCGCACAGATCCCACGACTTACGGGGACTACACTTCGACCCCCTTCGTCACCTTCCAGTCCATGGAGTCCGCATGGAAGAATGAATACCGACCGTACTACCCCATGGCGTCACGACGCTCATCATTTTTCGACATGGAGTGGTTTGACTACGAAACGACTCAGACTGGTCCCCCTGGCTTGGTGAACAGCATTTCGCTGGAGATCTTTAGTAGCTTCCAGCCTCTGTCAGTCTGGGCCATTACAGACAGTGCGACGTTAGGGGGTGAGGTTTCAGCGCTCGGCGGAGCTCGTGATGCCTTCGGGGAAACGGAGGTGACGGCTGTAGATGCATCCGGCAAGCTAACAACCACCAAGTTCACATTGTCAGCCGACAAGTCGTACAAAGTGGGAAAGAGCTTCGAGAAAATCAAAAAGGCTGATGGTACAGCTCCATGCAGTGGAAAGCAGTGTCTGCTGGACTACCATGCTGGGTTCACTCGTCGTGACACAGACGGCAAGGCGTACGTGAACATCATGTCGCGCATGATGCAGTACAGCGCGCTGTCCATTTCTCAGACAGCGTATTTCGTTGCCGTCGTGGAGATGCAGTGGGCCAACGTCATGATCTGCAAGACGCGCTATCTGTCTATCGTGTCGCAGGGAATGATGAACAGCGTGCTGAATTTCGGTCTCATGTTCGAGTTCATGCTGAGCGCTGTTATCGCGTACGCGGGCTTCACACACACTGTGCTCGACACGGAGAGCATCCGCTTAGTGCACTGGTTCCCGGCACTGCCATTCTCCATGTTCCTCTTCTTGCTGGACGAAGGGCGCAAGTTCCTCATGCGATCTACATCCCGTAGCGTCATCCGTAAGGACACGGGTCAAATGATCCGCTATCCGGGTTGGCTCGAGGTAAACACGTACTATTAGCCAGCGACAGATCGGTAAACTCTGACTTTTAGGCACTCGGCAACCAAGTGCAAGGAAGTTTGAACTTTTTTAAAATTTACGTTGCTTTCTTCAATTCTTCCCTTGTATAGGGGATTGCTTTCCGTATAGAGGGTAGAACTGCGATCGAATATCAAAGACCAGTCATGGCGTCTAGTGTCTGCAGTGCGTGTCAGGCTTCGGGTATAAAGATGTCTCGCTGTGGCCAATGCAAATGGGCTGCGTACTGCTCCAAGACATGCCAGCGGGACCACTGGAGGACTGGACACCGTCAAATGTGCGCCAAGCTTAAGGTTTGCAAACGATTTCGCGACCTGGAGCGAGAGTGGTGGTCGACTCGACCGTCAGACGAGCTGCAGAGGTTCGTGGTGCAGTTTGGTTTGCAGCCTGAATCGATGGCTTTCTTCGGAGAAGTATTGTTCCTACTCTGCGGCCTCAAGGCGTGCGTGTTGCTGTCCAACCTGCCTCCGATGTGGCGCCAGAGCTTCGCGAACGACGTGGTCCTGGCCTGTGGCCTACTGGAGTTTGAGTCGTCAGCTACCAGTCTGTATCCAGCGAGCTCGATAGCGCTGTACTCGGTCAGTACTCGGCTTCAGACACCGGCTGAGTACGAGCTCACGGATGACCTCGTGCTGGGCAATACAATACATAGCGACTTTGCGATGGCAGAGCAGGCACTTCGACTGACAGGAGCTACAGTGGACACGACAAGAACTGTGCAATTGGCGACGACTGACGTGGACGTGTCGGAGTTGGTGCAGGAACACGAATTGGCTCGGATGTTGGACTACCCAGTGGCGTTGAGCGATTGCGATGAAGACGCGTCAATGGTCGAGGTGAGGATAGGACCCCCCTCCGCCTTAGATTTAGAGTTACGCTTGCACTCACAACTGTTTGCTTGAGCAGGTTGGGTATTTTCTCGAGGAGAGACAAGAGCGTGTACTACTGACATCGTACTGCGCCATGGCGACACTTCAGCACAACCAGCGTATACAGCAGCATTTTCAGCGATATCGGAAATGCAGTGCAGGACTGCAGCTCACGTTACACACGTCGCAGATCTAGGAGAGCTACTTTTATTGACAATAAACTGAGAAGAAGACGGGTGTTGCTGCTGTCGACAACGCCACGGCCGGGAGCGATAAAAATACACATAGCTACTGCATTAATGCCTGGTGCGCGTTCGTGGCCTCATCGATCCTGCGCAGATATTTCCTGAGCTCCCTGGCCTCTTTCTCGATCTCGCGCAGCCTCTTTTTGGCCTTCTGTCGAAGGTTCTCCACGCGCGCACGCTCTGCTTCTGCATCTTGTCCTAGGACAGGCTGCAATTGCAAGTTCCCAGCGTGAGAGGCTGGTCCGGCCACATGAGCGACAGGTTCGCTACTTCTAGCCTCCCCCTCGGCTACTCCTTCTCGCTCTTTCTGAAAGCGCAAGCCGTGGCGCTTCATAAAACGAGTTAGCCACCCGACCGACAAATTGTGGTCCGGTGGGTTTTCCATGGCGTCGAGAATTTCCCTGGCGCGAGCGTGTAAGATTCGCCGCGTCAGCCTCACACCATGGGACTGGGCATCTTTGACGTAATTATCCAAGCGGTTCTCGAGCTCCTTCGAGCGTACGCATAGTCTGCGGCCCTTCGCTGTCACGTTGTCGCTGAGTCGCTTGGCCTCGATGTCAGCCGCCGCATTGAGGATGTTGCGGATGGTCTGACGCGTCGGCGGCACTGATAGCTCGAAGCGATCTTTGGCCCACAGCGCCAGCTGCGTATAGTTGACGGCCGGCTCACACCGGTGCTGTGCGATCAGCTCGCACTTCTGCTCGATGGTGAGCCACTTGCCCTTAGTGCTCATTTCGGGCTAATGCCAAATTGTAGAAAGTCTCTTGAACAGGGGATTGATCGGTATAGAGAGGGTAGAAACAAGAGTATCCGTTGTGGACCGTGCTGACGCCAGCAAAGCTTCAGGAACCCGCGACGAAGATGTTGGAGTGCTCGTCGCGAACGAAGCATTGTTGAATGCATGGCACTGAAAAAATCAATTGCAGTGAGCGATGCAAAATGCGACGAGAGTCTTTTATACTGTACGACACAATGGCACAAACAACGCCATGTTCTAATGCCGTCATCTCCGCTGCCACCATCACTGTTTCTTCGTTAGGAGAGTACAGTGTACTCCGTCCGGACGGGATACTGCTACTCATACCGAAGAAACAGTGATGCAGCAGACAAAAGCTGCTAACAGGCTGAATCCTTTAGCGACGCAACGTGTAGTGACCGCAGTGCCACCATCCATCATCCCATTGGCGACTAGCCAACGGCGAGGCTCTACATGTAGATACTATTTCTCTATTTTCTAAATATTGTAGTACACAAGCTTGTCTGGCCTTCGAGCGAGTATGTAGCACCCGAGACAACACTAAGACAACACTTCTCTTCTGGTGCTACATGCTCGTTCGAAATCCTTTCTCTCGCAGCGTATCAATTAACAGTTGAACCTGTATTGCTAAATACCCTGCTGAAGCTAGACTCCTTTGAAGCGTTTTAAATATGACAGGCTATGCGATGTTGTACTCCAAATCAATTTGAAATCCCAAACGTCACCTCTGATAGTATCAACTTATGTAGTCAACGTCCTGTCTCTTTGCATTTCGTGCGAAACATTTCAGCCAATTAGCACACGCATGTTTGCTTAGACTTAACTGCCGCTGACTTGCTTCCAGTATGCCATGGCAGAGGCGGGTGTAAAGAAAAGAAGTTCGCAATGGCCGGTCATTTTGGTCTCAGCTGAACGTCAGTCGTGCAGGCAAAGAGACACAATTGGACACCCCCACTTCCGCTTCATCTAGGCGCCGCCCAGCTCTGCCAAGGAAGGCAAGGGGATTAAAACACCACAGGAGCAGCACACGGCCGTTTCATTCCAAGCGCCGTATCCGCCCCCGACCGTCACTCTCTCTGCAGCTCGCACGCCGCCATGAGCGCGTCCTGGGACTCGGATCTGTCCTCGATCATCGAGAAGACCAACAACAACCTCAAGCTTCTGCGTAAGATCGGCGACAAACCGCAGGTGCGCTCGCCCGATGTGTCTGTGACTGCTGCAGGCCACCCGTCGGCGCGCCCTCGCGCTTTCGTGGGAGCTCAAGAGGACGCTGGTTCGACATCTTCGCGTGGCTCGGCTCGTCCTCGTGCCTTTATCCGTGGCGATGACGACACGAGCTCCATGGGCTCTCGCGGGTCTGCACGTCCCAAGGCCTACGTTCGAGGGGACGACGATACGGGCTCCATGGGCTCACACACATCGGCCCGTCCTAAAGCTTTTATCCGTGCAGACGACGACTCGGGCTCGGTGTCTTCAAGGGCTTCGGCCAGACCCAAGGCGTTCATCCGGCCTGATGACGATGTGGGCTCTGCATCCTCCAGAGCTTCGGCCCGACCCAAGGCCTTCATTCGTGCAGATGATGACAGCGGCTCCGTGTCGTCGAGAGCTTCGGCCAGGCCCAAGGCCTTTATCCGAGGAGATGACGACACCGGCTCCATGTCTTCGCGCTCTTCTGCTCGTCCCAAGGCTTTTGTCCGCGGTGACGACGACACGGGCTCTATGAACAGCAGCCAGGGTATCGGCCGCTCCCGCCTCGACTCTGGTAGTAGCTCCGGCCGCCCTCACGTAGGTATCGCCGGTGGCGGCGGGTTGACGGCCGCCATGCTACAGCAACATCGGGCCACTGCCACTGGTGGCACCGGCCTAGGAATGGCTGACTTGGGCGCACAGCGCTCGCGCTTCGACCTGGACGAGACGCGCTCCATGAGCGGCGTGTCGGCCTCCCGTCTCCGACGTCCGCTTGGCGCCAACGGCCGCGTCCCACACGCGCGCGGACTCGGTGCCAGTATGGGACCGCGTATTCGTGTGCCTGACGCCGACATCCCCAGCGACGCCCCGAACCACATGGTGGACGAGATCAAGAAGAGTCTGGAGACTCATTTCGCCTCTCGCAACGGCGCAGTGGACAAGAAAGTGGCCGACTTACGCACAGACGTGGCCGGCCTGACTACCCAGACGTCCTCGCTCAGCTCGCAGATCTCGGAGCTGCGCGACGCTGTACTCGTGTCGGCTAACAGCAGTCCGTCGATTAACGCTCCGTCCGCGTCGGACCCCAAGATCTTTGCCAGTGTCCAAGCCAACGCCGCCGCTATCGCTCGCCTGGAAGAGCACAGCGCCGACTTGTTGGGTCGTAAAGTGAGTGTGGACCGCGAATTGACGGAACTCGGCTCTCGAGTCAAAGCGCTGTCGTCTGCGACCATGAAGATCCCGACGCTGGAAGACAACGTTGAGGCGCTGGTCGCCAACCGTCAGAAACAGGAGCAGGGATTGTTCAAGCTTGCAGACAGAGTGCAGCTCATGCATCGCCAGATGGGCAGCTTGGTGGACATGAAGGCTGTGGAGAATCTGCTGAGCATTCGACTCACGCGCGAGTTCCGCGAGATGGAGGACCGATTGGCCCAGAACGTGGTCCGCATGGCCGAGAAGATGGAGCTGAAGGTGCAGAGCATGGAGAAGCAGTCGTTCTCGCAGCGCCAGGAGAGTCTGGCCGCGCTCAAGAGCGATTTGACGGACGATATCCAGCGTCTCCAGAGCTCGGCCCTGCGCAAGAGCGACCTGCTGCCGCTCCAGAACGCCCAGACGCAGAGCAAGGAAGACGTGGCCCAGCTCTCGAGCGCACTCGACCGTCAGGAGAAGAAGCTGCAGGACGCCAAGCTGGCCAACGCCGCGCTGCGTGACGAGCTGGCCGATGCTCGTACTGAGCTGAACAAGGCGCTGCAGAGCCAGCAACGCAGCACTTCGGCCTTGATGGAGGAAAAACTGGAGCAGATCACGACCAAGAGCAAGGAGAAGTCCAGCAAGGTCGACGACCAGCTCTCCGAGTTGGCCAAAAAGCAGAAAAAACTCGAGGAAGCCACGAAGACGCTGCAAGAAACAATGACCCAGGTGAAGGCCGAGGCTGGCCAGCGCTGGAGCCGCAGCTCGGCCGACCGGGAGGAGGAGAACGACAAGCTGCGTCAACGTTTGGCCCGCTCTGTCGCTGAGCTTGAGGCTCTGGCCACAACCAAGGCCGAAGTGGAGCGCCGCTTTACCAGCGAGGAGCAGAATTTCCAGTCGCGACTAAAGGAGCTGCGTGTGACGTTAACGGATACGGAGAAACAGAAAGAAGCGCAACGATTGGAGCTTATGCAGAAGCTACAGGAGGAAAGCAAGTTAATGGGCGTCGCACAGGGCAAGAACTCGCTGCTGGAGACCTTGCTGGCCCGTGAAAAGGCCGAGAATGAGGAGAAGAACGAGCTGGTGCGCAAGTCCAAGAAGGAGGTGACTGAGGTGCGCGAGCAGATCCGTAACTTGGAGAGCGAGAAGGAGAAGAAGGTCCGCCAACTGACGTCTGAGCTGCAGGCCAAGCAGACGCAGGTGGGGCTGCTGACCAAGACCTTGAAGCGTATTGAGACGGCCTCGGCCAAGTTGTTGGATTTGTCCAAGCGTGAGGCGAAGACTGTGCGTCGCGTGAAGGCGACGAAGGAGCACGAGCTGTTCATTGCGCAGTTGAAGCTCAAGGAAATGGAGCGCGTGGCGCAGGCTCTCCAGAACGGCGACGAGATGAAGAAGCAAGCTGCGCTGACCGCGGCTAGCACTGAAGAGCGCAAGGAGCTGGAGAAACTGCTGCTTGAGAGTCAATTGGAGAAAGACGAGCTGAAGCAGGAGCTGGAGGAGATGACGGAGGAGTTCAACGCCGCCAAGGAGAGCCAGAAGGTCATCATGGAGGACACCATCACGAAGCTCTCGAGCGACTACGACGACAAGATCAGCGAGCTGAAGCAGCAGATCGCAGACAAGGAGCAGGCCATGCGTCAACTCCGCGACACGCTGGTGGAAAAGAGCAACTTGGACGCGCTTGAAGACGAGCTGGCTGCGCTCAGGGACGAGAAGAACGACTTGCTGGAGCAGATTCAGCGTGCGCAGATCGAGCACGAGCGTGTGACACTCAAGACCGAGACGAATCTCCGTCTGGAGCACGCGACCGAGTTCGCAGCAATGAAGGCGAAGTTTGAGGAGCGGATATTGGAGCTCGAAGGCGCCAAGTCGGAGCTGGAAAAGACCAAGACGACGGTCGCCGAGCTGGAGAAGGAGCTAAAAGAACAGGAGGCTCTGCACCAGCGGGAGGTGGCGACTCGGACGGATGAGATCAAGGAGGCTCGCAGTAAGATTGACGAGTGCACAGCCCAGATTTTGGACCTTGAAGAGACGAAGGCGCGTCTGGAGGGTGACGTTTCTCAGATGGAGGCCAACATTGGCGGTGCGTCCGCTGAGCAAGAAGAGGAGCTGGAGGCGATCAAGAGTCAGATGCAGACCGAAGTCGAAAAGCTTCGTGCTGAGCTCGCCCTAGTGTCGAGCACTCTTGAGGAGAAGCAGACACAGCTTAGGGAGGCCAAACTGTCCGACGAATTCAACCGCCAGCGCCTGGTGGAGATGGCTATGGCTCAGGAAGAGATGCAGAGTCGCTACGTTTCCCAGATCGACTCGCTCACACTGAAGCTCAACCAGGAGCGTGAGAACTCTCGTGCGCGTGAACAGGACTTGGAGGACACGATCGACAAGCTGAATGCTGACGTCAAGACACTGAAGACGGAGTCCAGCAAGGAGCTGGAGGCTGCGCGCTCGGAGCTGACCGACCAGATGACCGAGTTGACGGCGACTCTGAAGGCGTCGCAGCACCGCGAGCAGCAGTTGCAGTCGCGTCTTAAGCGTATTCTGGAGGAGCTGGTGCAGGCCGCTAACGCCTCGGGGGAGAGCGAAGTGGCCCAGGACGCAGAGATGAGCGACGATGAGGCCATCACGCACCACCTCGACGCGCTGTACGCGACGCACCGCCGTACTGCGCACGAGCTGGATCGTCTCCAGGCCGAGTACGAGCTGACTGTGAAGCAGGCGGCCGCCGACAGTGCCACTGCCCAGGAGCTGGACAACCAGGTGAAGGAGCACGAAACGCAGATCAACGAGCTGGAATCAGTCGTGGAGCAGCTACGAGAAGAGCTTAAGGAACAGTACCACAAGTCTGCTGTCATTGCCAAGGGCTCGGACGAGTTCAGCGACGAGATGGCGACTCTGCGTGAGGAGAAACGCCAACTGGAGCGTCAGCTGCAAGAGGAAGAGAGGGATCGTGAGAAACGTGAAGTTTCGTACCAGCGGAGAACGGAAATGAAGGAACGCGAAGTCGAGGAGCTCCGGAACGAGAACAAGACGTTGACGGCAGCTGTGGCTGCTGTCCGTGAGAAGATTCGCGCGGTTGAGAACGTCAAGTTCAACGACCTGGGCTCGCTGCAGAACAAGCTCAAGGACCTCGAAGAGCGCACGGCAGCGCTCCAGCTGGACGAGAAGAGCGTGGCCAACTTGGAGCAGGACTTCACTGCTACTCGTCACGAAATTGTGACGCTGACGGCCGAAGTGCAGTCTCTTTACCAGAAGCTAACGGCTTGCTGTGGTATCGTGGAGTGGAGTGAGCTTCGTGCCAGTGTCTTTGACGAAGAGGAGAAGCTGACTCGCGTGCGCTCGGAGAATGCTCGTGAGCTGGCCAAGGTCGAGTCTGTGGAGCAGGAAGTACTGACGAATGCTGAGTTCCTGAACGCTTTGCTAGTCGCGCATGGATCGACGGGAGGCGATGGAGACCTGCTGAATGATTTCCGGTGGATGCAGAAGTACGCGTCGATCGCCCCCGAGATTGTGGAGAAGCTCCGGACCGTGGAGACCCGGTTACGAGACGCGGTGCTGGATGACTCGACTTGGCTGTTCCAGGGAGCGTCAAAGGTCCCCGAGGGTGCTGCGCGACCTCCTAAGTCGCAGAAGTCGGCGGTGGACGGCGCTGCGATCGCTCTGGCGCTCGAGAAGGCGAGGGAGGATTACTTTAGTGAGACGTCGGACGGGGCTGACGAAGAATTGCAGCACGACGTTGATCAGCCCGATGTAGAGCAGGAGGGTCTGGCGGCCCAGGAAGGAGAAGGTGCGAGTCTTGCGCATGTGGATGTGGAGGATCAGGGTTCGATTGGCGCTTTGAGTCATGATGACTCTGGTGGAACTTGTGCTGCTGATGACTTGGTGGTGGCTGAACATGTTGTGCATGATGAGCAGGACAGAAGCCGTGAGAAGCATTTTGATGACGAAGAGTTGAGCGTCACGAGCGAGCAGGATAGGATTGATGAGGATGGACTGGAGTCGCGTGTCGACCGCAAGACCGACGAGACGACCAATGCGCGGATCGAGGCGGGCTTTAGTGGCGATGGCGAGGATGACGACGACATGGCTGAAGAAGTGGAGAGGCGGGTGCTGGAGCACTCTAGTAAGCAGGTGAACCCACGTATTGATAATGAATGTGATGATAGTGATGAATTTGCTACAACGATCGTACATGTCGAGACCGAAGAGCAGTCGGCTGCAGATGCCGAGGAGGCTGATGAGCTGGATCCACTTGAGGAAAGTTCGTTTGATAATGCCGTGATAGCGGCGCTAGAAAGTAGAGAAGCGTACTCGACACCTGATCTAATTTCATCACGCACAAATCAGAGATGCGAGGTAGAAGCTGACTCGGAAGCTTACGTGGCGCAAGACGCCATTACCGAGAGCTCGTTTGACGAATCGATGCTGTCAGATAACGACGAGGCGAACTGCGATGACGTTCATCAGGTTGGCTCGTATAGTGCATTGCCGAGTGAGCGTGTTTTTCAGAGCAATAACTCGTTTTTAAGCATGGAAAGTGGAGCAGAGGTAGTAGAAGGGTCCTCACCAAACATTGGGCAACTGGAACAAGATAATGGAGTAGAAGCGTCGTCAGCGAGTAGGAATCCTGCTGGACAGTTGGCGGAGGAGCTTGGCGAGCTGAAAGAATCAGCAACGAGCAAAGAACTGGAGAAGTCAGCACGCGAACATGAAGAAGAGTCAGCGCCAGATGAGGCGAGAGGTGATGAGGACCACGTAGTAACTGAACTATCATCGACGGTGAGGAGAATCCCCTTGGGAGATTTTGACGGTAAAAGCTGGAAGAATGCCGAGACCAAGCCTTCTCACCACGTGGATAACGCGTTGGACGAATTGTCGGCCAGTGGCGACCGAGACGTTTTAGTTGAGCGCTCCCGGGAGGGTAACGAGTTGGAACAATCGGTAGGCCATGATCATTCTGAGGATATGGGACAATCAACTTCTAGTTTGCGGGGAATCACGCACCGTGCTGAAGGAGCTTCATATTTGGGCGACGATACTGCTGTAGCTACATGTAGTCTTAGCGTGGAGGATGATGCATCGATGGAATCACTTGATGAGAGTGAAGAGCATTCGACAGCAAGTGATGCCATTGTAGCTCATGAAGACGGCAATGTGGAAGCGTCCTCCTCAAGTCTGGCAAGTGAGGCACGCGACAACTATAACAAATCTTCCACTGGTAGAACCTCAGACATACAGCCGCATGATAGCGAGGACGATGGTATTCACACTGATCGCCGCGAAGCAGTTGTTTTCCGATCCGATATACTGGAGAGCTCGTTCGACCCAGACGTGCAGTCAGATTTCAATGACGAAGCTAGTGCAGAGCTATCAACTCTACCGATCAAGCGCCAAGATGAAGCCGAAGACGAGTGGTCTCAAGAGCAGCTCCGAGTAGCAGAGCATTCTCTGGATGGAGCGTTAGTACCGGAGGACGATGAGAAAGCTGCTACCGGTACGCTTGCGTCTGACCCTGCACCACCACTGGCACTTAGCATCGAGGACGACGAAAATTCGGTAGAGGAGACGATGGCTGCGCAAACTCAACCGATAGCAAGTCTGAATCGATTTGGCATGGGCTCTCGTCGCTTCAACCTCGAAGAAGACGATGAGATGGACGAGATTGAACGCTTGCTACTGGACCAAAGTGCGACCAGTTTGCAAAAGAGGCAGCAACGTTCTGGTCGATCCTCTACAATGGATGATGAAGATGAGATTGGAGAGCCTTCTCTGCAGTATCGAGGCAATGAAAGTGACGAGTTCGGAGAAGAGTCAAATGCGTTCAAAGGACGACAACGAGTTCGAAGAAGATTTGGCTATCGATGAGTCAGACAGCAACACGTTGGCGGATCAGCATGACGAGGACAGTGCAGCTGCAGAATTGCCGACAACTGGGAGGAGATCCGAGCTGTCCGAATCTTGTGACGAGGCAAATACGAAAAATATATCGGCTTCAAGCTTCGAGGGCGTGGAAACCAAGCGCCTTCACGAGGAGCATGCCACGATAAGATCGGAGATTGAATTGGATCAATCAGCAGCAAGTATCGCGAGTGCCGAATCGGAAGAATCGACGCCAAGCGCTGGTAATAACACCGCAGCAGCAAGCAGTTACGCACAGTACAGTGAAGCCTCTCTTGAAAGAGCCTCAAGGCACACAAACGATGATACTCTGGCGTTCCAGAGTGCCGACGACGACACTGAGCCCAATCCACTCGAGAATTCATTCGACGAAGGCATGCAGTCAGACGGAGCATCACCAATTGCACGCCGTTTAGAGGAAGGCGATAGCTCGGAAGAGGAGACGATGGCAGTGCAAACCCAGTTGACATTCTCAGCAAGTCTGAGTCGATTTGGCACGGGTTCTCGTCGCTCGAATCTCGAAGAAGACGATGAAATGGATGAGATTGAACGTTTGCTACTGGACCAAAGTGCGTCCAGTATGCAAAAGAGACAACAACAGCCTGGTCGATCCTCTACAATGGATGATGACGATGAGTTTGGAGAATCATCTCTGCAGTCACGAGGCGAAGAAAGTGACGAGTTCGGAGAAGAGTCAATGCGCTCAAAGGACGACAACGAGTTTGTAGACGTATCGAAACGGTCGGGTGACGACACAGTCGATGTGCTATCGGCTCACGACAAACAACTGTTACCAAGCAGTCTGACGAGACGTAGACTTACAGAAGAATACGAAGGGAACGAAGTATCGGAAGAATTAACGTCAGCTATGAGGAGGACTCCATCGGAGGAATCCGCTGCAAGTCTGAAGAATGTCGAACACGAGCCTCCTCACGAGGACAATGAATTGGAACAATCTGCAGCAAGTATTGCGAGTGGCGACTACGCCGAGGAGCTGGAAGAGTCAGCATCAAGTGTGCAGAGTACTACGCAACGCTACAAAGGCAAAAATTGTAATATTTCAGTAGCCCGAGCCGATACCGAGCAGTTAGATGCAAGTAACTCGTTCGATAACGATGCGGCTACAGACGATCTATACACCTACGCAACCGACCCATTGCAAGGATCGGCATTAAGCGTGGATAATGACGGTAGTGATTTGGAAGAGTCATCTTCAAGTCTGGCAAGTGGGTCCCGTGGCGAGGACGCTCCTGCTAGAGCCACGCTTGACGACGCCAGTTACACCAATCGTGACGCAGTGGTTGAATCCCGACCAGACCCTCTCGAGAGCTCATTCGACGCAGATGTGGAACCGGATGGAGACGACGAGGCTAGAGCAAGTTACGATACAGAGATTGCCACACAACCGACGAAGCACCGAGAAGAAGCTGACGATAAATGGAGCGACGAGCAGTTACGGCACGCACATCCTCCGGGTAGGTTTATGGCCGGGGAAGAAGAGAGCGACGTAGATGACAACGAGCCTGCTCGTACTCCAGCCATGACTCTACGAATGGAGGAAGACGAGAGCTCAGAGGAGACGAGGCCTGTGCAAACTCAACCGACATTCTCAGCAAGCCTGACGCGATTGGGCATGAGCTCTCGTCGCTTAAACCTCGAAGAAGACGATGAGATGGACGAGATTGAACGCTTGCTACTGGACCAAAGAGCGTCCAGTAGGCAAAAGAGGCAGCAGCAGCCTAGACCTGGTGCTAGGGATGATGAGGGTGAGTTTGGAGAGTCTTCCGTGCAGTCACGAGACGATGAGGAGGATGCGATTGGTGGAGATTCCATTCGTTCACATGAGGATGATAACGAGTGTGGAGGCGTATTAACTAGGCCGCGGGGCAACGAGTTCGATGCAAGATCAATCCAACACGACGAAGAAATAGGACGTCAACACGGTGATCAGGTTACTGGAGGCACTAGACACCAGGTCAGCGATGACGACGATGAAGTTGGAGAGGATGACGCGTTGGAAGCATCACCCGCCAGATTCGACGAAGGAGCTATAGCTGCCAGTTTTGACGAGGATACCGAGCTGGAACTAGCCGCTGCAGGTATCCCGAGTAGTCATCAAGCCGAGGAGATTACTACTTTTAAAGAATCGACGTCAAGTATGCGGAGTGGTGACCAACACGTCACACACGGCAATGCGTTACAAGACTCAGCTGCGAGGATGGACACAATCGAGTTAGCACATGGCGAGGCAACGAAACCCTCAGTAGAAGACTCAGTTTCAGATGTTGAGAAGGATACTGGTCTACACACCGATGGAGTAGAACACGCTACGTCGAGCTTCGATACTACCGCAGTAGCGTTTGAAGAAGATGAGGGTAATGCTTCGGAAGCGTCCTCCTCATGTCTGGCAAGTGAGGCACGCGACAACTATAGCAGATCTTCCACTGGTAGAACCTCAGACATACAGCCGCATGATAGCGAGGACGATGGTATTCACACTGATCGCCGCGAAGCAGTTGTTTCCCGATCCGATATACTGGAGAGCTCGTTCGACCCAGACGTGCAGTCAGATTTCAATGACGAAGCTAGTGCAGAGCTATCTACTCTACCGATCAAGCGCCAAGATGAAGCCGAAGACGAGTGGTCTCAAGAGCAGCTCCGAGTAGCAGAGCATTCTCTGGATGGAGCGTTAGTACCGGAGGACGATGAGAAAGCTGCTACCGGTACACTTGCATCTGACCCTGCACCACCACTAACACTTAGCATCGAGGACGACGAAAATTCGGTTGAGGAGACGATGGCTGCGCAAAGTCAACCGATAGCAAGTCTGAATCGATTTGGCATGGGCTCTCGTCGCTTCAACCTCGAAGAAGACGATGAGATGGACGAGATTGAACGCTTGCTACTGGACCAAAGTGCGACCAGTTTGCAAAAGAGGCAGCAACGCTCTGGTCGTTCCTCTACAATGGATGATGAAGATGAGTTTGGAGAATCATCTCTCCAGTCACGGGGCGATGAAAGTGACGAGTTTAGTGGGAATTCTAGCTCACGTGAAGAGAACGAACTCGAAGGTGTTTCGACCAGGCAGTGGGACAGTGCCTTTGCTGTGCGGTCGACTCGAAGTAATGAAGCACGGCAGCAACAAGGTGAGCGATTCACTAGACCGAATGTAACTGATGATGACGACGAGTTAGCAGAATTATCTCGAGAATCACACACCGACGACATCGAGTTTGGCAAGGATTCTCTGCGATTGCGAGCGCACCACGGCGAGGAGGGCGAGACTTTAATCCGATCCAGATCGCACGAGGAAGAAAAATTCGAAGAAGCTTCGATTGGATCACGTGATGGCGAGCCAGTTGAAGTGGCGAACACCTCCAGGCTGCATGGGGAAGGCGGGTGGAACTTGCGCGAAACGAACGAGTTGAGTCAGGCATTAAGCAGCTTGCGAGGCGAACACGAGCTTGGTAGAACGCCCATCCACTCATATCTTCAAGAAGAGAACGAACACGACGAATCTACACTCCGATCACACAGGAAGGAGACGCCTGCAGGCCTCTCCGATTCACGCGAGGACTACGAGTTTGGTGAGGCTTCCATGCGTAGCGGATCGGATGAAGATGACGACGACTTTGGCGAGATGTCGATCCCGCTCCAGGAAGAAGAGCCAGCAGCTCCTCCTGCACCGTCACGCTTACTAAATGTACGCGATGTCGAATATTCTACTCGACCTGCTAACTTCAGTGGCAGAGATGTAGTATCCTACCACGAGAGTTTGATGCACTCGCCGGTGAAGCCATCAAACAACACGACGGCAGCAGCTTCTCACAATGACAGCGCCAGTGAAGTAGAACGAGACTACATGGACGATTCCTTTGACCTCGACGAGTCTCTGGAGGAACAAGAAGACGGCGACGAGAGAGACGTATAACTTAAAAGGCGATAACGCTAAAAATACAAAGGCATTCTGATTATTAGACTCCAATCTCGTTCATCAGCGACGATAGGCACTGGCACCGACAAAAGACGGCGCTCCTGGCTCTTGACTCGCCAGTAGCAGCTTCCGGTATCGATCTAGAGATTCAGCTCCTAGCAAACCGCCGAACTTGACTTGGCCGACACCTGATCCCATCGCCAGAGCTGCAAAAATGTCAGCGTCTGCACCTGGTTGTCCAGCCGAAGCCCCTAAGATCACAGCGAGTCCAAGATGTTGAGCGTCCGTGATGGCTTGCAGGAGTCTTGACACTGTCGGGAACTGATGCGGAACGAGAAGCACCGTGTTGCAGGCGCGTTCTTCGCTCAGAACCGTCAGTCCGTGGCGTTCCACAGCTGCTCGACATACAACTTGAACGCGACAGTTGGGATCACCGCCAAGTCCCGCTCCTTCCTTCGCGTCTGTTGCTCCACCTTCGGCGGGTTCTCCAAAAGCCAAGACACTCCTTCCATCCAATTCATTTTCAGAGCTGTTTAAAGCCGCAAAGCTCTTGACGTCGCCGGCGTCGAGCGGATCGACGACAGTCGTAATCCCCAGCTCTTTAACGCTGCTGCGCACAATATCCAGCAACTCGTCACTATTCTTGAGCGCACCACTCGACCCAGGCACCCACCGGTCCGTATTGTACGGGAACGACCGAGGCGTCTCGTTGTCGTCTTCATTTTGGACTGTATCACTGTCGGGGGATACAACGAATTCGGACGCAGCGAAGTCTACGCCAAAGTCTACACGTAACGGAGAGGCACTCGCAGTCGAGATCACTTGTCCTTCTGGGGCTTCAAGTTGCGCTCGAACGTCGTCCGCAGCCGCACGAACAATGTGCAAAACCTCCTCAAGACTTTGGACTTGCGGCGCAAACCCACCGAACGCTCCGCGATTGGTAAACCCAACGCCGCGAGCTTCCAGTTGTGTACGCAGTGCAGAATTGAACTCCACGGCGATCTGCAACGCGTCAGCGAAGCTCGCGGCACTCGTCGGCGTCATCAGAACTTCCTGTGCGAACAGTTTATTGGATGCGTACTTGCCGCCGTTCACGACGCTGAAGAGCGGCATGGGGACGCACTGGTTCTCCAACGGGAGTTCTTGCAGCTTGGCCACGTAGTCACGAAGCGGCACCTCGGCGTACTTGGCTCCAGCCTGACAAACGGCGAACGAAGTCGCTAGACACACGTTGCGTCCCAACGTCGTGTCCAGATTCTGCAGAATTGTGTCGAGCGCATGCTGATCCGTAGGCTCCGTGTTTACAAGCTTTTCCGTCAGTATTTCTTGTGCTGCAGCCGCAATCTTTTCGAACCCTCGACCGCCGTAGCGAAGTGTGCTAGGAGAAACGTCAGTTGTACCATCACTGTCTTCCTCTTGACGCTTTGATTCACGATCCGTGATGCCCCCCGCTTCGGCTGAGCAGCACCCTTCAAAGATGCCTTTGCCAGTATGCAGCCTCACTAGCACTGTGGGACCCCCCGAGGCGTCCAAAACTTCACACACTTGTACGAACAAAACGCCGCGCTTGGCCGTCGCCCGTGCGTACAGCAGCGACGAGAGCATGAGAAACGGGTCTTCTGGTCGTGTAGCCACCACCTGGTTGATCACGTCGTTCAATGACGCTTCGAGCGAGTGCTCGGCCACGTAGGCCTCGACCAAGTCTCGCTCTCGCCCTTGCTCCTCTTCATCGTCTTCATCTTGATCCTCTCGTGGGTCATGCTGCTGCACCATTTCTCTCTTAAAAAGATAATTTAATGGAGACTTTCAATTGCGACCTTTGATGATCAAGAGGATACTTTTCGCGACTGGCAGAATGTAGCCATATTCTTGTCAGGGAGCAAGCTTCCTTGTGTGCAGCAAACGATAAATGCTTGCTAGTGGCGGGATCTTGACGGAAGGAGACATGGAACCAGCATGGAAGGTGATAATTTTAGCGGCTTTTGTCTTCCAGGCTATCAATAAGACCTCGAGCGAGTCGAATATACTGGAAAACGAACTGCTGTCTCTTCGATTCCAAAAAAGACAGAGGGTTAAACTGCTTTGACCAATCCCCCTCCACTGACTACGACGGAGTGTCAAGACTCCGTGCTGGTTGGGGCCGCATGGAGAACTATGAAAGTCTCGGCACGATCGGCGAAGGGTGAGTCGCGCGTGAAGTGTAGTAAAAAAGAACTTGATCGCTGACGCGTGCAATGCTGCTGATCTCTAGAACGTACGGCGTGGTACTCAAATGTCGACACAAGGCTACGGGCCAGATAGTTGCAATAAAGAAATTCAAAGAATCGGACGACGACGAGCAGGTCAAGAAGACGGCACTTCGAGAGATCAAGATCCTCAAGCAGCTCAAACACGAGAATATCGTGAGTCTGCTCGAGGTTTTTCGGATGAAAGGCAAACTCTATTTAGTCTTCGAGTTCGTGGAAAAGACGATTCTCGAGGAGATCGAGCGGCATCCAGACGGTCTGGACCCGTCAACACTCAAGAACCTCATGTGGCAGCTCGTGCGAGCCATCACTTTCTGCCACCAGCACAACATCATCCACCGAGACATCAAACCTGAAAACCTGCTGGTCTCTCGGAATGGCGTGCTCAAGCTCTGCGACTTTGGCTTTGCGCGGCCTTTGGCAACAGCAGGTGCCAAGTACACAGAGTACGTGTCTACGCGATGGTATCGAGCACCGGAGCTGCTAGTTGGCGATGTGTCTTACGGTAAAGCAGTCGACGTGTGGTCCATTGGCTGCATGTTCGCTGAGATCGCCACAGGATTGCCCTTATTTCCAGGGGACTCGGACATCGATCAGTTGTACCATATTATCCGTTGTCTAGGTCGCATCACCTCAAGGCAACAAGATCTCTTTCGAAAGAATGCGCTCTACGTTGGTGTTAAGCTGCCACAAGCCAGGGAACTTGAGCCGCTGGAAGCGCGTTTCCCAACTATGGACAAAGTATCACTGGATTTCATCCGACAAACGATCGTAGACGAGCCTCTCGATCGCTGGACTTGTGCTGAATTACTCAAACACCCTTTCTTCGACAACTCACACGAAGCGTTTGAAGCAGAACTACAAGAGGCGATTGCGCGGGATCTCAACGATACAGCTGCGGTCCGGAAAAAGCGAGCACGGAAACCTTCGCGTGGCAATGCACTTGCTGGGGCCATCCCTGTGATGCCTGTTTCTTCATCAAGTTTCAATGATCCTATGGCGAATGGTGTTGACAACTGTAAACCTCTCGGCAAACTCCTCTTTGCACCTGTGCAGAAAAAAGAGAAGAGTGGCGTGGCAGCTAGTGACAATAGTAACCCACACATGTTATCGCGAAAAACACCCCCGGGGAATGGGTTTATCCCTGGTGGAGCGTACCATTTACCGACACTTCAAGGCGCAATGAATAACTCGTCCAGCACCAGCTCTACGTCAAGTACAATAAGTGTAAACAACCACATCAACTCGGGTGGCTCCGGTGGCGACAGTGGCAGTACCAGTCCTCTCTTTTCTCAGAACAAGAAGCTCATGCTACCGTCAGGTGCGGTGCCTTCCATCTCTGAACACTATCCAGCTGCATCCTACGCGCAATCTGTACCCACAGACCACTTGACGTACATCGGTCTACATGACAGTGTTCGAGTTTCCATGACTTCTCCTGGCAGTCGATTAGGAGCAGCAGGTCCAGCTGGAGGCATCGCAGTTCATCCGTACTCAACTCCACCGCCAAAGCCACCTTCGTCTTATTTGAAGAATCCTTATGGGGTCCACCAGATCTCTTCTAAACGAGGAAATGGGAAGCATGGCGGCTCGAATTTACCCAGTTCTATGGACTCGTACTCTCCTAAGAGATCAGTGAAGAACGCACATAATTCTTACGGACACGGCACGGGGTGGAGTGGCTCTAAGAAAGGGATTTCTACAGCCAGTACTGTCGGCGCAACAGCCACTATGAAAAAAAGTACAGCATCACAAGGACTGTACGCACCCCCGAGAACATCTCATAGTACAATTCGGGCCGCAGCACTACCACAAGGGAATTTTAGCACACGTCCGACGAGATAGTGACTCGCGGAACCTTTAGTCGACGCTAAACGTTAATACCAAGCCACAGTTTTGATGTGCCCGTTTATATTGACGGCGTGTGATCTCAGACGAACCAAATTAGAGATCAGTCGTGGCGACCTCCTGCTTGTACGCGTAGAACTCGTTGATCCACTGGCGAATGTACTTGAGTTCGGTATTGCGCGCCTCGGTGACAGCAGGAGGATCCGATGGGTGCGTGAAGAACAAGTCGAGGTGGTGTGCTCCTCCAGGAACCGGCACAGCCACCACCGAAGGCGAGAGGGACTCCAGTACACCCAAACCCGACCACGGATCGAAGTTCCCGTTACTGAAGACGATGTTGCTGGCCGCGCGTAGAGCTTTCATGCCACCGAACTCGAATTGAGCCCAACGAGGCTTCAAGTGAACGCCCCACTTCTCAAAGCACGCGGCATTGTCTTGAGATTCGTTGACTGCAACCGTGGGGAAAACATCGTTCACTCCGTCCGAACTCATTGGCATATAGAGCTCCGAACACTCGAGATATCCCCAAAAGTTGCCCTTGTGGTCAATGCGCGCCTGCTTGGCAGCATCAGACGTGTCCAACTCATCGATAGTTTTCACAGGAGAGACCGGGAACAAGCAGGACTCGCTCTTAGAGGCGTTGTAATATACAGCGATGCTTTCGCGGAATGCACGGATCAATCCGGACTTGTCGTCTTCAGTAAACACACCAGCGAAAGGCTCGCACGCAGTACGCATCGGATAACCCGGGAGGTCCACTTTACCGTCCATGATGTAAGATGTCGGGTACGGATAGTTGCCCACCGCCAAGTCGCCGTACGCTTCCGAGGCGATTGAAATGACTTTGTCCGAGGACTGTAATGAGTCCGCATCGCACAGATGAAGGAGCTCTGCCAGTTCCTTCCGTCCAGACTTCGTCCCACTCATCGCAACTGCCGTGTTCAAGGCACGCCGGATATTCGGGATGCAGTTCGTCGCTGCTCCAGCGTCTTCCGACATGTCGAACGTCACGACGCGGTTGAACGCCTCCGGGTCTGCAGGGTGATCTGGATCACCAAAGAAGTTGGCGACGGGGGCGGAACCTGCGATGATACCGTCGATAATGTGCGGGTATTTCATCCTAAACCAGGTGCCCAGCATGCCGCCGTACGAGCCCCCGAAGCCGATCACAGGGACGTCGACCTTCAGGTCTCTCTTGAGCATCTCGATCAGCACCGCGTAGTCAGCCATGGCTTGCTGTGTGGACAGGAACTCCATGTGATCCAACACGTCCAGACCGAACGGAACGGACTTGCCAAAGTAGCGATGCTCGGCGAACACGATGAGCGCGTTGAAAGCCGCCGCGTTCTCCCACATGAGTCCCGTGTGGTTCAGATACAGCGTGACGTCGGCCTCGTTGCCCACGTAGAAGAAGATCGAGCCGTTTGTAGGGCTAAAGTTGTCTGGGGAGCACACAAAGTACCGCATGTCGAAAGTGCCTTCGCTGGATTTCCCATCGGCTCGGAAGTGGTCGAGCGATTGGGTGATGAATTTCTCCTCACAAAGTGACAGAAGATTTCTTGATCCGTCGGGTGAAGACGGGAACGACGTGGGTGTTGCTTCAATCGCCTCTTGAATGGTTGATGACGGAGGAGACGGAATTGAAGCGGGGGAGTTAGAAGTGGTCGCCAAGGCTAAAAGTGCCAAAGCAGCTGAGATCAGAGCTGCCCAGCCCATTGCAACTGGCAGAGGACGGCGAACGTCATTGCCAATTGCCGTGTATTTAGTGGGCAACATTGGCGAGCGCTCACCCCCCGAGAGAGTCATCGGACGAGAGGTGGGATGACTAAATGAAGCAGATGAGTGTAGCGGTATTGGATACCGCTGTTGTGATTGGCTGGGGTACTATTGCATAATTTTCGAAAGATAGTGTGTTTTCTAATATGTATCTCATTTCAAGCGAATCAGAGATTTTACACTGACGCTTCTGTTGAAGTCACTTACACGCACCGACAAATTGATGCTGACTAAATGTGGATGTCCACCGTTGCAGCCACATGGGACAGTTATACCAACACTCGCGCTGCTACCCGATCGAAGAACGTTGCCTGTGGTGACAAAACTGACAGTAATATTAAAACCTCGCAACATTCTCTTTAAAAATTCAAGTGATGACGCAATCTTTATTGGCAAAAAAAGCCATTTAACCGCTCACTTTCCAAAGCAAAGCTAACCCAACGAGTATCACCAAGAGTACCCCTCCATTCAGACATGGCGATCTCGTGTTGCATGTGCGGCGCTCAGATCGAGGCCAACGCGATGAACATGTGCACGTCGTGTATTGCGACCGAGGTGGATGTGGCCGAGGGCATTACCACGACGTGCGAGCTGGTGCAATGCCGCGGCTGTTTGCGCTTCCAGTCGCGCGGCAAGACGCAACAGTACAGCAGCATCTCGGGTGCATGGATGGACTGCGACTGGGAGTCCAAGGATCTCATGGCGCTGTGTCTCAAGAGCATCCCGGGCCTCAACAAGGCCAAACTCATCGACGCAGGTTTCATCTGGACCGAACCGCACTCCAAGCGCGTCAAGCTTCGCCTTACTCTGCAGCGAGAAGTGGCCAACCACGCTGTGATCCAAAACACGTGCGCCTTCACCTTTGTCATCCACAGTGTCAAGTGTCCGGACTGCACCAAACAGTACCATAACAACACATGGAAGGCGCTCGTGCAGATCCGCCAGAAGGCCGAGCATAAACGCACTTTTCTGAGACTTGAACAGGAGATCCTCAAGCACAATGCGCACCAAGACGCCATCGGTATCACGACTGTGAAAGAAGGAATGGACTTCTACTTTGGCACCAAATCCACAGCTGAACGCTTCATCCACTTCTTGACTGCTCACGTGCCTATGCGCTCCAAGTCGTCCAGTAAACTCATCTCAGAGAACGTGCACAACGCGACAGCCAACTTGCAGCTCACGTACAGTGTTGAACTGAGTCCCATCTGCAAGGACGACTTATTGGTGCTACCTAGGAAGTTGGCGCAGAGCTGCGGCAATATCTCGGACGTGACGCTGTGTGCACGCACCACCGCCATGGTGCATTTGCTGGATCCAGTTTCTGGACAGAAGGCCGAGCTCCCGACCGACAGATACTGGAAGTTGCCGTTCCTTCCGCTTGCAACCAGCTCCGATATGGTCGAGTTCGTGGTGCTGGATGTGGAGCCTGTGGATCCGCGCGAGCTGCGCCACGTCCACGTCGGACCGGCTGCGACTTCTGGTAGAGGTTGCAAGTCTAAGTTCGTGGTGGCTGACGTGGAAGTGGCTCGAGAGAGCGACTTTGGCGTGAATGACACGACGTTCCACGTGCGTACACATCTTGGTGGTGTGTTGTCTGCCGGTGACACGGTCAAGGGCTACGATCTGTCGACTGCCATCTTTGGCTCGAGCCAGACGTACACTCTGAAGGAAGAGCTGCCTGACGTTGTGCTTGTACGGAAGGTCTACCCGCGTGAAAACAGACACCGCAAGGGAGACCGCAAACTGAAAACGCTAGGTGCCAGTCGCCGTGGGAAGGTCAGTAAAGCTGAGACAGCTCGGATGGAGCACGAGATGGAGGTGTTTACTGAAGAGTTCCTGGAGGAGAAGGACCAAGAAGAGCACGAAGGGGTCGACGACGAGCACGAGCACGAGGAAGAGAAATTCCCTGAAGAAACTGAAGACGTGTCGGCCAGTGAGGACAAGCAAACAAAAGCTGCCGTTATTAGCTAGGAGGACTGGACAGATCGAGCACTTAAAAGTAGTACTTCATCTCGGTGACACTATTGTTCGACTCTTTTCCTATCTTACCAGCCATACTTGGCATACGTTTCCCTTTTCGTTTTCAATGAGGCTCCACGCTTCTCCAGCAGTTCAAAGTCACGCACCTTTGCGTCGAAAGCAAGTTGGTTCAGCTGGTGCCTCTGTCTCTGGAGACGGCTGGGTTTGCTGGACGACACGGTAGTGCCAGCTTGCGAGTTCCAGAAGCTGGCGTTCACCTTGATCTCCTGGTCACTGGATCCCTTGACTCCGCGGTCTCCTGTACGCGGATCAACTGGCGGCTGCCAGGCATGAGACACTGGACCTTGCACCTCCCTGATCTGGTCCGCCACCGTCTCAAAGTGGCCCTGTTGCAGAGCTCTCTCAATGTCTCGTTCCCGGGTCCTCCTGCGCTTGGAGCTGCCTCCTGGTACGTCGTCCTCCCCCTGAGCAACGTAGAAGTCCTGAGAAGCTGCAGAATAGCTAGCCTGATACTGCTGTTGTTGCTGGTAGTATTGCTGCCAGGCCGCCGCATTTGCCGCCGCTGTCGCCTCGTCCATTGGCTGCTGATCTGCTTGAGCCCGTGTGGCCTGTTGCACCTGACCATGAGCCTGTTGCTGCCCCTGTTTCCCTTGCATGGCTACGCCAGCACTACCCACTGTATTTGACACTGGGAGCTCGTGCTTGGGTGGTGGCAGGAAGGACAGAACCGAGTCCTTGTCGGCTTCCGAGGGTCTAGGCCGCTTGTTTGCCGCCTTTTTGGCGCGCTTGTGCTTGGCCAGCAGCTCGTTGTCATCATCGCTGTCGTCGGATAGCGCGTTGGCACTGGATCCTGTCTCCAGCAGTCGCTGAATCTCCGGCGGTAGATACAATGTCGTCTTGGTCTTTCTCTTTTTGGTCTTCTTTTTCGTCTTCTTGGGCTTGAGCGCGGCTTTTGAGGAACTGGACGCGGGGATTTCTAGAGCTTTTGCAACATGTTGTAGACGCAGAGTCGAGGCAGGTAACGGAGCCGTAACAGACACGCTGGGGGCACCCTCGTCTTCCGAAGAGCTCGCGTAGTCGGGCACCAACACAGACATTATGGAGCGCTTTATTTGAACGGGATTAACCGCGTTGTGTTTGTACTGATTTTCCTTTTAAGTACGAAGTAGGACCGACACCTTTATTTTACCAGTAATAAAAAGCCACAAAATCAGTTGTAAAGGTTACAGTTGAAGTAAAAAACATGTACTGTATTGCTGTAACCAATATCAAATGATATTTTTGATAGTAATAGTACTATTTAAAATTTAAATATGAAAAGTAGCTGAGATTAACATAATATTTTATAATTAACTCAGAGATTTGAGAAATATTAGATACTTGTCAATAGCGTTAGATGTTATTTTTTGATCCCATTTAAGTACGTTTCTTGCCACCTTACCTCTGTGAACCGAGGGCTCACCAAAGAACTCTTTCGGTCAAGCTCTAAGGCAGCAGTAGTGATGGCAGGCATTGAATCTGACGAGTATTTGCTCTAGCATTTCACTGTGACACAGACAAAGCCGATCGAGATAAACTGTAAACGGTTGCAGCTGTAGGAAGTCGATAGAGATAATTTGTTCTTGTTATCTGTCGTGCGTCTCATAAACCTGCAGCCTGTGAGGCTAGATAATCTAGCTTCACAGGCTGCAGGTTTATCTAGCCTAGATTAGTGCACTCAGAAGTGCCAACACACCACACCAACCTTGCCGTCACTCTTTGCCCTCACTGTTGATTAGTTATACTTCAGCTAGTCGAACGTTTACGACGTAGGATTGGGAGATTAAAAGAGATTTTGTAATCTTTGAAAATGTAATATTGCTTTAGCTAGTACTTGAATTAAGTGAATATTTAATAATATCATTTTGTCTAAGGAGAAACTATTAGGTAAAACAATTATTAGCTGGTCTTCCAGGTGATATTATCACTATATTAACTTTACCGATTTTGGAGTTTCGATTAGCCCCTGTGTACAGGACCTTTTCAGGTACATTAGTTAAAGGAGGGAGAGGTTTGAAACTTAAGCTTATGCTACGCTAGACGCAAGCCACGAAGGTTTTTCCTCTTCCCCGGAGGTTTATTGCAAAGAAGCCTGGAAGTGAAAGCTAGCCACTGGCCACCAGCAATAGAGCGGGTCGTGGCGTCGAAGGCATAAGCTATTGAATTTAATTCCGGTACATGTACCACAGCTGCTGTACAGTTGTGGCATTGGATTATTTGTCCCTAAATAAGTGTTTCTGAGAGCTCACCAACTGATCAATTCACTCTACCAAAACCTGCACAAACTCGATTTTTGCGTCTGACATAGCTCTGACGTATTTGTTGTCACAAATCAGTAGTAAAATGCTGAGACGTAGTTCTCGTCTCCACAAAATGTGTCGACGCAAAATCTTTGTACCTCATTTCTGGTACAGATATCAGTGTCCACTGCTAGTTACATCTGTTATGAGCCACCGCAATGTTGGAAGAAGACGGGGCTTCACTACGCCTTAAGTTGAACGTACGTACCAAAGTGCATCACAAACAGGATCTCACGGATACATTTAACGCTACTTTTACTATTACAGGCCTCTTATCTCTCGTTAAACAGTTTCTCCCGCTCGGATCACTCAATGGGATGATGTCCACTACGCTTACAATCAGAACCTTCCTGCTAAGTGGCCGCAGCGCGACTCAGAGTTGCTGTGTCGCAAATTCTACGCTTTGAATAACACTAAAAAGCCGACAGGTGAGTGAGTCGATTGTGTGCTGTAATACCATCGTCCATCCTTAAACGTATATAGGCGATCCATCGTGTCTACCGGAGATTCGACGAGCGAAACATGGCATTAAAGAAATCGAGGGCAAGTGCAGTGTATCTCGACTAGCTTACAAGGTGTACCAGGGAGATTTAGCAGGATCAATGAGTGCTTCAACTGCTTGAACATTGCGATCAAAAGAATACATACAGCGCAGCCGTAGAAGCAGCAAAACATGCTTCTTTAAACAAGCCTTTAGGTGCTCGCACGCTAACACAAGCCGCTGGGGAGTGTCCCGAGCCATCAAAAGGGTAGCCGCATACATGTACCTATAACCTTAAATGTGTTGATTTTGATATGCTAGCTGACACAACACAAATTCGACATATATTTTAACACACTTTTAATTTTGTGTTTGTGATTGCATTTGTGTAGGTTTTGGAAGAGCACATTACCGCGCAGTCATGCCGTATTCCATCATAATATAGCTGTCACCCGTTACTTTTAAGCTAAAAGTATCACCACAAGTTGTGGCACAACTGGACGCCGCCCAAAACTGCCCAGGTCTCCAATATTTTCCTGAGATCTTAACCTAGCCTCACATATGCGAACATAAACAAGACCTCCAAAGGTATCTCTTAATTTGGGACAGCTCCACTCTTCTCTTATCCCAGCGTCCATTCGGCGTTCGAATTGGCGGCGAGGAACTACCGTGATCATTGAGCAAGGAGCTCAGCTAGAGGAGAGTGTGGGAATGAAAATGGAGCGCGGACCTAGCTACGCGGAGTACGAGGACGGTGCGCCGCTCAATGGGGTCAACAGGACGCTCGCATCCAGCTCCGACGGTCCCATCAAGCGCGTCAACATGCCCACAACCACGGGGCGCATCATGGACCGCAAGGACGCGCTGTTCAAGCGCTCTAAGGGCCAGTGGAAGTGCGTACAATTCACTATATAACATTAGTACGAAATGAGGTGGAAAGGTGGCTCTTAACTGATGACTCTACGTGCAGTATTCGTCGACAGAAGGTGCCCCACTACTGGAAGCTCTACATGCAGGACCCTTTCCACTCCGTGGTCAACATGCGACTGAGCAAAGTATTGGGATCTCTCATGCTAGCGGTGCGTTGAATTAGCCGAACTCGATGCTTTTTGTTGCGATTGCTTGCCTGTTGTCGGAGACTGACGTGGTCGTGTGGTTGTTGGCTGCAGTATATCGTAGTGCTCACCGTGTTCGGCGCGTTGTACATGACGCCACCTGACGAGTGCAAGCTGGCCATTCACACGTTCTTCGACGGCTTCTCTTTCTCCGTCTCTGTGCTCTTCACCATCGGTTTCGGTACCAATGGTGGCGATGTCTTCTTTGGACGATGCGTTTGGGTTCAGACCATCATCACTCTGGAGTCGCTAATGGGAATTTTGCTCGATGCCTTGGCTATCGGAATTATCTTCCAGCGGTTCTCACGTGCGCAGGCCCGTGCCAACACCATTGTGATGAGTACGCACGCTTGCGTTCGTCGTATCCGTGGCCACTTGTACTTCATGTTCCAGGTGTGCGAAATGCGCAAACACCAGCTTGTTGAGGCTCATGTTCGCATGTACGCGGTCCGACACGACGTGGAGTTCGGTGAGCATTATTATTTTCAGTCGTACCCGATGCGTATCCAGCACCCTGATGACGATCTTGGTGGTATGCTGCTTCTGGCCCTGCCTTCTGTCGTTGTCCACCGCATGGACGCCTGGAGCCCACTGCTACGGCCCAAGAGTGCCGAGACGTGCGGTCTGCATCATAATCCCGCGAGAGGTTACTTGTTCCCGGAGCCTCTGTGTCGCGAGGCCGACGCCCAGAGCGGAGACCGGGACACCTCGGTACAGGTTAACCAGGCCACCAACTCGGTGCACAACACGTGCCGCTGCGCTACTGGAAACGCTGCTATGGGTGACGTGCACGCTGCCACGCAGCCGCCGACCGTCGAGGAGATTAAGCAGTACTGGGCCGAGTCGCAGGTAAGAGCAGACCACCGGTATCTCCCTTTGTAAAGTACTCTAGTTCTAACATCTCGCTTTGCAGCTGGAGGTAGTGGTGCTTGTGGAAGGCATCGACGCTGTCACGTCGGCGACAATTCAAGTGCGGCACTCATACAAGGCAGAGGACATTTTGTTCAACCACCGCCACACGAACTGCGTGGACGTGGACCCGGAGACTGGCGGAGCTGTGATTGACTTCCGTCGCTTTCATGAAACGAAACCTGTGGATCCCGAGTGCAACAAGGTCGCTGGCAGCTTTTACTGACTTGTGTAAGCTGAACAGAGCTAGGGGACTGTGCCATAACTAAAGTACTGTAGTAAACAGTACTTTAGATGACTTTCACTCTGAAATCAATTCCACCGCGTACTGTATTAGCTGTGACAGTGGAAAATCTACATGCAATACCTTGCGTAAGCTGCTCGACCTCACTGAGAGTAGAGGCATACCTCTAATTTCGCTACATGTGGTAACAGGCCCTCCGTATTGCAAATAATATATTAGTACGGAATAGTTTATTTTTCGCTTATCCGGAAAAAAAGTGGAATAACTTACGGCTTTACTTTTTAAAATATTTTTTAAAATTAAAAAAAAGCGATTGAGTAATTACTTTATTACAGCCAAGCCAACATGAAACCACTTTGTAGTGAAGAGCCCTGGATGGCCAACAAGCTAGCACCAACATCTGCTCCTTTTACCTTATGCTGCCTCATTTTCGAATCAAGATGGCAACCAACAACCCCTTCAGCACGCGTCAAGTGTGCAGCTACTTCTAGAAGCCCGTCCTAGACGATCAGTATGAGCCGATGGAGCACTTTCGCTGTCGGTGCAGTGTTGTGCGGAAGCAAGCGCCCAAGACTGGTTGCAGTAACCTCTTCGACCATGCCACCCATACTTCGTGGCAACAATGATGACCAGCGGTACCAATACCACCACCCTCGTCAGTTTTATTGACTGAAATTCGCAGACTATCTTCTGCTGGTTGGAGTGGACTCCTGCCAGCAATCTGCCATTTTCGTGGTGTGAGCCATCGTGCCCAAGTACAGAGCGCTTCTCGACTGATTAAGTACGCCGGTTTGGTCATTTGTCAGATCGAAATCGATATCGGTTTGGTGATTCCCGCCAAATTTGGTATCATGTTCGATGGGTGGACCTTTCAGTCCGAACACTACCTCGCTGCTTTGCGGTTTTACATGTAGGGCATGATGGCCGCACTGAGAAAGTGCTGCTAGCCTTTGCCTCTCTGGTAGACGACGATGTGACCGATCGCTCTGCTGCAAGTCACGTGAGGTTTCTCGAAGATATCCTTCCCATTTTCATTGGTGAACCTGAACCTCGCTGTCCAGAAATTCACGGGGCCTTGTTGAGAAAAATATAGGAGCTGATGCGAAAACTACGGAATCTCAACAAATCAGCTAAGCCCCAGCAAGGTTTACAACGTTCGATTGGCTGGTTTTTGTAATTTTGTTATTTTCAACAAAATTTGTTTTTTTTCTATCCAGAAAAGTACTTCTTTGAGGCCTGTGTTGCGACAAACCACGCACTGGGACTCGACCTACACGATGATCGAGCGCGTTTTCGCGATCAAGGACTTCATCGATAGGACGGACGACAAGCTGACGGAGTTAATGGTAGGCGGGATGAGGAGAACAAGCTCCGAGCACTCCAACACTACCTGCGCGACTTCAACTCAGCCTCCAAGAAATTCTATAGAGACGATAATGTCACGCCTCTTGATGTGCGTGACATTTTCGACGCTCTGGTGGAGCGCCACCCGACGGTCGAGACGAATTTGAGCGCGAAGGCTGCCATTGTGAAGAGTCCAGCCTTCGAGAAGGCGTGTGTTCTAGTTTTGTTAGATAAGAGGCTGAGCTGACAGCAGAGCAGCACGACCTTCTGAAGGAGGTTGCGGACCCCGCTTCTCGCCACGCCAAAGACGAAGAGGACAACGCCGACAATCACAGCGGATTTGCTGACCGCGCGCGAAAGAAACAACGGATATCTCTTCCAACTTACGGTGCCGTTCGCTTCATTCCGCCTACGTTCAGCGGTGGAGCGCCTGTTCAGTAAGGCGCGGCATGTGCTGTCATCACATCGCCACAACTTGCTTTCAATTCTTCTGGAGATGTTCGCTTTTTGAAGATTAACCGTTGGCTCTGGGGTGCAGCTACAATGTCGAAGTTCGTAAACGCGTAAGTCGAAGTTTGCTAAATACCCAAACACAGTTCCATCTTGTGCTTGGAATCTTGCTACTAAACAAACTATTTTGGTAAACTTGCAGTTTTACAATATCACGGAATAGTTTATTTTATGTTCTCCGCTGAATAGCTTATTTCGAAGGAGTCCCAAAGTGGCATTGCAACGCCGTTTTAGGAAAGCCTGCATACTAATCGACTCACACTACTTTGTCTACACCGTATCTACTGGCAGACGGTTAAGTTGCTCCCGGCAGCGGCCAAAGCAGTAGCAACTCGTTTGGCAACACTGCAGTACCCACCATGAGTGCAAGTATTTTGCCACGAAACAATTAAATTGAAGGTTCCCTTTTTGATTAAAATTTAAAAACATGTGTGTTGATCATTACACCATTCACTTAAATTCGTCGTGAATTCGCGCTTTAGTGACGTAACAAATCTGGGAAATTTTAGAAGTCATCTATTTTAAACAAAAGCACTGGTTTTGGACAGATCTCGGCAATAACTTTATTTTAGTAAGTTTGGTTTGGAATATGAACGAGTAGTTTTTAGATAACGGGCAGTAAAATTTCCAAAATTCTGTGCTCCAACCTAAACACCACAATGAGTCATGGCATGACTAATTAGAGTGAATATACATGTAGTACTACGTATATGGATGAATAGACACGTCTCTCCGACAGACACAAAGGCAAGATTGTGAATATGTGATTAATATCCAATCATATACTACAATTTACCTTAATTCAGCCAATTAGGTCGCACAGGAGCAGGTTCTTCATTCCGACACTTTCTGACAAATACTTGTCGGAAGCTAGAGCTAACTATTTCGAAACCAATACTGAATTTAGGTCGTGTAAGGAATATGCCAATATTTTTGTGGTTCCGACAATGCGGTATACCTCCTACTTTAGGTTAAAATTGAGCAGTAGTGTTAAGGTACACTCAACCAGTCAAGTCCAGTTAACAAAAAGCAGAAAAGACAAGCAGCAACCAGCATGAGCCTCTCCGCACTTATCCCTACAAATACGCAAAAAGCGCGTACTACCGGAATAGGCGCGTTCGAGCGTATGCTTAAAGTCGAGGATGTATCCATGGACGTTGTCCGAGCATGCATTTTCAGTGACAGCTCTGGAAAGAGCTTAGCGGCCGTGATGGATCGTTTTGGCTACTATCTCGCCACATGCGAAGGTAAGAAAGGTAAGTTGGCGCCCAACACCGCCATTTCTTACTTTAGAAACGTGAAGCTTTGGTTTTTCGATTAGTATCCTCATCTTAGAGTACCAACCGAGTTAGTTTTGCTTAAACAAGGGAAGACTCTCGAAAAACACTGCTTAAAACGTGATAATGGAGGATTTACTAACAAGGCACCACCTTGTACAAAGGCGGATTTGCGCTCACTAATTTGCGATGTGTACAAAACAACATCCGTCGCCTCGGATTCCGAAGATGCAGCGCTTGCATGCCTTATGTGGCATTGCTTCGGCCGTTCATCAGATCTCGGCTACGTCACAAAGCAGCACATTACAATGTCAGCTGACAACGTTTTCTATATTCGGATGATACGAATGAAAACAGCTGAAGAGCAAGGCCTCACGCTCGTACCTGATCGGGCGGATTTTGTGACCTGCCCGCTGTACACGCTCGCAGTAGCCTTGGTGATGCAGGAGTCGCCTTGTGTGTCCCTGCTAAGCCAGCTTCCTTCTCTTGTGACACCGTCTGCGCCCTCACTTGATGCAGGAACACTCCTTCTCGATGTACTACGAGTACCGTCGGTCAATGCTGCCACCTCTTCGCATCTTCCTGCAGCAGGGGATGACTGACCCGGCGGGCCGCCACTCTGCGAAGCGTCCCGAGCTCCACTGCAGCCAACCCTTCAGTGACCAACCAAGCTCGCGGTGACGACGGGGTTCAAGCGTATGTGAACCGGTTCCTGAAGCGGGTGACGGAGCCGGCAGGAGCCTCAGCCAACTTGACCTCGCACTCCTTCAGGCGGGGCGGGGCGCAGCATGCAAACGGGGACGAGCGGCTGGCTGCACTGTGGATCTTTGATCGTGGGTCACGGGACATGACGCGCACCAACAAAGGATTCGCCTACGTATTCAACGCGCCACGCGAGGACCGTAAAGTAGCACGGGTCTCGAGTGGGTGGGCTGCGGACGAGGCACCGATGATTCTTGATGTTGCCATTCTCGACCATGGGGGCACAGGAGCGCATGACTCGGTTGAAGGAGTTGCTGTTCGCTTCCTGTGTAGGGCTGAAGAACAACAAGCTAAACGTGAGTCGCAAGGTAATTGGGCTCCTTACCGCCTACCTAATTAGGCATTTCCCGGAAGTGAATACTCTGGAGCCCAGGAGCTTGTTCGTTGTTCGAGTGGAAGAATACTTGGAAGCAGCTGACATCTCCCACACCGAGTTGCTGGCGTGGTCGGTCTCTCTGAGCCATGTCGCCTCCAAACCTGCTCAACAAAGGAAGGACACTGAAAAGAACGGCTGCAATCGAACGGAGTGTCATCACGCTGCTGTCATTAATGAGCTTATCGAAAGTAATAGGCTGTTGTCTGCACGCCTGCTGGCGCTAGAGGCTGCCATCCTTAAGCGACCTGCACACGAAGAGCCAGCCCAAACTACAGAACAGGAGCAAGTTTCGTCAGCTCAAACACCTGCAGCGAAACGCAGAAAGAAAGCGACTACCAACCTGTCATCGATCTGGTTCGAGTGGTACGCACGGTAGCCTCGCGTCTGGAGCTCTAACGACCGACAAAAGAAGTCAGATTACCGCTTGATCGTCGCGTACATGAAGCTTTTCCTGGAGGGCGGGTTGCAGCTTCACGAGAGATCGGAGGTCTACAAGGATCGCGCTCTCGAGGTCGGCCAACGTGCAGAGTCGGCGGTCTTCGGCTTCCTGAGTGGACAAGGGATCCGAGCAAAGGGCAGCGGTAGCGTACTGCGTGAGATGCGCAAACTTCATCGCTTAGGGGCCCTCGACAACCCTATCACGACGTACCGTACATACCTCACCGCAAACAAAATTGCTGATCCTGCGCCTACATCAACCCAAGACATACTTCAATTTGTAGGACATGTGTAAGACAAGTGAGTAGATGTTAATGAATATGCAACTCTTCGCAAACATCATAAGCCGACAGCAGGGAATTGGACCCCCCACTCGTTACCATCCGAGCGCTGCACCAGCAGTGCCGGCGAAATTCGTGTGCGCAATGGCAAACTGTGCTCTGGACTGATCCTTTGCTACGGGAGATCTGCTGGGGTGGCTCTGGAAAAAGAAGACTGAGACCACAAGGCCCCTGTCGGTAATTTGTGGCGCTGTATGATTGGCTAAGTAAAAAACCTAGGCAAGGTTTATTAAGTGACGTTGTTTTATTGGCTGAGCAAAAACCCTGAATGAGGTTAATCCAAATGACTGGCCTACGACAATGATGTCACTATTTTTGGCTTAAGTGTCATTGTTTTAATATAACCTCTAATAGTAACCCCTCACCCTGGCTTCGGGTCTCATTCATAAATTTGCTGGCTGGAGAGCACAGTGATGTGAAGCCTATAATGCCCCTAAACAAAAAAAGAGCTTTCTCGGCCTACAGGCCTCTTTAGAGCATTTCCTTGCGCCTTCGAACTCCCTTTCCAAAGCTGACTGGGATGGTCGTACTTATAAAAGCGACCGTACTTAGCGTAAGCGTACTTAATCTGAGTACACCGTCATGATCTGATTGGCGGATCCGAACTGTCGGAAACATGTCGGAAAGGGGTAGGGTGTCGGGACGGTTGCGATACAGCTAAAATACTGATTTTGATTTTGTTCGATATCGTCGATACCCATTTTATTGTGAATTCCGACCAAATCTGCCGTTTTGGTCCTATTCAATGAGTCACGCACATACAAACTTCCTATCATTTTGAAACCAGGTCGTACTTAAGTGTCCCTTGACCGTACTTAAGTGCCTATTGCTCAAGGCAAGTCAATATCCGATTTGGTACGCGTTCATTTAAAGAGCCGCACACGGAAGTTTTACACAATACCACTGTTAGCATGTAAATTGCAGTTAAAATTGATAAAACTCGAAAAATAGGGGTACATTTACCGACGACGAGATCCACACGCACAAGAAACATGTCAAGGAAAGTCCATGAGACGGCCGAGCAAGAAGCACTAGAGAACCCCTCTTGGCGAAGTCGCAAGAGGCAAGCGCTCAAAAGGCACTTGCGTTCAAACGGGCAGACGACATTGTGCGCGATGAGGACTTCCCAGTGAAAGGTGAACTAGTAATAAAAAAACTGGAACATAGTAGAGCCTGGGCTGATGGAGGCATCCAACACCTGCATCTCGTTAGTGTACTGGGTCTTCTATTACCTGTTGGCGAAATACGACCTACCGCAAACTAACTTTTCTAGTTGAAACGGCAAAATACATTTGTATTTCAGATCAAGCTAAATGGATGAACCACATGCAGATGCAGTATGGATTGCGTGCTCGCTGGGCCCACCTAAAAATCCACAAGGGTTTGTAGGGAGAGGAAATCATCAAGCAATTTCGTAAAGTGACAAAAAGTGGACTACGAGTCCGAGGAAATGGAAGCTACAATTCGCGAAACTGGAGTCTTTTGGAGTCGTAAGACTGACTGATCGTATTCGAAGGCAAGGAAGAAATCTCGAAGTGCGATGCGGTTCGATACAGGGTATCTATCCTGGATCGAATCGTACGCAGGGAGTAGGTATTCACCAAAATATGTTGCGAGCTTCTACACACAGCAATTCACCTCCCACGAGAGTTGGCGAAATTCGGGGCATACCTGAAGGAATCAAGTAAGACCCAGCACCCTGAACCGGCGCTTCTTTCTCTTAATGTCTACGCTGGTGGGCAAAACACACGAATGTAACAGGCACGAGCTTTGCCTGTACGTCTACCCCCCTCTCTCTCTCTCTCTCTCTCTCTCTCTCTCTCTCTCTCTCTCTCTCTCTCTCTCTCTCTCTCTCTCTCTCTCTCTCTCTCTCTCCAATATCCCGTGGCACAAACAGCGGAAGGTTGTCTAGTCTCCTTGACGCTTTTACGGGGGTGCCCGAGAAAAAGGCTGTAAGTTATCTGCGGTACACGATTAATACCGAGATCTCTAATATCGGAAATTCAATACCCGAATTTTCCTCAAAAAGGGAACAAGCCAAAACACAACCCTCAGCTACTCTCTTGGTCTGACCGGAAACGAATGCTAATTTCAAGAAGGTCACTGTTCGCTGGTAGGCATACCTTGCAGGACCACTAAGCGTAAGGTATTTACCTTGACGCTTAACTTTTGTGTGCTCCAGGGGAAATTCTGCTCTCTGTTTGTTAGGGATAGTTGGTCCTTACTCTCTTCTAATCCTTCGTACCCTTACCTTTTACTGACAAAAAGTCAAGTAAAATCACTCCGGACTTTACCGTGCGTCCTGTCCGGATTGCTACGACCAGTCGAAGCTTTGGGCTGGTGTAGTTCATACCATTGTGACGCCGCATTGTCACTTGAGCCGTCGCCATCGATGCCAATAGGTCGAACATACCGCGATTGACCCTTGGAACACTCTGGTGATGGTTCGTGACCCGATCCCTTTCTCCCAGCAATTCACTATATCACAATTGCCCCTGGCAAGACTCGAACCACGGGACTTGGTGAGCGTATTGGCACTTTGCAACTTGACTCCTATCAGCGGCTCCGTACGCCGCACTGCTGCCCAGAACCTCACCGGGTATATATTGTCACCGGTACGTCTGCTGTCATCGATCTACGTCTTGTTCGTTGCCCTGCTCAGTCCTTTCGTTCACAGCTTGCTCCATCTGGTCCTGCTTCTTCTGCCGCTGGGCAACGCTCCTGGGTCACTTTATTCTCTCGTCGACGACTCACGAGGCTACGTCGGCAGCCGTCAGTCACGCCTTCACACCATAGACGGCTATACCCGGCATAAGCGAGGACACGTTACGCGACACTGTCGACGACATCGCGGAAGCCGTCTCGAGCCAAAGTCTGGATGTGTCTGCGCCACAGCTCCCTGCAATGACGAAAGTGCTGGTGCGGGCGATGGATCGGCGCCTTCGCCCCGATGATCGGCAATAATGGGATCGGGTCGATAGCGCTCGTACTGTGGACGAAGTCTACTTGGCCGTCGCTGCCGAACTGTCGCCAACCTACTACACTTCGTGTGACGTCGGGAGCCTTCGCGTACAACTAGCGTCGACTGAGCTCGCTCGCCAGTCGTTGGAGAACAGGCTATTTGCCACGGTGCGTATTCGCGAGAATCTCGAGCTGCTCGCTCGTCAAGGTGCCGCCGATCTCGATGAGCTGTAGTTGCAACTCAAGCGAGCGCAGAATTCTGACGCAGTGCACCTCCGTAGCGACATGGACGCGAAAGCGGCAATCGACATTCGAGTCCAACCCGAAACACGGCGAAGCTTCAGCAGCTCATCGTGCCCGTGCAAGCCGAAAACTGGATGCTGCAAAGGCAAAATTGCGCGTGAGCGTGATGCCAAGATGGCAACCAACACTTCCCACTTGAACAAGCTCCATCACCTGCTGTCGGACCTTGTTCACGGAGACTCCTCGAACGTCCAAGCACTGCGGACGAACGTTGCAACGCAACACGATCGGATCGAGCGTCTGATGCACGCAGACGGGGTATCCGTCAGCAGGTCAACCTCCGAGCTCTGGATGCCGACACTCTGGTACTGGCCGCCAAACGACATGCTCTAACCAGCGTCGATGATTGTTCTTACAGGCATCACCGAAGGCTACATCTATCTCTTTTTTTTGAAACTCGACGACGTCCTGTGTCAGCTCCAGGAACTCGACGCGGCACCCGGTGTCACCATTTCTCATGAAGTCAACGTGGTGAAAGCTGTCCATCGCACCAAGAACCCGGGCAAGCGCTGAAACATTCGGCGACGCTTCAGATCCAGCTCCAGTGAATCGTCGGATGAGTCGTCGGCCGACACTTCCGATCGTCGTCGTCGCAGACGCAAGTCCGGCGACACTTCACTGACGCCGCTGGATTGGTGGATGTCCCCAGCGTGGAGAGCGAGCCGACCAATTAAACAATGTTCAAGAAAAAAACCGCTAAGAAGCGTTGTGCAGCTTCAGTCCCTGACTCCTGACGATTCGATCTGTCATGCGAAACCAGCGCAGGGTCATGGCGACACCGCTGGTGCGTCTATTCGGATGGGGTCCAGATGTTGCCCTTCGGCAATGTTCGGCGAAATGTCGCCGGTACTCAAGGCCCAAGTATCGCTTCAGTCACCCGTGACTCTAATGCAAGATAAGCGACAACAATCGCGGCCAAGCTCTGGGTCCAGCACTCGGTCCACTCCGCGTCGTCAATTGTCGCAACGGGCGATGTTTAAGTCGTCGTTAAGGCTGTACGTCGGACAGCGATGTTCAAGTCGTCGTTGGTGGCGAAGCAAGACTCTGCGTCGGACAGCGATGTTCTTGAGATCACCCCCGAGGTAATTGAAATATCGCTGGTTGAAGATGAACCATTGTCGGCAGCGGCTCCATTTACTGACGAACATGCGGAGAAGTCGTCCGAGGTAATTGTGGACACGCCACCTCCCGTCTTGAGCTCTCCGCCTCCAGCGTCGTCTCGTATTTTATTCTCGAGTGGGGCGTCGTCCGCACCTTCTCCCGCTGCTGCGGCTCCTGTATCATTCTCGCGATGCCGGCGAAGCGTCGTCGGTAGCTCCAACTCGGTCCTCCCCTGGGATTGTCATCGTATCGGCATTCTCGCCTAATTTCGACCATCGCCAGACAATTCTGTCGTCCTCACTTCCAGCACCGACTCATGGCGTCCGGCCTGTCGTTCAGTCGTCGGCAAAGATTCCGGCGAAGTCGACGCTAGTTGGTGACCTCCGGTTTCACTAGCGGGCAGCTCAACAGTGCTGGATGCTGATCATCAGCGCTCGCGTACCGTCGCCAATCGGGGACAACGGCGTTGCTCCATGTAGCACCGATGGTATCATCGCATTTGGAATCTTCAGCGACCCTCTTCACCCCATTCACACATACCTGCACCAGTTGCCGGATCAAGCTTGTCTCTTCGACAGCACGGCGACGGTTGTCGACACAGTCATCTCTCGTCGTGCTCCCATCGTCTTGCCGTTTCTTGTTTACCTCTAACGACGCTTGCGCGGGTGTAATGGGACTCTCGTGCTAGCGATCGCGCTGTGGGAGCGTCACCACTGTGTATCTCAGAGTGCAGCGTGAAAAATGGCCCGGGTGATGCTTCGGAACTCGTCGTTCAGATCGGAGGTGGCAAGGTGATCCTCGCAGCATGGGATGTCTACTTCTAGCGTCGCAAGCAGCGGGCCGACGTTTTCTGGATCCACTACAAGCGAAAATTCCAAGGTGAGTGGTCGACGAACAAGACACTCCTGAGGGTCAGCAGCCGATTCCTCCCGAGCTTGTGTTTGAGCCGTCGGTCCCAGTGATGTCTCTTGGGTACCCTCCAGCGAGGATTGGAACGCTTCATTCATCACTCTGGATGCTTCTGAACCGTGGCACAACTGTTGGTTGACGACGCCTCATCTTCACCCGTACAACACGACGCTCTACCCGTGTAATCATTCAGTGGGGATGTTCGTCCCTCACGGCTTGACTTGCGAGGCTGTCGGGCGACAGATCGTCGTCGACGACTGTGTGGCTTCATCTGAGGCTGTCGCTGGATGGGATCGCGAGTAAGCGCATACTTCAGCCGTTCCAAGTGCTTCTCAGGTGTCGCCAGCAGCGGCTCAGGGTGATCTACCCTCCTCCTCGTCGTCGTCGTCGGCGCCCACCTCTCGCGACGCTTCCCCGGCGTCGTATCTTGGCGTGCAAGCCTCTGCGGTCGAGTCTTCTTCCGACGTCGTCTGGCCGTCGCTGTTGCGTGAGCTCCTTTCGACCAGAGGTATCCTGTTGCTTTGCACTGCTTTCAAAAATTCGTAGCGACTTCCGTAAACAGTCGTCCTTCTTCACTCCTTGCGTACAAGCATACACGTAATTATTTCTCTTTCGTTTTCTTCGTAGCTCGTGCGGTAGCTTCATTGGTCTGCCAATGTGGGCTGCACCGCCTCACATGCAGATTATCATCTTTACCGCAGTAGCTTTCTTCATCTGTTGCCGCGGGCGGCGATGCCCCACGATCAACCTCCTTCCGGCGAGGCTTGACTAAGCTTCGTCGGCGACTTGAACCATCTGCAAACGTCGATCCCCTTTTCGTTCGAGAAGGTAGTTGTACAACAGTCCTCCGCATGACAAGTTAGACACCGATTCCCACGACGGTTCGTCGTAGCCAACCCACTTGGCCCTCAGCTTTTGCATCGGTCGTTCAGCTCTCGTCGACATCGGGATTCGATTGTCCGTAATTCCTTCAACCTCGTATTCACCCATCGCTAGTTTTTGCATCCAGCTGTCCTAGGGTAGTAGTTCTTCGTCTAAGTCGGGGCGATGCTCCATATCCCCTTCCGGGGTCGGTCTATCCTTGAATCCTGTTACCGGTTTGTCGCGAGACACATGTACTACTGGCTGATCCCTCGCCGGCCGGTGAGCTCAAGCTCATAGGCGAACTCCTCAACCTTTGCCTTGATTCGGAATGAGCACGGTGGTCAGTGGTAGTCACTGCATCGAAGAGGGCACATCCGGAATATGATACGAAGAAGGCGTGGAAAGTGACGAGAAGTATGATCTTGACTTAAGTTCAAGTGAGGAAAGCGATGACGAACACGATAACAAATACACCGACGACAGCGCACCGCCGGTTTGGTAGAGCGATTAAGCCATGGTGTAGATTACGTTGTTGACTTCAGCCTTGACTACTTAAGAACACAGCGTTGAGTGCGAGATCTTCAAGCTAACTTAAAAACGTTTTCGTTATGGTGCGGTATTGACTTGTCTTGGCGGGTGGACTTATACACACATTCGCGTCCTTCCGGGCTGTGCCAAACACGAAGGACGAGGTGGTTGTATTATCTTTACGTAGTATTGTGCGCTCTATTCGAAATTTACGCTATTGTCTGAGTGATACACCCGCCAAACGCGCACCCAATCGCGTAAAACCTGTCTCACAGAATAAAAATATGGTTCTAGTGGACACCATCCCTCTGGCGTGCGCACGCACTTTGAAGGACGGAGCATGCACATTTATATGTCTTATTTTAGCCAGAGGATGACCTAATATCGTAATTTGAGCCACTCATAGTGTCGTGTCGATTAGCTGTGGATTGCTGCCTTTCTCCGCATCTACAATTTTGGACGGAATTGACAGTGCGAGCACGTGACTTTTGTCATACATTACGTCTTGGCATCTTAAATCTGTTTCAGTACATAGAAGGCTGGGCAGCACAGTCCGTTATGATGTCAGCACAAATAGATGAGCGGTCTTTGGACCGGCCTCGTCTCTATGTCTGTGCATCGCCTTGAAGTATGCGGGGTTGAATACATCCAATCATGTCACGGGGTTAGAACAGGTCACACTGATCAGAATAGAGTATCACAAAAAATGTGATTGGACTTTATAGCTATGTGAAGCTAAATGTGTATCCCACATGAAGATTGTAACCCCAAAATGAAGTAGTCCACACGGGTTTGTATCAGCCACGAGTCATTTGGGAGAAATGCCGAAGCGAATCCCATGGAAAGGGCTGGCGATCACCGTCGAGGCGGACGATGCAGACTCAGTACTCGATGGGCTCAAGTCATTCGACGTCGGAAAGAGCAATCAAATGGTGTGCACGCGGTGCACACACGCTGCAGCCCCGCACAAGATACGCTATAGGCTTCTGAAGTGTACTTCGGAAGCCTGCGCGTACGGTTCGAAAGTTGAGTGTGGGTGGCACGGAAAGCAGCTGGCGTGCCTAACCACAAACCGAGTAGCAATCTCCGACTACAATGTGTATTTGAGCTTGGCGACTTTTCCAAGCAAATAAAAAGAAGCTAACAGAGGCGCAGAAGACAGATCTGTCGCCAGATGGCTACACATTATCTGCGCTCTCTGCGTATCCGTCATGCTCTGTCGCGGAAGCTCGATACTTCGCTGGAAGACCTTTCAAAGCTGCAAGTGGTCGAGAACTTTGTAAACCACTACACTAGGACATGTTTGCACAACCATGATCGTGTTGATGTGATCTGTGAGTGGGTGCATGCGAGGACATTCACTAGGCGTGAAGCCATGTACCAGGCGTTCACTTTCGGGTGGCAGCTGGACAGATACGAAAAACCCGCAGTGGGGAACGGATCGTACCAGGGTCCTTTGCTGTGGGGATCTTGACAAGACTTTGATCATCGTATGCCCTTACCTGCTAAGAGCTTCATCAGTCAGATCAATGCCACCTACAAGACCAATCACCGCGGATATCCCGTAGTCGTCGTATTAAGTCGGACCGCTCACGTGAGTTTTATTTGGTGGCGCTGTTCATCGTCTCGCAAGAGACTCTACCCATTTTCGAGTCTGTTCTCCTTTCGCTTCGCTGACAGTACTACTACGTCACATCAAAGGAGCTTATAATCCGTTACGCCATGGTAGAGGCGCACAAGGCTCAGTACAATGCGCTGAATGCTGTCTTCGGGAATTGTCCGGGCTTTCAGTTCCTAATGTGTTATTTTCATGCGATCAAAAATATCCAGAAGGCTATTAAAGCGTTTTCATCGGTTGCATCGGCCGGTCTGTGTACGATTTGCTCTTCTCTCGAAGTGAATGGAGTTCAGCGGACTTCGGGACGGATTTT